GAAATACACATGCAGTCAATGCCAGGCAGAAGAAGCAATGGGAAAAGACAAGAAGCAGCCACGGCAAAGGGCTCAAGTGGCTGTTGAGGTATGGAGAAAAAAAAAAAAAAAAAAAAAAAAAAAGAGAGAGAGAGAGAGTGAGCCATGTCTCACTCTTTTGCATGCACGCGAGACACGTGCGTTCGGGGGGTCACGACTGGTTCTTCCTAGTCAGGGCCACCCAGCGGGCTGGAGGCGAGGCGAAGATCGCCTAGGCTGACGGACCCAATCGCGATCTTGTTCTTCTCGTCTTTTGAGTCCTCGTCAGGTCCGAACCAAGGGTCCCCAACCATGGTCGACTACTACCACACGATGTACACATGCCGCCCTTCTGCCGTGCCACACAACCCCACAGCGCTTTGCCCGAGCCAAGTCTCCTTGCGAGATTGCAAAAAAGTCAAATCAGTCAATGCTACAATGTAGCTGGGTCGGTGGATTTTTGGGTGGTGATGGGCGCTGCGATGGGTCCCGCCCGCTTTTGGAAGGGGGGTTTCCATCCAACAGAGTTCACAGCGGAGCCAGCCGAGATTCTGGGTACGGGCGCGACCGGGCGTGGACCAGACAGAGAGAGGCACGCATTTGCAGCCGCCCAAGCATGCACTGCTTTTGATATGCAGCCCCACCTGGTCAGGACCAGTGGCCGGTACTCCTCCGCGTTACACCAATGCTGTCGCAGCCGCGTTTGCTGCGCGGCATGCACATGGTTCTGGATCCTGAGACTGCGGGGGGGTTGACGCGGGACGACTACTCATCGGCTATCTGCGTGTCTGCTTCTGCATAACGGGTTGGCAGCCTTCTTTCTGGCTGGCAACTCGCACGAATCTTGGCAGCGTGGTTGTTGATTCTTCTTCTTCTTCTGGCCGTTCCGATATGCTAAAACAAGCTTATTCCGGCTGTGATCGCTGCGGAGACAAATAACTCTTCTTTTTCTTCCCCGCCCGTCTTTCCCACCCCTACCTAGTACCATGGCGGTTCCGCTTCCCTGAGGATGACGGGGGGCCCGTTGGCTTGACTAGACACGACAGCTAGGCTTGGGAAGAGATAGCTGTTTCTAGATCTACTTCAAAGTGGATCAGCGGGTCTCCTGTTCATTTCCTGTTATGCAACGGGGTGAGTTTTGGTGCTGCTGACACAAAAGAGGAGATTATCAGCCCTGTTTACTTGTTTTGCCGACAGCTGCAGACTGTAGCAGACATGACGACAGCTCGAGAACGGCGCCAAAGTACAACTTACTTCTGCAATACCTCATACATTTGCAGGAGGTGGACAAGGAAAAGGAAGGAGAAAAGAAGAAAAAAAAAAAGAAGAAGAAGGACAGGAACAGATAGGCAAAGATGACAAAATGTTAACAGGCCTCACCTCCAAGACAACTTGCGGCAGGGGGTGAAGCGAGCAAACCCCCCTCCCCTTCCCCTTCCCTCAAACAGCCTTGGCTGCCAACTCAACTGCCGGCAGAACGAGGGTGCGGGCATTTTCCGGAGCATTCAACTTCGTTGGCGATGCAATTGATCTAGAAGCAGAGGATCAGAGACACGGTGAGTAGTCTACCCGCCACTACAATGTTCAGTGGCCTGTGCAACCCATAACGGTTGTAGTGACGGCGGTCTTGAAACATGGGACCCGAAAGAGCTGACTTCTGGTCCAAGAAACGGAATTCGGACTGATCTTCTTTCTTCCTCAAGCTCCCTTCTTGGCCGTCACATGAGGCCTGTCGCATATCGAGACATGCCCAGCAGCAGAACTAAATTTAACTGCACAGGAATCGTGATACACCAAGCAGAACCATCTCTTGGAGGGGTGGAAACATGGCATGGCTTGCCACCACGACAAACCGCGTGTCCATTAAATGCGACCTGACAAGCCCATGCAAGCCTCTGCGCCCGGTTTCGCTTATGGCCCAAGGCAAGCCACTCAATGCTACCTATCATGAGTGCGTGCAGGATGTAGCCTTCTGGCATGACGAGTACCTACATGACTGCTACCATGCTATGGTACCAATTTCAACCTGTCGAGGTTTCGTCTGTTGTTCCCCCCTTACGGCCCGGGGGAGGGGGCTGGCAAGGCTGCATGATAAGCGAAACGCCTTGGGAGATTACCGCTGCACCTTTTTTCGCATCCATCACATTGGCAAGGCGGGTCTTTGTGTTCTGTGACCCTCCAGGAATAGACAGATACAGGGCAAAGCGATCTTTCGGCTACTGCACAAAGAGAAAGGGGGGGGGGGGAACAAGGGACGAGGAAAAAGAAAGAATGAAGAAGAAAGACAAGAAGGTCGTCGATTTTTTTTAGTAATAAGCAACGACACAACGGTTACAGCCTAAGGCAACCTAGTAGAGCTGAGAAGTATGCCCGCTTCGCTTTGACGCAGTTGGCCGTCCTCCAGGCGCTGTGACAGCGGCTCCCCAAGATGCACGAGATGCGATGCTTCCTTCATGCGCTGGCATGCGCAAACGTGGGGCCACCAAAACCACCACCCTCGTTAGCCGGACCATCCATCGTCAAGGGATCATACTACTTATGTGCCATAGTATCATGGTACTAGTTACAACTATGCCGGCGCCGAAAGCCGCATGGGCAAGGGTCACAGGCACAAGCTACACATATGGGAACCTGGAACTCGACCCCAGGTTAACCTCGGGACTCATGACCCACTACTGTATGGGACCACCAGCAACCATGAGAAAAGAAGAAGCCAAGGGGGGGAAAAAAAGCTTGGACTGACCTCCCCTTGACCGTCCTTATTTGCCAAAGAAGAAGAAAAACAAACCCACCCCGCGCCTGCACGTCCCCTACCACAAAAGTACCCGCCCTTTTCAGAGCGGTCTGGTGAGTTAGCACCACTCAATCAGTGCTGTCGTCTCATTCCTGCAGGTCGGGCTTTGGGCCCCTGATCTCAGGTCTTTGCCCAGCCTGCCCTCTCTCTTTCGGCATGATGATGTGGTGTGTGTGTAGTAATCAGACCTACTCGTTTACCTTGAATGCTGCTCGTTGCTTTTGTTGGGGCGGGCGTTTGTTTTGCGCAAAGACTCGTCCAGATCCTCGACGCTCTCTCTCCCTTCTAGGATCATCAAGATCCGCCAGCAGTGAAGAGTTGCTTCCCAAAGACAGGCCCTCCTTCCGCACTGCGTCTGTCTGTAGATGGGTCTCGCCATCGCTACTTACCAGCCGTGACCTGCTTTTCTACACTGCATTGCGGAGGGTGCAGGGTGGACGAACAATGGCGAGTCGGGTAGTTCCTTGAGGTGGATTCAGTTCCCATGACCTGTCTTCGCGGCGGTTGCAAGGTTGCATTTGGGCTTGATTGTGGAAAGATATCCTTTTTTTTTGCCCCCCCCCCCTCGGCCGACAGGCTACCTTTACGCCCCACGGCTGGTCTGTTGCGAGTTCCGGGCCAGATCGTCGTTCCATTCGTTCCTCGAGGTTGAGGGAGAAAAAAAAAAGAAAGAAAGGAAAGAAAGAAGATGAAAAGCAAAAAGAGAGAGGCGTCCACATGTACCGCTTTCTCGAATCCTACAATGTGCGCGCATGCTCCTCAGGGTCCGAGTTGGCCCCAAAGCTCACACCTTAGGCTCTCGGTGCAGACCTTCCAAACGGGAGTAGCGCTCTCTACTCTCTTTCACACACACACACACACACACTCTCTCTCTCTCTCTCTCTCTCTCTCTCTCCCTCTCTCTCTGGTCCATCCCCTCCCTTTTTTTTTTTTTTTTTTTTTACGAATTGTAAGCGCGGCCGACCCTCTCCGCCAGGTCCTCCCCCCTCCCTCCACCTCTGCTTGCATCTACACAGTACTTCTTCCACACTGGTGTAACGGGCTTCTGCACATGCTCTTGTGTCTGATACCACGCCCGTGTTCCCATCGTGCTGCCAGACCTCAATAAACACAACCCGCCCTCTGAAATCCTTGCATGTCTGGCTGTCCAGCAGGGAAACCGGGACGCCAGCGAAATCTAGTTTTCGGATGGACCTGGAGGTTTGTCCCCTGAAGGTACTCTCGTCTCTACTATGGTACATTCACTCTCTCTCTCTCTGTCTGTGTGTGTGTGTGTGTGTGTGTGTGTGTGTGTGTGTGTGTGTGTGTGTGTGCGCGCTGTGTGTGTGTCTCTCTCCCCCCCCCTCCCCCTCTCGTCCTGTTACCGCCACCCTTGTTGAAGAAGTTGGAGTGGCTTTCCGGCCTGTGGTTGTCCGATATGTCACATCCTAGGAACAGACATCTGCCCCGTCCCTCAGTTCATCACTGCCCTTGACCACTACTCCTCCTCATCCCTCCACTCTCTATCTTCTTCTTCTCCTCCTCCTTCCCCCCCTCCACCGGCACCACCACCACCCCCCAGGGATCCACCACGCGGATGCACCCTGCTCCTGTCTGCCAGGCTGCGTGCCAGGATCGGCTAGCTTCCTTCTCATCTGCTTCTACTCCACACTCCCTGCTCGGCTCGGAAATCATCTGCTTCACGCTTGTCTTCTTAATATCTAGGTACCGTGCCGCCTCCTCCTCCACTCACTGGCCTTTTGCCTTGCTTCCTGTTGGTGTGCTCCTCCAAAAATTCTCAAAAGCTTTCTGCCTTGCCATTCCCATACCGAACCTATTGCCTCGTGGGCCAGCGTGGGCTCGCTTCCCAGGGAGTGCTTACGCCAAGTTGTCCCTCGGGCCCTCCCATCTTGTTCACACAGTCGGCCTGTCTCGTTTCCCTGTCCACACCCTCTTTGCACAGTCAGCAGCTTGGTATAGGATGCTGCTGCTTCGCGTGGACGACCGATCGTAAGAAACCGAACAAACCCGACCTTGGGCATAGAGACGAGAACAGAGAGAAAGTCAGACAAGAGCGGTTCCCTCGAATTTTTGGTAACCCCAACCCAGCCAAAGTTTTGGAGCTCTCAATTTGTCGCCGACGGCTACCAATCTCGGGCGGATGCCATTCCTCACATTGGGCATGACGGTCCCGTTCGAAGCCACCGGCATGGTGCCACCTCCCCCAGGCATACACCCTCTGCCAATGTCTCGACCACAGGTGGGCATCGAGAGGTTGCCTGCCCGCCGCATGAGCAATGAGCCACGGGAATCTATGAACTGCAAGTCATGTCGCAAGCGAAAGGTGCGCAAAAGAGAGAGAGAGAGAGAGAGAGAGAGAGAGAGAGAGAGAGAGAGAGAGAGAGAGAGAGAGCTCTTTGGAATCAAAATAAAACTACCCCTCCAAACAACCGGGTTCCCACGTCCACGGATTGATTCGTTTTACTCATTTTGTTTCTCTTCACAATCGACTGACACGGTCAATGATATACTATAGATCAAGTGCAATCGGTTACGACCATCGTGTGAGGCTTGCCAGGTCTTCCAGTGTCCCTGTATCTATGGTATGTGTGCCACCTTTTCTTTTTCTTCTTTTTTCCCCCAAGAGCCATAGGGGGGAAATGGAGGAGATGGCCCGTAAGACTGACCAGCCGTGTTTTTTATTCCCCTACGCACAGATGCTGTGCCGAAGAAGCGGGGTCCCAAGACAGATGTCTTGGAAGCTCTGCTGAAGAGGGTCGACGGGCTCGAGGCCAAACTGAAAGAGAAGAAGGGTCAGCCTGCAACGCCAACCTCTGAGAGTGCTCCTGTTACTCCCACCACCGCATCAGCGCCAGCCGGCCCAGCCGGGTCCCAGCAGCAGCAACAGCAAGAGGAGAACGAGGAGACAGAAAAGTCGGCTACTGTTGAGTCGATCGAAGTGAAGCCACAACCGATTCAAACCATCATAGAGGCGGCACACTCGACAGAAGTGCCCGAGTCGGCTGTTTATACTCCCAGCCCGAGCAGGTGCGCCAGATCAATTTATCCCCACCCGAGCTGAGAAGGAGGAGGACGAGGGGGAGGATGCGGATCATTATTCTACTTCCTAATGGACAAATGACTAACCAGGACTCCAGTGCCCATTCACCAGCCGGGGTGGTGCAGCCCGATGTTCTTCTGGATACGTACTTCTCCAGATTTCACGCCAAGCCCTTCTACATACTCGATGAGTCCTCTGTCCGGCAACGGCTTCAGCTCAACCAGCTGCCTAATTATCTTGTTCATGCCATCTACGCTGTAGCAGCGAGGTATGTGTGAGAGAACAAAGTTCCCAGGTCGTCTTGCTTCTCTTGTACTTGTATCGGTCTGCTGACCATAATCAACACACACACACACAGGTATACGCCGCATCCAAATGGATACCAAGCAGCGGTGAGGCTGAGTGAAGAACATGCTACTCGTGCGAGGCTTGAGATAGATCTCGATGAGCCGTCTATTGATGCATTACAAGCTTGTCTGCTGCTGGTCGTTGCTTTCACCGCGGCAGGAAAGGGAAAGAAGGCATACATGCTTCTGAGTAGGCCTTTTCTCTCTCTCTCTCTCTCTCTCTCTCTCGCTCTCTCTCTCTCTCCGCGTCCATTTCTCTTTTTCCACTTTTTGAACTGCCTTGTCACGGCTAACACGAAGAATTGTAGCTGCTGCTGTCGGGATGACCATGGCGCAGGAGCTGCACCGAGAGATGGACCCACGTGCCACGGTGACGCCCATTGAGCGCGAGACGCGAAGGAGACTGTTCTGGACGTGCTATCTGCTCGATCGATTCATCTCGTGCGGATCCAAAAGACCATGTCTCATCGCAGACAAGACCATCCTCCTGCGGCTGCCGTGCTGGTCGCCCAACCCAGCAGCACTCCCAATCGAGGGCGAGTTCTTCCAGTGCGGGACCGCCGACCAATACATGCAGGGCGCCGGAAGAAAGTCACAGGGCAGCAGTGGCATGCTTATTGAGATCAGCAGGATCCTCGGCATCACGAACCGATATCTCGCCGCCGGAGGGGTCAAGGGCGACTCGCATTTCCCCTGGCACACGCTCTCGAATCTATCCAAGATCCGCCAAGATCTCGACATCTGGGCGTCGGGCACCGACGACGTCTTCTCCAGCCTCGACACGCTCTTTGGGCAGAATGACTCGACCGTGCTCGTCCTGAGCAAGCTCATCTATCACCTGGTGCACTGCCTCATCTACCGGCCCTTCCTCCCCATCGACCTCGCCGAGCTCGCAGGAAACGGCCAGCACCAGTCGTGGCAGATCGAGGCCACCAACATGTGCTTCCTGCACGCCAACGCCATCGCGGAGCTGGTGGAGCTCGGCAAGCAGACGGGAACCATCGAGTGGCCCGCCTTTGTAGGATACTGCATCTGTACCGCCGGCACGGTTCACATCCACGGCGCACATTACAGCAAGAACGGGCCCCTGGGGGAGATGAGTGTCTTTTGCTCCTCTGCCGAGTTCCTGTCGAGGGAGATGCAGCAGCTCAGCGAGCTGCGGTTTGCATGGGCCACGGTGCAGCACCAGCGAGAGACGCTCCAGGGCATCTTCAATGCGCACTCGGAGCTGGTCAAGAGCCTAGGAAATATGCACTACCCGCCTGTGCTCCACCTCGAGGACTTCTTCGACAGATATGCCAACATCGGCGGGCCTGGCGGGCCCAGCTTCAGCTTTGACGCGGCCAACCTCTCTCTGACCGATGTGACTGTGGACTTGACCGCCGAAGCCGCCTATGCCGGTCCCGATTTGTACTCGCCCAGGACGGCTGAACAGGGCCACGAGAGGCCAAACTTGAAGCGGAAGAGCATGCTCCAGGGCGGCCGGAGGAGGGCCGACTCGAAAGCGCTGGCTCCGCTGGCCAGCAACGTCAACACCGTCATCCCAACAGGGTTGCCGACGCCATCCCACCACCAACGACACCACCCTCCCTTCTCCACTACGACAACCACTCCTACTACTATCATGATCCCTACACACCAACAACAATACCAAACCTCGGCGATGCTCCACAGCCCGGCATCGCTTGTCTCGCACCAGGGCCTCTCGGAAGCAAACATGAACGGTATGCAGGACTCGGACGATATCGCCAACAAGGCTGCCATAGCTGCTGCTGCTGCTGCCGGCTTCACCATCCCCTCCCACCACCACCACCCTCCTCCTCATCCTCACCCTCCAGCACAGGTGCACAACCCCTTCAGCCCCCCTTACACAAACTATGGCACCGCCCTGCCCACCTCGACCCCCGGCGCACGTGGTGGCCCTTCCTCCCCAACCGTCACCACCACCAGCAACAATAACAACAACAACAACAACAACAACAACAGCAACAACACTACCTCCACCACCACCAACAACAACAATACCAATTCCAACTCCAACCCAGCCTGCGCGAACACGAGCACGAGTTCCTATGATCCCATGTTCGGTGGAGTACCTACTAATGCCTTCTCAAGCCCCGCTGCCTGGAACGGCGGCAACGACGGCACCACACCCCGACCAACACCGAACCATGCCGCCTCAGCAGCAGCAGCAGCAGCAGCAGCAGCAGCAGGCATTGCTTCTGCCACAGGTCCCTCTGGTGCCCAGCAACAGCCACAGCTGGCACACAGTCCCGGTGGGATGAGCGCCTCGGGCGGCAGCACCGGCACCGGGCCCGGCGAGGAGAAGGATCCGTTCTTGGCCCTGCTGGAGCAGCTGGCTGATAGCGAGAACGCGAGGGGTCCTGGCAACGAGTTTGACTTCTTCTTTGCGGGTTCGTCACAATGAAGCAAAGAAAGGAGAAAATAGGGGAGGTGATGATTGCTACATGTGTTGCAACGCACTTTGGACTGTGAATTTTTTTTCTTTTCTTCTCATCTATCTTGGTTTCTTTGGAACGTTTCACACAAAGAAAGACTATGTGACACACACACAAGCGGAGGCGGCTATTTATGAGTATGCTTTTTTGGGTGGATTTTATTATTCTTTTCAAGCAGACACATCTGCGATGGTCTTCATTTCTGTCCCGCTGAGCAACATATTATATGTGGTTTGATCATTCAGCATTTTCACTCAACACTGGTGTTTTGGTATCAAATGAGGTGTCAAAAGGAACCAGATGGCAGGGGGGTTTTGTTTATAGGGAACTTGTATTTGTGTGTTTTTTGTCCCTTTGGGTGGCATCGAGTGGAGTTTCTATTCCCTGTTATTCTTTTTTTTCCCTTTTTTCTCTCTTTCTTTCATCCTCAACCCCCAGCCCCGAAAAAGGAACTGCAGGCGTGAAGTTCCCATGTACGTTCTACTTTTTGGAAAAAGGCCGATGACGGTTCACCACCCTCGATCCAAGGTCCAGGGAGGACAAACCACGTATGCGCACACGATGAACGAGATATGGATCATGTTGTTCTCATCAGACAAAGTCTGTGTGCAGTATACAGTACATACTTGCATATCCTCTTCCCCCCTCTCCCCATGATCCCTCCTCCCTCCCCCCCTCCCTCTCTTCTTTGCTAGGGTTTTTGGGGGAGGCAAGGGGGGGCCCATGGATGGGGATGGATGGATGGATGGATGGATGGAACGTGACAGCTTCATGGTCGCTCGGGCGAGAGTTGCCATCATCTCGCAACTCCGATCAAAGCACCACGTTCCTCCTCCCCAAAAAAGTAATTGAAAAATAAATAAATAAATAAAAGTCAATGGCCTAACCAAACTGTGTTCTTCTCCTATGACGAGTACACCATGCACTGACATCAACGTGCAACAAAACTACCGAGCATACAAATCCCAAAGGGCTGCTCAGAACCCTGGCAATTGGTTTTGTCCCCGAGGTCGAGGTCCCCCCCTTTCTTCAACCACACCCTGGCACCACGGCGTGACGAGTTCCGCATGTGGCCTGCCCCCTCAAATCAACGGGCCGTCAAACCCTGTGGGAAGTGGGGTTGGGTTGGGAAAAAAAAAAAAAAGAAGAGGGCAAGGGGGTGGTGGTTTGTGTGGGTGGGTTGAGGCTGACACGATGGTTATAAGAGAAAATGTGACGAAATGAGAGGGTTCCTCGAACTCGGAAGTAGTACCACGGTACAAACTAAGCTCGTGCATACAGACATACGTAAAGGGAACAAAAAAAATCAACAGACACCAACCCATCCATCATAGTTGGTCTAGGTCTAGCTCCTCCTGCACCCCAGAATTCTGTGTCTTAGTCCCTCCCCCCCCCCCCACCCCTTTTCCTCCTCCTCTCTCTAAACCTGGTTCTAGAAGGGGAGAAGGGGGGGGCGGGGGCAAGCAAGCACCTGGTAAACCATGCCGACCCGATGTGACGCTCCCACCCCCTTCGATCGTCGCTACCAAAGTTGTCCAGCCAAACACTAGGACGGTGCAGGAAGCTGGGAACTCGTCCATCTTCTTCCTTTCAAGGAAGGCAAGGAAATGAGGTTTTTGAATTGGTGCGCTTGTTGACAGCCCCATTGCACGGTGGAGGCTCCCAACTTAAATCTGGTTTAGAGCTGAGGAGATGCTGTCAATTGGTGTCATGGCTGGGGGAGGGGGGCCAGGTGAGACTAGTTCAAAGGGGGGGGGGGGGTGTGGTGTGGCTGGGAATGGCTCATTGTTCCTTGCCCATCCCAAGACGATGTATGTTCTAGAAACATTTTACAACGAGCGTGCTTCCTCGCTCTGAGTGGCTTGGTTTGATCGGCCAAGCAGGAGCCGAGCTTACATGTAGTCAATGTGTTCATGCGCGCACATACATCCCATTTCAATACTCTCTTCGCCATGAAAAAAAAAAAAGAAGAAAGAAAGAAAAAAACCCCCCTATGGCTGATTAAGTAATGAGTTGTAGGTGGTGTGATCTTGAAAGATAAACGCAAAAGGTCAGTGCGGAAGGGGGACGAGCTGAGCTGCCTTGTACTATAGTAAGGTGCTTCCGCTCAATAGCATAATAATGAGCCCGCAACGCTATCCACAGATGTCATGGCGAAAACAGGATGCTTTTGACCTAAAAGTGCCGTAATCCCGGGGGGGCATGTCTCGGTCACTTTGGTACGTAGATGTTGGTGCGTTGTGACCTTGCAGCTTGTGCGTATGTTCTTCTTGGTAAGTTAGCATAAAAGTAGCTGGCAGCGTGCTGTATGCTGTTGCGAAATACCCAATCTTAAAATGGCTGTCGAGCCTTAAACGTAGAACGTAAAGCTCTCTGGGTCTTTTGCTAAGTATTGATAGGACTTGGACTGGCCTAGTAAGGGTTATAAGGGTAGTCATCCTCTAATATGTGTCGTGTGTGTCGTGAGGAATATGTTGTGGTCAGTTGCCTTAAGTACTTAAGGTAGTCAATGTAAATTTATAATGCGACTAATGGATTCGGCCTTTGTCAAGGTTGCACAATATGAATCCTTTTGCACACTTGTACTATGTTCCGTAAGCTGAAATTAGTTTACAATACTGAAGTAACTAGAAGACCAGCTCTTTTCGTACTGCTGGTTGCAAAAAGTCAGAATACAATCAAACTGATATGGTTTACTTATTTGCGTAATGGTGTGTCAGTGTGACCATCTTTCATCCAGACTCGATCTACCGAGACCCTGCACCCGCACAAGGTGTTTCGAATGGTGGACACATATACAGTCCCAACTTTAAATATAAACACAGATCCAAAACTTGTGGGCAAGATGACATTGTCAACAATAAAAACCAAACATACGTTGCATCGTTTCAGATTCTGTGAAACTCCACCGAAGAAACTCTCATGCTTTCCATTTCTGCAATCTTGAGACACTAACAAAAATTAAGGGTTATACACGCGCGAGGACCGCTGTACGCATTCATTTCAGAAATCGAGCCATGTTCGCACCAGGCTATTTTGGGATTTCTAATGTTCTTTGTTTCTCGCGAGGCATCCCGCCTCTGAAAATAACAAGTGACAGTTGCGAGACCGAGAGCGAATTCGAACCGTCGAGCCGACTAGTTGACTCGGGAACGTTTTACACGATGTCCAATTCCTGCTTGGCGCAAGGCTGCGGGCTTTCTTAGTATGCTTGCTGGTCACTAACATAGTATACTCATAACCAGCCCTGATCCTGGTATGGCCTGTGTGATCTGCGTGCCCTTCTGAGTTTAAAAATATTGCGGGGTCTGACGATGATAGAATGCTAGAGGTTCTCAAGCTCGTTGGACCATGACGACGGTGGCTTTTTTCTGAGTTGATTGGCCCCACGATCTTTGCAAAAAGCATAATCCGATACAGATGTGTCATGGGGTGCCAGATGAGTATTTGAGTAAACCGAGGGAGGAAATCAAGATTGATTTGAGATTGAAACAGATCAAAGTATCTGAGCTGCTTAGACCGCAAAGTTTGAAGCTACTTGAGCTAGACTGAGCCACAAAGCTTGAGGCCACGATAAGTGAGATACTATGTACGAGTAGAAGTTGAATGACTGAGTACAATCTCAAATCGGGTCGGTTTCTCAATTTCATAGCCTTTTCCTTGCATGGGTCATTTCAATCGTCCCCAAAGTTAACCCCAGCGTCAGACTCTGTGTGTCAGTGACATAAGTCAGACACAAAAGAGGCCTTGCCTTGATGATACAAAATCTTGCATCTTTAATGTTGAGGTAGAACATACAGTAGATCAGCTATAGCAGGCTGGATACTAGCAAATCAAGTGAAGCAAGTGAGTCAATATTGGCTCTGCCCAGCTGCCAAGGTTACACTGCTGTTGTGACAATCTCTAGGCCTACATGTGAGAGTTAACTATCTTTTGGAAAATGGCTTCTTGAGCAGCATGGAAATCACCAGGCAGGAGTTACGATGATCCGGAATGACAAGAGGCCAGAAGTCTTTGCTATGCTAAGAAGATGCCTTTTTGGCGACGACGATTAAGTAAAGTGTTCCAAAATACTGCAATGGCTGCTAATCCAAGTAACAATATCAGACATCAACTCTACCCAACTCCCTCACAATTCGGAAGCGATCTGGCCAAGCCACCTCTCCATATCATCCATGACGCGCTCACCCAGCGATACATCAAAGATGCAGTCCTGCCAAGTCCCAGTGACGCACGTCTGCCCGCCCGCCGCCGTCAAGACCGCTATACAAACACCCCCGTTGGTAGTCTCAGGGCTGACCGCAAAGAGCCCCTGGCAGATCGACCACGACTCCTCCGGCCCATCATCCGCTGCAGGAGCCGTTGTTGTCGCTGCTGCTGCTGCTGCTGCTGCTGCTGAGGGCGCTGTAGTACCAGCCTCGAATCTCGTCCCATCGATCACGCCGATATTGCTGACCACCCACGACAACTGCCGTGGCCGCTTGGCCAAGTCCATGAAATACTGGCGCCAGTCCCAGATGAACCGCATGAGGCTGAGGTTATCCTTTCGGAGACCTTGTTTCTCGATCTTGGTCGCGATCTCGCTGCGGACGGAGGAGGCTCCGGACCATGCCTCATTGAGAAGGTCCTCGCGCAGCAGGGCTGGGCCTTTGGCGGTGGCGGCGGCGTCGGCGGCGTCCGATGGTGAACGCTTGGCGCGGATGGTTCTGACAAGCGCGACGTCGAACTCGTGCGTCAACATGGACACATAACAGGCCATGGTGCGGTGCGGGCGGAAGTCGGGGTATGTACTCGGGCCCGTTGGCATGTGCCGGCGGAGGTTCAAGGCTGTCCCGGCGCGGAAGGCCGTGGCGGTCTGCTCGTCTAGCTGTGAGGCGATGGACACGAACGCCAGGGCCTGGAGCAGCCCGGTGACTGTGGTCTGGTGTTGCCGGCATGCCCTCACGATTTTGCCCAGGGCGTCGCTCTCGATCGTGAAGCGGCGGAGCTGCGTCTGGAAGGGCGTGAGGTGGATTGGGATCCAGTGCGCGAGGCTGGGGCTCTTGTCGAAGACGGCTGCGCCGTGGACTTCGAGGGCGCCCCTTGCGAGGGTCTTGAAGGATAGTGGTAGTTTGCATACGTCCTCGAGGGGTGGTGGCATTTTTGGGGGTTGTATTGGAAGTGTGAGGGTGTGCTTGTTGATGTGCTGGTGGACTTTCTGAGTTTTGGTTGGAGAGTTGAGGGCTTCAAGTAAGTCTTCATGGAATATTTTCCCACTCATCCCATCGTGGTGGACGTGGTTCCAAGTGTATACAATGTCCAAGAACTCAGCATTATCTTGGTGCAGCATGTCGAGAAACCATCCAGGCCTGTGCTGCAGGTCAGTGAACTTCGTGTCGACTTGAAGTCCAGCGGTTTGCAGCAGGGTCTTGTCGATGTCTGCCTCAGCGTCCAGAAAATGCCAGCGTATATGGTGCTGCAGGTCGAGGCTCGCCAGCTGGACCCAGGAAGGCTTCCTGGAGTCGGGGTTTGCGACCCCAACCTGAAGAGTTGGATGGTCCATGACCACGGCACAGACTGCAGCTTCCGTGGCGCTCTTGAGCTCGTCATGACGTTCTTGGCCCCTGAGTGCTTGGGGAATCGTATAGCGACAGGAGATGACGGTGCCACGGATCTGATCAAGCCTGTTCAACGCCAAGTGGAAGTTATCGCTTGCTACTAGTTAGCACGGGCTATCATAACCTTTGCTAGATATGAATATACAAACAGATATCCTAGTTTCTTGAGCAGCACGGGCTCAGCCTCGTTGCCAGACGAACCACTTTCTCTGACACCACCAGACATGGTTGCAACGTCCAAAGGAAAATAGAGAAACAGGAGATAGAAGGGCAGAGAGAGAGTCGAAAGCGTCTCAGCGTTTGGCTGCTTTGTACTGACTTCACTACTACGCCATGTGAGGAATCTTGCGGCTCCTGATGGGTGCCTTGTCTTCGGTTTGACCAGGGGACAGGCGCTATTTTATCTTTTTGCTACCTTCTCAAGACCATCTTTCAGGAGCTTGAAACGCCTATTTACATACACGTATGTATCAACCTTATGGACTTTGTCGAGGTTCCCCGGCTAGCCAAAATGTCAAAAGTCGGATGGTCAGATCAGAATACGGACGTAACTTGTCAGACGGACGGTTTGGGATCGTGTTCCTCCAGCTCCATCCCGCACAGGGTCCCGAATTAACTGGACATTTGAAATGCTTACGCCAATGAGTACGCGGACAGAATTCAATCCATCCGCGCCGTTCATTACAGAAATTTAGTGCCCTTCCCACGGAAATGGCCCCCTGCCTGTTGCCCGTAATAATGGGTCCAGCCCCGGCGGCCGAGGGTCGAGGCGGAGACTGGACCGCGGAACCCGAGGAGGTGTCAGCCGCGCCGAGTGGGCTCTGTGATCAGTCCATCAGCTGGCAGATTCGTTCACCACGACATGCATAAGCGAACCTATTTCAAAATGGCTGCCAGGCCGTGATCAACCGCTGGCTGGTCTAGGGTGGAGGGCACTTTATTTTATTTTCTTTATTCTTGGCAATACATCTTGTGCCCACATGAATCAGTTGGTTCTCACATGTGCAGTCTGCCTGCAAGACAAACCACATGATCGGTCACGCAATCTGGACCCTTAAACGCCATTGGCATGACGGATGAATGTTTGAGAATCCTGTGTGGCGTATGTTGGACAGACCGACTAGGTGCAAATACCGAGTACGCCACAGTGTCTGATCTGCACGGCGGCCGCCGCCGCCATAGCGGCCATCATCTCGACAGCAGGTCTGCCACGAGAGGCATCACGCTGCTCTTGGAGGGTCAAGGAGCACCACGCGGCAGCGTCTCCCTCAGGTAGGACCCATCATTTCCGGCGTCAAAAAGACTTCTGTCACGGTCCTCGCTGTGCGCCTGTGGCGTCAAAAGCAGCGTTCATCACAAAAACAGTGTGATAGAACGGTGTCTATGGGAGCTAACTCGGGTGTACGTTGTCGCGTGGATATGCAAGTTTGCCCGTCACGCTACCGAAGTAGAAAGGTCTTGAGATGGACTTTGAGACAGGTCCATCTAGATGCTGATTCGAAATGGACGCCGTCAAAGCCAAGGAGCACACAGCGTCAGAGGTGTGGTAGTGTCATGCTTAGTTTTGGTCGTATGCAGGCACGGAAGTAGTATCACCCCGGCTGAACTTGTCCATGAAAGACTTTCCTGGTCTGTGTCGAAGGAATGTGGAAGCATGGCGTCTCCTTCGAGAGAGGAGAGCTCAATCAGGAACGAAAGACGATGTCAGGCGAAGAGAAGGCTGGTTGAGTAAATATCCGCGGAGCCGGATCAGGACGGGCCGATGCAAGTAATGATATGGGTCCTGGGAGCTGTCATGCTTACCTAAGGTGGTTTTTGATGTGGAGGACAGGGTCGGGTGGCTCTTTCCCCCCAATGTCTGGGGAAAAGGCCATGTGCGGGGTTTCGCCACTAAAAATCTTTCCCTTGGCATCCTAAGTACCCAAGTACCTACGTACCAAAGCTTGCCAGACGTCATTACTGCTCGCGTCAAGATGAGGATCGACCCAACTATCAAAAGTCAAAAAAAAAAAAACCAAAAAAAACCAAAAAAAAAAAAAAAAAAAAAAAAAAAAAAAAAAAAAAACAATGCCCAGCTCTTCAGGGTCTACGGGTCAGGGCCAATATGATGTCTAGATTCCCAAGCAGAGATGGAAGGGAATGGCTTCAGAAACCTGATCAGATCGAATGTTCCTTAAGTGAAACTTTCCCCCTTTTTTTTTCCCCTTCATTTTCCTTTTCTTCTTCTTTTTAGCTTCCTCTCTCGTGAAATTATAGCCACAGAATCTGCTGTCCGAGTCCGAGCCTCAAAGACTGAATTGTCTGGGGCACAAGCTAATCCATCGAAGACAAAAGCATATTTCTCTCGCCGCTTCCCTGCCGTCTGCCCCCTCATCCGCCTGAACGGTGCAGTACCCGGGTAAAGTACGTAGTAGGGGGGGGGGGGCGTACTCTGTTTGCACATGTGCGCCATTTGGCATCACGCAATTCCCCATCGTCACCAGTGCGGAAGTGTTTCCACAGCACCTTGTCTTTCCCAGGGGCTTGAGACCCTCCAGCCCAATGGACCACGATGTGCAAGAGGCAATTCGGTTATCGCCATCATCCCACCTTTGAGCAGGGGGCCAGGCCGGGGCTCGACAAATCCTGCACCTTCATTCCTGCCAATGGCCCGTGTCCATTGCTGCTCATCGATTCCGTCGATCTGCTGCAACCTGACCTGACCTGACCTGATCAGGCCCTGATTTAAAGTACCGTACATTGTACCATAGAACTCGTACCTTGACGCCCAAACGGCTGAACGGCAAACAAGCGGCGCAGGAAGTAACCAATCTCGCACGTCGTCTGGCCTGACTCAAACAGACCAGCAGACGGGCCAAGTCCTAGTCAGCTGCCTTACCCGCCATGCCGGTACAGCAGAACGGGAAAAAGGAATGAAAAATAATAAAAAAAAGAGACAGGGAGGGGGCGAGAGGGGGGACAGGGCCAAGCGCATTATCAAAATCTTAATTCCTCTTGTGCTTGGACTCACCCTCAATCAAACCCATCCCCTCCCAGACAAATTCACTCATTGCTGCCTTGAATCGCTAAGACCGGTCCAATGCAGCTTCGCAACCCTTTTCCTCGACCTGACCACGCCTTTGGCTAAAGTTGATGGAGGGAAGAAGGAGGTGTGGGGAAGAGGAGGGGAAGAAAGATAGAACGAAAAAGAATTTTTACAATGGTACATCTCGTCTCCAAGTACGTAGCAGTATAGATCTTCACCCAGCAAGCCTTGATCGCCCTGCCATCAACGATCCGGGTCATCGCATTGGCACCCACACTGCCCCAGCGCCCAGCGATCCGCGTCGTTGAGGCATCTCTTTTCTTCTCTCTTCTGCTAGCATCCAAACCATGGGACAGGGCAGATCCCAGCTCTCGACACAATTGAGCGACGGGTCACATGGGTCCCCTCCGCGAGTACATGTTCATGATTTGATGTACCTTCTATTCCCTGTGTTCATCATCAATCCTTTCTAAACATTCCTGTCCCAACCCCAACTCTCACAGCTGCACGGCCTCTGCGTCCGTCACACATACACGCTCCTGTTGCTTATTCAGTATTATTACCTCGTGTCACCTATATTTTCTCTCACACCCACCCTCTCCCAATTTTTTTCTTATTTTTTTTTATTTACCGCCCCGCCCCCTTCTAATACCATTCTTAACTAATCGATGCGACCGTGACCACACCGACTTTACTCCGCCAGCCAATGTGTGACAATTGCTCGAGGCCAATGTAGGCTACGTACGAAAAGACTGCGCAAATCCTGAAAGGACGAAAGGGAAAGGGAAAAAAAAACAAAAAATTTTAGAAACACACTGCTACCACCCATGCTCGTGTCCAACGACGCCTTCGCCGAGACATCTACTGCCTTGAGGACACACGTCAGCCGTCGCCCCCAGGTCGTTTCTTGCCTCTTTTTATCCTCCTTTCCTTCTCCTCTCCCTTCTTTTTCGCCCTGCTTGGTCTCTGGTCCTCCTCTCGCCCCCTCAACCCCCTCAACTGTCAGAAGTCTCAGCCTGTTCGCATCCGAGCACTGGTACGAGTCAATGTCGAGCAACAAACTCTCGTTTGCGGATATATTCGACGTCTCGTCTTGTCTGCATGACACATTCATTGTTCGCCTAACGAGCCAGGCAACTGGTTCTCGATCAGCGCGGCCTCCACCAACCAGTACCTTGAATTGAAGAAGCCCCCCCCTTCTTTCAGCTTCATGATGAACTTCACCCCTGTGCAAAACTCGGGACTTTAAAGGAGAGAGAGAGAGAGTGAGTGAGAGAGTGAGAGAAGACCATCGCCGGCCCGGATATCACCCGCGCGCTGAGCTGAAATCCCCCTGCTGTGAATTGCTGGTCCGAGTCAAGACACACACACACACACAAACACACACACAAACACACACACAAACACACATACACTAAAGCATACTTTCATACCGGAGCACATCTCCGTCAGCTCCTTGGTCGAAAACCTTCATTACACTGGCTTCGCAAGGTCGTAAGCCTTGCTCCTGGTACGAAGGATCCCTCACGTCGACAGAGCTTCTCGATATATACTCTCGATGCCCTTCAGCAAAAGATCATGGCACCTTCATCCGATCCTCCAAATTATCTCTCGTAGCTATCGATTCCTACCTCCTTAGACCAGGACCCTTTGTGGTCAACAACTCTCTTCCCCCCCCCCCCCCCTCTTCTCTCTCTGCGACATAGCCAAAAATGGCCATCGCGTCAACGGGGTCTACGCCGGACCGCGGGCCCGCGGTCTTTGCGGTCACCGTCTCTACGCTCGTTGTAGGGACTCTCTTCTTCATGGCTAGGATGATCTGTCGCGCATGGATCGTCAAGAGAGTTAGCTGGGACGACTACTTAATCATTATCGCCTGGGTTCTGGCGGCCGGCCTCACCACGACCATCGATGTCGGCACCAGTTTTGGTCTGGGTAGACATGATGAGGACATTGCAGATGCGGATCTTCTTCCGCTCAGAAAGACGGAATATGTCTTTTCTGTGCTCTACGTTTGTGGCCCCCTCACTCATCATCCACCAGGTTTATGTCTTTGTGTGTAGCAGAAAAAGTATGGATCATTCAAAATGCTGACCATATATACTTGTGTATGTTTGTTATACATGATACAGAATCCTGCTCTCATGGCTCTCAAGACATCCATCTTGATTTTTTACTTGCGACTCGCAAAGAATACCCAGCAGATCCTCCGCATCGCCTCCTGGATCGTGGCAGTCATCGTCAACGTCGCCGGTGTGGTCCTCACCATGCTGAATATCTTTCAATGCCACCCTGTCGCGGCCTCCTTCAGCACAACCTACTCTGGCCAGCCCAAGTGCATTCCCCTCCTAACCGAGTTTATCTGCAGCGCGCCCGTCAACATCGTCACGGACCTCGCTATCCTGGCCCTGCCGATCCCTGTGCTCACCGGCATGAGGCTTCCCAAACGGCAAAAGTACATACTCGTCATCACCTTCTCGCTCGGTATTTTTGTCACCATCGTCGATGTGGTGCGCATCTACTACCTGCAACAGGCCATCGCCACCGTGTCTACCGACCCGTCCAGCGACCCGTCCGCCATCTTTGGCGACAGCCCCGAGTTCCCTTGGAACGCCTCGCTGTCTCTGATGTGGTCCGCCGTCGAGGTGAACATCGGCATGATCTGCGCCTGTGTGCCGACCCTCAAGCCCCTGATCATCAAGATCCTCCCAGCCGCCATCCTCGGCCCAGATGGGACGCAGAATTCCATCATCTCGACGTATGCCACCGGAAGCGACAAGGAGACAAGCCCGGGAACGCAGATCGGCACCGAGCCCGCCATGTCTCGCGACGGACCGCCTGCTAGTCCTGCAGCTGCAGCTGCAGCTACCTTGCCTCCTGTGCCTTCTCCTCCTCTTCCTACTGCTGCCGCTACTAGTGCTAGAGCACAGCCTCAGTCCCAGCCAGAGGAGTCGTCTTCTTTCTCCCCGGGAAATGAGCACCAGCAAGAAGAGATGGACCTGCTCGACTTCCTCACGACGCCCGACATGACGACGGCGACGGCGACAGCGACGGCCGGCACAAGGGACCGATTCAACTCGACAGCCACGACGGCGTGGATGTCTCACAGGACGAGACGCGATAGCGCAGTCTATTTCGGGTTCGTCAACATGAAACGGCCCAAGAGCATGATCAAGACGTCGACGGCCGACTCGCTCCGGTACTGCATCATTGTGTCGACCTTGTTCTTGCTGTGGGGGTTCTCGTACGGCCTGCTCAACACGCTCAACAACGTCATCGCCGACATCGCCGACATGAGCACAGCCGAGACCGTCGGCCTCACCAGCATCTACTTTGGCGGCGGCTACTTCTTTGGCCCGCTCATGATTGGCGAGTGGGTTCTGCGGCACGACGAGCACTCTCGGTTCCACCCCCGGCGGCGATACAAGAACCGTGACCCCGTGGGCGGCTTCAAGGCGACGTTTATCCTGGGTCTCTGCATCTACGGCGTCGGCACCATCATGTTCTGGCCCTCTGCCGTCCTCACCTCGTTCCCAGGGTTCCTCATCAGCAACTTTGTCGTCGGGTTCGGCCTTGCCGTGCTCGAGACAGCCGCCAACCCTTTTATCATCCTCTGCGGCCCGCCCATGTACGCCGAGGTGCGCATCCTGATCGCGCAGGGGTTCCAGGGCGTCGCCACCGTCGTCAGCGGCGTGCTCGCGCAAAAGGTCTTTTTTGTCAACCTCGGCACCGGGTCCCGGGCCACCTCGGACGAGCTGCTCGACGTGCAGTGGACGTACCTGGCCATCACCCTCTTCTGCGTCGCCCTGGCCCTCTTCTTCTACTACATGCCGCTCCCCGAGGTCCGCGACGCCGACCTGGGCCGCGCCGCCCAGCGCCTGCCCGTGGACGCCACGAAGCGCAGCATCGGCGGCCTCCAGCTGCGCACCGTCTGCATCATCCTCGCCGTGCTCGCCCAGTGGACCTACGTCGCCGCCCAGGAGTCCATGTCCATCTTCTTCGGCAGCCTGGTCGACGCCTTCCTCCCAGGCGGCGAGCAGGAGCGCGCCGCCGGGCCGCCGGGCCTCTCCCTCTCCATCAACGACTACATCGTCGTCGCCCACGCCGTCTTTGCCGTCTCGCGGTTCAACGCCGCCCACATCGCCTGGTACGGCGTGCGCCACCCCCACGCCCGCCTCGTCCCCTCCCCGCGCACCATGCTGGCCCTCTTTTCGGCCCTCTCGGCCCTCGCCGCCCTCGTGTGCGTCGTCCTGCCCGCCACCACCAGCACCAACCCAAACATCATCGCCATCCCCGTGCTGGTCTTCTTCTTTGCCGAGGGCCCGCTCTGGCCGCTCATCTTCGCCATCGGCCTGAGGGGCCAGGGCGACCGCACCAAGCGCGCCGCCGCCTGGCTCACCATGGGCGCCAGCGGGCCTGCCATCTGGCCCTTTGTCATGTACGCCGTCGTCAGCGCCGGAAAGACACAGCTTGCTTTTATCGTCGTGGTCGTGCTGCTCCTGTTCACCCTGGCCTACCCGCTGTACCTGACGCTCGTGCGCGACGCGCGGGTCCTGGTCGACCCGGTGTTCCGAGGGCGGCCTGTGGGCGCGGGCGGCGGGCTGGGCGGGCTGGAGGGCGCGGAGAGCGGGCCTAGCAGTACGAGGGACCAGAGCCTCAGCGCGGACGAGGTCGTGCGGCAGAGGCAGCAGAGGAGGCAGCGGACGGGGTCGTCGTCGGTGGGCGCGGGCGCGGGCGCGGAGAGGGGCGCCGGGGCTATCGCGATGGAGCTGATGAATAAGCTTACGCTGGGCAAGAAGAGGGATTGGCGGAGGAAAGGGTCTGGGTCGACGGTTAGTGATTGTCCTCGTTGTGAGCACCGAGAGATGACGAGTGATGGGGTTGGTGGTGGTGGGCAGGATAGGACGGGGTCTACGATACCCGAGGAGCGGTGACATTTGTTTGTTGTTGTTGTTGTTGTTGTTGTTGTTGTTGTTGCCCTCCTCATGAATGTTTAGTTGTTTTCTTTTGTCATTATATTGACGGATTGGTATACCTGGTGGGATGGATGGATGGATGGATGGATGGATGGCTGGGTGATAGATACATTGGGGTTTGGGGCATTTGCGACAGGCTGGGCGGGGGGTGTTTGAGTGTGTACATACTTGGTAGCATTGGTAAGCGACTTTTTCTTGCATATAAATATACAGAGAATTTAATCAAGAGATCCTGAATATATATGCCTGCCGCAAAGCACTTGAAAGATGGGCACATTGGTTTGTTCATGCGATCGCAGCTGGTAGAACTTGTGTCCAACTGGAGACCGTTGCGCCAATCGAGTCTTGTTGATTCGAACATGCTTGTCCTGACAGGATTTTACATCCCATCAGTCTCTTTTGTGGATCTTGAAACTTAATTGTTTACATATGGTCATTTTGATAGATGACGAGAACCAAGTTGGTGTTCAAGATGAGCATAGCAGAATTTTATGGAAAGGCATGTGAACGGACTCCAAGGTCAGACGAGCTACGTGTTGACCAACAGACCAGTGACGGCACATGTGCATCTGTCTACTTATGGGATTGTCAGACGGTCACTATGGTACAGAGGCCACAAAACAGATGAAAATAATTGATGGTTTGTTTATCTCTATGTGTGACTGGTATCCATGAAGCTTTGGGTCGTACAGGCCTGGGAATGGCCTCAGAACGACGAGTAGACCGGTAGAGAGTCTTCCCTAGGTGAAGTCATACTGTGCAAGTAACATGTTAAATTTCGTCACTGGTCTACTTACGATTCAATCATTTCCATTTATGTCTATCTGTTGGTCAGCAGGGCCACCAGAAATTCTGCACGAGGATGCCCATCTCAGCACAGAATAGTCCAAGTTCAGCCTTGCCACTTCGCGGACGGGCGGAGTCCCTCAGACAGGCTGCGCATCAACAGGACTGGTGTGTTGGTTGGCAACTGGAAGGGGGCTGTGATGACTATGGTAAAAAATAATGCCATTTCACTTGATCAAGTCACAGGATTTGGTTGTACTTGACGGCTGCCTGTCACCTGGGCAACTTGGGATGAAAAACCTCTGGTGGGGCCTCCGGCTGCAGCCTCGTTGCCAGCCATCAATCTGGTTGTCAACCAACAACTCGAGCTATTTGACTGACCTCTTTTTTTCCTTTTCTTTTTCCATCTTGCAACTCCTCCCATCCCACAAACAACAATCAATCAACGACCGAAAAAACATCAACAAATATTAGGCCATTATCCATCAGCAGCAACAATACATCAGGTAAGTATGCTCATTTCCCCTCATTTGCCTTTCAGCCCTCATCATCATCGTCTCGACCTTGAGGACTGCCATCTTCCTAAGAATCCTGACTGCTACACATTGTGCGCTGCATCGTATGCCCTCCTATGCCCTCGAGCAACAGTTCCAACCTCTCCCTCAATAGGTCCTCGATCACCTCCATCAAGCCATTCCTGGCCACCGCCTCTCTTCCATACACCTCCAAGCACCATCACTTGGAATCATTTATCCTCTCTCTCTCTCTCTCTCTCTCTGCCTTTATTCGATCCCACTTCAGCGTCTGCCAGTCTTGGACCGAGCGGTCTGTTTGTGCTTTACCTACCTTGCCTTGGTTCGCGTCAAAACGGGCGCGAGTTGGACGCGTCGCCATTGTTTTCCTTCACCCAGCTTCCCACGTGAACTGGAAGCTTCTATATCTTTGCACACACACACACACACACACACACACACACAATATTTCCATGCCCCACCCCAACTCACGTTCCCAGCCTACTTTTTCTCAACCATCCAAACTCCTGAGAACCAACCATCAACCCATCTGTTTTGCTCTCCTCCTTCCTCCTTCAACAACTTCTTCCATCTTTACCATTCCTCCTTCGTCCTCCCTCCTTAGTCTCTCAACCGCCCAGCACGCGCGCAACCACTCGCTAATAACACGTCAACCCATCAACAAACAGACATCATCAACAACAACAACGAAGCGACTGGCCCTTCTTCAACACGAGAGCCATGCGCCGTACCTCACACACTGGCGAAGCACACTCAAACAGATAAACCTGCAGTGGGAGGGCCACCCATGCCCTTCCCATAACACATCACAGCCTCTTGTGGCAGCACCGGAGGAGTGGTTCCCCCTTGAAATCCCATCCATCATAATGCATCACTTCACCGTCGTTCTACCAGGACATGTTAGGCTCGCCAGGTCGCCCAAAAAGCCTCTCTTGGTTGTTTTTTTTTGGCACTTACCCTGTCTGGTCCTGGTGGGTTTGTCTCTTGACCCCATAAAGCGACGATGTATTCCCCCCCCCCTCTCTGCATCTGTCCCTGAACCCTCCCCTTGGCGCGGTCTCCTTCCTCCACACCCCCCCCCCCTTTCCCTCCCACTTGACCAAGCCTGGGGAGGAGATAATGCTCGCATTGACCATGGCACGACGCGCAGTAGGCACACCTCCTGGAGGTCGGGCTGTTTACGCGATAACACCACTCTAGGCCGAGGTGTTTTTGTCGAACCCGGACGACACTGTCTGACGGCTCCTTGGTTGTGTCGACCACCGCTGGCTCACCCACCCCATTGCACACAAGGGAGGTCCAGTTCCACAGCCTCTCCCTCCCTCCCTCCCCACTTTTTCTTTCCTCTTCTTCGTCTTCTTCTTCATCTCTTTTTCTTTTGCAATGGAGGGAGACTGTGGAGCTGGTGACTTGAAGTCGAGTCGTCGGACGGGGTCGTCATGTGCTGGGTACCTGGCTTCAAGGGTCGAAGCGCCCTGCCTCAACGCGGGACCCCTATGTCCCTTGGAAAGCCTGCCCCGTGTTTGTGTGCCGGCGCATGTTGTGGAATTCGGGGGAGCATTCAACTGCCTCTCGCGATTCCTGCTCTCGAGACCTTGTTTGTTGTTGTAAGTCTCTTTGTCTTTGTGCTTGTCGGCTGACTTTGGTAGAATCAATCTACTTGACAAAAGTGTAGCGGACATGTCGAAGTCCGGGTGGATGGCGGGTACACTTTTTACTTTTTTACTTTACTTTTGTTTCTTTTTTCATCGTACTGGTCTCCTAGGGCAGCTCAAGTGCCTCTCACGACTCTTGTCATCAGTTCAACTACCTACTTCGATTCCTGCTCTCGGGCCTTCGTGTTTTGTTCTCCTTGGTGGGCACTCTTTGCCGTTTGTATGTTTGCTAATTGTGATAGGCCATGATTACAAGCTCAAAAAGTGTAGCGGACATGTCGGAGTCCGGGTGGATGGCGGGTACACTTTTTTTCTTTTTTTTTTTTTCTTTCATCGTACTCGCCGCCTAGTGTGGCGATACGAAGAAGAAGAGGGGGGAACTTGATGAAGACTCTATGTTATCAAGTGTATACTAGAAAGAGAGGACGACCTGCTTTGACCCTATCACATATTGCGCCTGCTCTTACTCATCTGTCGTGTAACATTGCTTGCTGACCGTTCCAATCAATCACACAATATAGAAACTCATTCACACCACGAGGATCGGATCATCATCATCATCATCATCATCATCATCATTAGACATCTTCAGGCCAGTACAACCTAACCGGGTTATCCACCAGCAACTTCTTCTGCACCTCCTCTCGCAGCGCAATACTCGGAATAAAGTCCACCAGCAGCCCATCATCCGGCATATGCTTCTTCAGGTTCGGATGCGGCCAATCCGTGCCCCACAGCACACGGTCGGGGAACTCCTCGACCAGCACCCTCGCAAAGGGCACCACATCCCGATAGGCCGCCCTCTCCACCCCCAGCGCAGGCGGGCCCGACCAGCTCAGCCGCTCCGGACACGTCACCTTGACATAGACACGCGGCACGTCCCGCACAAGCTGTCTGAACCTGGCAAAGGCAGGCCCGTCGACGGCAGCACGCACGTCGGGCGTGCCCATGTGGTCGACCACGACGGGCGTCGGCAGCGAGCGCAGCAGGGGCTCGAGCGCAGGGAGGTCCGCCGCCTCAAAGTACACGACGACGTGCCAGCCCAGCCTGTGGATCCTGGCGGCGACCTCGCGCACCTCGTCCAGCTTGCTGCCGAAGCCACCACCACCGCCACCGCCCACCAGCCGCCGCACAAAGTTGAACCGCACCCCGCGCACCCCGGCCTCGTGCAGCTCGTCCAGCGCCTCGTCGCTCACCTCTCTCCTGACGGAGGCGACGCCCCTCGCCCGGCCGCCCGACGACCGCAGCGCGTCCACCAGGGCGGCGTTGTCGGTGCCGTGGCACGTGGCCTGGACGATGACGTTGCGCGAGAAGCCGAGGTGGTCGCGCAGGGCCGAGAGCTGGGAGGCCGAGGCGTCGCAGGGCGTGTACTTGCGCTCGGGGGCGTAGGGGAAGAGGTGGGCTGGGCCGAAGACGTGGCAGTGGGCGTCGACGGCGCCGGGGGGTAGGCGGAAGGAGGGCTTGCTTGGGGCTGGGTGGAAGTCGAGCCAGCCTGGATCCTTGGTGGTGGTGGAGGTGGATCGAGAGGGTGTCATTTTGGAGAAATGATGATGAAAGATGAAGATGAGTATGAGTATGAGGAGGGTGAGTGGTGACTTGTCTGGAGCAGAAGCGTCTTAGCATGGCTTTTGCTGTTCGCTCCACATTTTACACACACCTGATCCAGGTGAGAACAGATGAGGGGTTGGAGGAGAGGGGTTTCGTTTCCCACCTAGTTATCTGTCGTCTGAGATGTTGGTATAATCATGCAGCAGGGTTAGAAATCAGCAACAGTACTGTGTTTACTTACTGGACAGCATTTTTACAGCGTCTGTTCACATACTTGGAACACGACTTTTGAAGCTCAACAGCACAGCCAGTCTCTTCTTCAGAATTTGGCTGTCATGGCCGAGACAAAGCCGGGCCGAGACAGTAGTCAGTTAGTGAACCCGTCTAATTTCTCTCCCGCCCGCCGCAAGCTCGACATAATTTCCTCGTCCTTTATTTACTTGTTGCTCTCTGCCTGCACAGCATTATAAGCACCACTCAGCCAGAGGATTTCCAATCCGTGGCTGCGAGACCGAGAGGTAAGACGAGTAAGATAAAATGTGGGGAATCTGAGAGCTGAACCAAAGACACCTCCTCCAAGCCCACCTGGCTGGTCAGCAATTGGTAGTCGAGTGGTGCCAGCATGACCGCGCCACAGGGGAGGGGCCCATGTCTTTCTCTGCCTGTCAGAGAACAAGTCTCCTTTTTTTTTTTTCCATGAAGAAAAGAAAGAAAGAAAGAAAGAAAAGAAAAAAAAAGGATGAGCCAAGTCCCGAATCCCTTCAAGATAAATTTGGTCGGGATGGAAATCCTTGGCATTACCTGCATCCAGAAGTTTTCCCGAGCCACAGCACAGCACAAGTGAGCAATTCCCCTTTATAGCGGTGCCAGCAGAGTTGAAATACACATTGATGTGCATTGGGTGTGGGTGTGTTCTTCTGGGTCTACCTTGACCACTCACTCCTGCAGATCAACCCTTGTGCACACGCTGTCACCCGCTTAAAGGTTTTTTTTTCCTTTTTTTATTCTGTTTCTTTTTTTTTGAGTCCTCATTCTGCTGTTGGTGTCTATCTTCCTTGTCTTGAGTTTACTTTTCATCGCCTACGACGAGCTTGGGCTTGTCATTTTGCGAACCCGAACCCGACCCTCGTTGGTTCATCTCGCCTTGACTCCGACGCCACAGTTCGTGTCGCATTGGACGCGGGTGGGTGCTGGGTGCGTCCATATACAGTTCAGTTCCTTGCTGTACCTCTCAATTCCTGCTTGTACGTCGATTTCTAGCTCTGGTCTGCAAGTTGCATCTTTTTTCCCTTTCTTTTTTTTTTCCTGTTCCAGACCCCGTCTCAAGTGAGCATGCCGGTAGATTGTCAGGGGAAAAGCGGCAGCATAGCAGATCATTTCCCGAACCTGCTGTGGGATATGAATGTTGATCTAGCTTTGGAATCTCCTTCTCTCGCTCTTGGCCATGAATGACTCTAGAGCAAACACAAGATGTCGAGTGACAATCGTGCGAGGCATGCTTGGGCTGGACGTTGCCTAACATCATCAATGTCCTCATCAATGTCGTCCACCCCATGTGGAGGAAACACTACCACCTATTCCGTCTCAGCTGAGATGTTATAGGGTGCAGTTTATTTCAAGATTTGATCATACATGCTGGAGAAAACCGTGTGCTTGACTAATAACTTGTATTTTATTTTAGCATGGGCATGGACACTTGAAAAGGACTTTCATCACCACCAAGCCGTTCTTCACTCGTGATGGCGTCGGCCGACCATGTCGACCGCCACCACCTTCTCAGCTCACCAAAACCGGCACGCACCATCTCAGGCCTGGGGATCGAAGTAGACCCCGGCCCCATCGCCCGAAAGGCGTCTCATCATGGCCTCATCGAGAACGCAGCTCCGATAGATGGTGCCACGGAACAAGAAGCGCGTGATCCCTCTGAAGGTCTGTCTTCTCGCTCTCTGAAGTCCTGGAGGAAGATATATAAAGCGTCACCCCAGCTAATGCAGGCTACGTGCTCACTTCAGATGGATCACCCGACCTGAGCCCGAGGAGTGAACACAGTGGTGGTCCTGTTGACTTTGGGAGCTCGATCCACACTGCCTGGGACAAGGGCGCGCTGAGGGGCGTGTACACGCCGCTGGACGACGAGCGAAATGCCAGAGGCAGCAACAGGGAGCGAGACATGGACGCCGTGAGCATGGACTCTCTTCAGATGCGCAACGAGGACTATCAAGATGGGCCACAGGATCATGAGCATAACACCATCCACAACAACTTGCCCACGACTGGCCGAGGAAGAGGAGGAGGAGGAGGAGGAGGAGAAGAAGGCCTTGGCCAGGACGGTGACTACGGCGCCTTCAGATCGACTCTAAACGAGCAAGCCAAGTTGCCTTTTCGGACACCATCGACGCACTTCCGCATCAAGCGCACCAGCTGGCGGTCCTTGTGGCTCCTCGGCATGTCCATCTACTCAACGCTGCTGAGCGGAGTGTGGCTGGTCACAGCCATCGTGGAGCCTCGCTGGGGCCGCATCGTGTCGACCAACGGGCCCATCTCGCTGTCTTCAGCCAACGTGCTCACGGCCATCATCGCCAAGACCATCGAGATCTCCTTTGTCACCGTGGCGGTGGCCTTTGTGGGCCAGGTGCTGACGAGGCGGGCGATTGCCACGCACCAGGGCATGACCATGGCCGAGGTGACGATGCGCACGTGGATCATGCAGCCGGGGACTGTCCTGGCCAGCTTCCGCGCCCTCCGCTACGTGGGCCGCACCCTGCTCGGCATCACCTGCATCCTGGCCACGCTGGTGGCCCTGTTCTACACGACAGCCTCGGACACCATGGTCCGGCCCAAGCTGCAGTTCAGCCGCTGGCAGCACAAGACCCTCAAGAGCACCATCCTCGCGTCCTATGCCAACCCCACCTACGTCCAGGACGACTGCGCCACGCCCATCTCGACCATGTTTGACGTGAATGCGGGCTCGTCCTGCCGGGCCGTGCAGTACTCGGGCGACTCCTTCTCCGACTTTGTGACCTTCTTCACTACGTGGCGGGACACGCGCAACTCGAGCCTGGAGATCAAGCATCGACCACAGGTGCAGTCTGTCTTGTATGACAACGTGACCATGGTCGGGACGTGGATCGAGACGCAGTACTCGGATGTGCAGCAGAATTATCAAACTCATCAGCGGGTGATTAACAATGTCTCGTTGGCGATGCCACATCCAGGTAAGCATACCAAAAATAAGGCCTCTTTCTCTCTCTCTCTCTCTTTCTCTCTCTCTCTCTCTTTCTCTCTCTCTCTCTCTTTCTCTCTTTCTCTCTCTTTCTCTCTCTTTCTCTCTCTTTCTCTCTCTCTCTCTCTTTCTCTCTCTCTCTCTCTTTCTCTCTCTCTCTCTCTTTCTTCAACCTCACCCAAGAAGGGATATAAAGACACTCAAAGTAACTCATCAATGAACCTGTAACAGGCGTCTACAAAGCTGCCACCAACCGAACCCTCAACGGAATCCTGCAGCCTTCCGACCTTGACGGCGTAGGCTCCTACAACATCTCCGCAAGCGTCATCTCCCCAGCAGTCAACGTCCTCTGCGTCAACATGAACCAAACCGAGCTGGCGCCCTTGGTCTACACGACCTGGCCCAACGCCATCGTCAACAAGCCCACGACAGGTGACGGGCTGGTCGGGTGGAGCGGCTGGGAGCTAGACGTGCCCGCCTTCAACAACAGCGCAGCCGACGACGACGACGCCAGCAACTGGCTCAACGCGACCGTGGTGGACGACGTCTTCAGGTGGGGCGCCCAGTACCAGCGCCGCCCGCCCGTGTTCCAGCGGTACCCCATCGCCTTCAACACGATGGTCAACTCGCTCAGCCCGGACTACGCCAACGCCACGGACGCCATCTACGTCCTCAGCAAGGGCAACACGACGGCCGACTACACCCTGTGCGGGCTGCAGTCGTGGCAGGCCATCCAGTGCAGCACGCGCTTCAACGTCAGCGGGCTGGCGAGCATGGCCATGAGCGTCGACTGCGCCCAGGACGTCGACTACACCCCGGCCAACGCCGCAGACTACTACAAGTCCAACCCGGACGCCTACGTGCACTTTATGCAGCAAAAGGACACCGGCAGCAGCAGCAGCAGCTACACCCTGACCCTCGACCAGGACTGGAAAACAATGGCCGCCCTCTGGGCCCTGTCCATCAGCCTCAACGGCGGCATCGAGAGCAACAACGCCTCCAACGCCCGCATCCTCAGCGAGCTCGCCCTGCACCAGCCCACCCTCAACGCCACCCTCCCCTCCCTCGCCGAGGCCCTCGCCGCCATGGTCGCAAACACCCTCGTGACGGGGGCCATCAACACCCCCTTCGACCCCTACTGGGACTACGACGACGACGACGACGACGACGACGCCGCGGGCACCAAGATCCTCGCCGCCCCGGCCGAGGTCAGCTTCCACGCCCGCGTGCGCTCGCAGGAGTACGCCTCGTGGCACACCGAGCCCTGGCAGGGCGTGTTCTATCCCGTGCTGGCCTTTTGCTTCCTCCTCAACCTGCTGTGTCTGGCCTACCTCTGCAGGGTCGGGATCGTGCGGGACTTTCTGGAGCCGACGAGCTTGTTTGCGCTGGCGACGTCGCGGCCACCGGCCCCGGCGGTTTCTGGGCCGGGGACGACGACGACGACGACGACGACGACGACGACGCCAGGGCCTGGTGGGATGGCTGGAGGAGGAGGAGGAGGAGGAGGAGGAGGAGGAGGGGCCAGGACGCCGGAGATGGACCAGAGGTCGGTGCGGCTGGACCACAAGGCGAACCTGGGGGTGCCGTATAGGTTGTCGTATCGGGAGGATGGAGACCATTTTTACTTTGAAGAGGCTGGGAGAGTAAGTGCTAGAGGCACGCCGTTGATGGGCGGGAATGCGTCGGGCGTGGAGTTGGAGGAAGGCGTTGGGAGTAGGAGGGCTTATTCACGGTTGAGCTCTAGGTTCTAATAGGTTCTAATAGTTGGTTATTAGTTGTTTTTGGATTGCAAATGGTTTATTTCCTCATTTGAGGCTTCATGGCGACAAAGGACAGGCTTCTCATGAGACTTTGGGTTGGGGTAGCATATTAGAGGTAGACCGCTCAGGGCGACAAATGATTGAGAAAAGTATATGAAGAACGAAAAAGAAGAAAACTTTGACACTTTGAGACAATTTCGATGTGGTCTGCCCTGGAAAGTCTATGTCGTGACATTGTTGGATTTTAATGTTTCTTTTCTTTGAATTTCAAATGTCATACTCTTTGGTTATGGCACTGACGGTGTGTGCTGTATCTGGATGACATAACCAAATTGAAGGTTGACATTCAATATGACGGGTCTATTTCCAACAGCCTAAAAGGAGAGAAAATCTGAGAAATCTGCTCGCAAAAAAAAATAAAATAAAAAATAAAAAATAAAAAATTCAAGATCGCTTCTATAAAATCACATTCATCTCACCCCCCTTGCCGTTCTGGTGGCACAACGGCAGTGAGGAACCTCGACGACAAAAACGTCATCACAGCTTCGCCGCCTCCTTGACCTCGCCGACCTTGAGCTTGGGCCCGTACTTCTCCAGCACCTTGGCGTTGTGGTACTTCCAGAACTGCTTGGTCGAGTCCTTGCCGGCCATCCTCTTGAGGATCTTGGGGCCGCCGGGGTGCTCGTCAAGGAAGTCTGGGCCGGGAACCATGTTAGTTGGTGGGGAGAAAACGGGGAAAGGACGGAGAAAGAGAAGAGGGTATTGAGCAGGGGAAGACGTACTTGTAATGTCATACACGCCCGTGTCTACGATGATCCACAAGCCGTTGCTCTCATCCTTGTGCTGGGCGACCTCGGCGGTGGTGAATTGCTTTGCCATTTTGGAGGGATTGCTGTGAGGAAGTTGGGTGGTGTTTTGCTGACTTGAAATAATAGAGGGGATTATGACTTCTTTCTGAGTCTTGAATGTGTATATGTATATGTATGTGTATGTGTATATGAGTGGCGTTGTTACCAGGGGCCAATGTTGATGTTGAGGTTGAAAAGAGAGAAGTGGAAGATTGGAAATGCTGGGCCTTTCAATGGGTGAAGTCAACCAGAGAGAAGAAGAGGCCCGGGAATCTGGGGTAAAATGGACCTCGGCTCATGCATGACCTGGCCTGACTGTGACCCTGACCTTGACAGTGGGTCTTTTTTTTTTTAATATAGAAGAAGAAGGTCTCGCTGCGGGATCATGGTCATGATGAGGAGGAGCCAAGTGTCATAATTACTGCATTTATACTTCCCATCACTACAGTATGTATTCTGATGACAGCAGCTGGATGCTTTTAGCATTAATATTAGAAGTATAAGAGTGCACATATGTGGCTTATGATGAAGCATTATTCTCAAGACCAAAAATACCCTAACCCTGAGTAACTGCAGCACAAAAGACAGCATTGACTGGTCATCAGCACGAGGTAATGAGTGTTTGAATTTGAGACAGAGGAAATGCAGTACCACTCAGCCTGTTGGTCACAAATCTGCAACCTTTTCAAGTGTGATTTAGATTTAAACATTTGATCTTACTGTTGCTGTAGGCCCCAAGGTTGAGATCAAAGAGGAGGGAGGAGGGTTGAAAATGATTAGTGGATGCCCCGCCAATAAATATCTTGGTACTTTGGTACTTCATTGCTTGATGACCTCAACTCAACCACACTGCCGGACCCTTACTCAACCCACGCTGCCCTCCTCCTCCCTCCCCTCTCTCAACAATACGTATTGATCTCTGTGCTGCCAAGACGATCGTACTGCAGATCCTGCACCCTTCTTCTGAACAACATCTTCTTTGAGCCCGTCGCGCCCATAGCCATGGCCTTGCGAGGCCTTTGCCTCGTCCGACCAAGGAGCATCGCCTCCATCACCTCCTCCTCCTGCGCTTCCTCCTCTGCCCGACAAACCCGCCTCCTCTCGCCCATAATACCACAGACAGAATACATACTACCACCTCGACAACGACCCCTCCACCGTTTATTCTCCCAGACCCGCCCTCGCGCCCACCAGCGTGACCCTCGGCAACAACAGCAACAACAACAATCTCCCGAATACGACTATGACCCTTCCCTCGGCGACCCATGGTACCACCACCGCCTACGCACCGCGAAACCCCTCCTCTCCTCCACACCCGGCCAGATCATCCGATCCCCTCGCACACACACCGTCATCGTCGTCTCGGTCGCCCTCGCGCTGGGTTTCTACTGGTACAACCTCGAGGTAGTTCCCGTGTCGGGCCGCCGGCGCTTCAACTGCTACAGCGAGGCCACGGTGCGCGAGCTCGGCGCCATGCAGTACAAGCACGTGCTGTACGAGATGGAGCAGCAGGGCGGGCGGTTCCTGCCGGACCGCGACGCGCGCGTGCGCATGGTGCAGAGGGTCATGGCCCGGCTGATCCCCGTCAGCGGCATGGGCGAGGACGAGGAGAACGGCGGCTGGGAGGTGCGGGTGATTGACAACGACGACCTGCGCCAGGCCAACGCCTTTGTGCTGCCCGGCGGCAAGGTCTTTGTCTACAGCGGCCTGCTGCGCCTGGCGCGCACCGACGCCCAGCTGGCCGCCGTGCTGAGCCACGAGATTGCGCACAACCTCGCCGACCACATCTCGGAGCGCCTGAGCCAGAGCGTCGGCGAGACCTTCTTCCTCGGCTCCGCCCTCATGCTGCTCGCCGCCACCCCCTTCACCTTTGTCGCCGGCTACCTGTTCGGCGGCCAGCTCCTCGACCTGCTCTTCTCCCGCCCCATGGGCCGCATGCAGGAGAGCGAGGCCGACTACATCGGCCTGATGATGATGGCCGAGGCCTGCTACGACCCGCGCGAGGCCGTCACCTTCTGGCAGCGCATGGAGGCCATCCACCGCCTCGAGCCGCCCGAGTTCCTGTCTACCCACCCGTCCAACCTGCACCGCATCGAGAGGATCACCGGGTGGCTGCCCGAGGCAACTGAGAAGAGGGATGCTAGCGACTGTGTCGGTACCCAGGGCTTCGCAGAGATGTTCAGGCGGGCTATGGCAAGGGGAGATATTATCAGTGGTGGTGGCATGTAGTTTTTGTTCCCTGCGTGAGCCTCCTGGTCGTTGTTGTTGTTGTTGTTGTTGTTGTTGTTGTTGTTGTTGTTGTTGTTGAATGCCGATGATTGATTGTATAATAACAGCATGGCGTTTGTGGTTTTGTCTGTGTGCCTTGCCTTTCTCTCATAGTCTGGGCTTTTTGAAGTGATCAATGCTTGGTCAGGGACAGGCAAAATTTGGGTTGAGATGGAAAAAACCAAATCAACATCTTGAATAAAGGTTGGAGGGCGCGGCTATCTCGCCACCAGTATAGCTGCCAGCTGTTGTCCCTTCTCTCCACCCAGATACGTATCCTCCTCGCCCTCTAGGGACATCCTCGCCATCTCCAACGCCTCGCCGTACCCTCTGATGACCATATCCTCATCCACCCTGAGCCCGTTCTCCACCAGCGCCGTGATGACGCCCCTGATCCTCGTAATCTCCCTCATGACCTCCACCTCGATGTAGTCGTTCTGGCTGCTGTACACAGCCTGGCTCACGATGTCCTCCATGTTCGTCGCGCCCACCCCCCCACCTGCAGACGACGACGCCGCCGCTGTTGCCGCCGCCAGGCTCGCATCCTCGACGTGCTTGCTGATCCAGACATACCCATTGACGCCCAGCACGACATCAATCTTGGCCGCCCCGGACCCAGCACCGGACCCCAGCGTGCCCAGCGGCATCGTCCACACCTGCCTGCGGCTCCGCACCACGCCCCCGCCGCCGCCCGTGCCGCTGACGGTCAGAAACACGCCGTTGCGCAGCTTGCCGTACTTGAGACTGCGGGTGTGCAGCACGGCCCCGCCGTCCGGGTAGATCTGCTGGACCTCGGCGACGAGCAGGTCGCCCTCGGCGAAGAAGGACCGGATGGCGAGCTCGTCCGTCTCGGTGCGCCGCCGCTGGATCCCGCCGGGCAGGTTGATGGCCGACAGCGGCAGGCCGGCGAGCTGTGTGGAGCCGACGTCGACGCGCCACCGCCGCGACTGCACCTCCACGATGCGGCCTACCACGAGGTCGCCTACCTCGGGCGTGTAGCGCGCTCGCAGGGGCCGCACGGAGATGAGCTTGTTGGTGCGCGTCACGACGCCTGCCAGGGACGAGGTGATGGCTGTCGTGTCTGTGTTGGAGACGGTGTAGGTCCCGTGGCCTCTGTTTGGGTTGTGGTTGTGGCGGGTTAGCTACCTCATGTTGCAACCATTGTTTGTCCTAAGAGAGGGGGGGGGGGGGAGGACGGAGGGATCACTTACCTCATGTATTGTGTGTCGTCAGTGACGACCTCGCCTGGCGTCACAATGTCGCTGGAGTGTTTTGCGCGCTTGGATGGCCTGCCGCCTATGCTCATGAGGATGTCCCCTTCCACGTCGAGAGCGCCGCCGCCGCCGTCTGAGTCTGAGTCGGATGAGCTGGCTTCATCATCTCGACTTGACCACCTGGGGACGGGCTTGGGCTGTATGATTGTTATGGGCATGATTGCTATGTGGCCTCTGGGGCTATCGGGATGCCCAAGGCCGCTGGGATATGAATGGCTTTGCTTGCGCTCCTCTGTGGTGAGATGCGCAAGATGCGACTGAACTGCTTGAGCGATGAAATTTTGCCGTCGAGATGAGAGCTTGGGGGGTTTGTAGCGGGGTCTAAGACGGGTTTTCTTTTTTTGAACTTGTTAACTCTGAGAGTTGTTGAGGTTCAATTAAAGGATGAAATCCTCAAGCAACAAGTTCACAGTCTTGGTAGGCGTCGGAATTGAAAGGGGGGTATCTTGTTTATTGCGCCGGTTTTAGAGAAGGAAAGTTGCCATGCCCATGCAAAGAGGCTCATCATCAACTGAGAGCTCTTTCACTCTAGAGCGGCTTATCTTATCGGTACAGTACCTAGCCAGCTGCCGACCAGCTGCGGGTAGCGTGGAAGTTGTCTCTCATGGACCAGATCTTCCCAGGCCAAACGATACTTATTGTATTGATGTTGAGCAGAGATGTCGTACTTTTTCGAGGTCACCATCCGTCCAATTTCCTTGAGCTCATCCAAATAGTCGATAGATGCCCATCCAGGCCAGCCCAACCGAGGTCCCAATCAGTCCCGCCTTTCGCCCTCGTATGCCAATCCACGGCTTGCTCTTGAGAATCGACGCGCGGTTCTTCTCGAGCTGCTTCATGCCCTCCCAGTAGCTGTAGCCCGCAAGACCGATGAATGCCGTGCCGCCTGAATGAAGCCGAGTCACTCTTTTCAGCGCAACGTGTTCACAGGAGGGAGGGTGGGCATTGATTGTACAGAGGCCTGGTGGTTTGCGGGGCATGTGACAAGACAGCAAAAAAAAACTTACCGACGATGCGACACGAGGTGCAATCATAATCCCGTCGCTCCTGCTTGAGGAGGTCGTCAGCTTTGAGTGGCTGTTGGAGAGAGTGGACTGATGGCGAATTGCCAGCCATGTTTGGTAATCTTGGTTGAGAAGAAGAGCTGGTCGTTTCTACTTTGCTGGCTCGCAGTCAAGGCTTGAAATCCCAGCGCCAATTGCGCCTTTCAGAGTAGCCTTGGGGACCCCCTTTGGGTGGCTTTAGTGCTAACAAACCGACAGGGATACTAGCCGCTAGGCTTGACAATACAGTAGCCCTGAGCACAGCATTTTCCTGCTATGCTATGCATAGCAGTGAATAATTGGATAAGAAATACCTGAATATTTTATACAACCTGGAAAGGCTTACTGGTATAAATGAGCATGGTAACACTATTTCGTTATTAAATAATTTCTCTTTCAGTTTAAATTGCTTGGTATTGGAATATATAGATTAGGTAACAGTTTAATACTCACGCTTTCGAGCTGCTATGCTAGTTCCTGGAGTTAGAAAAGAATATAGTTACTAAGCACCGTAACCATTCAAATTTTTTCCGGCAATGGCACACATTACGTTTGTAGTGTGCCCCTTGGGGACGTCGAGCCCCAGGTTCGAATCCTGGGCCCGGCAAATCCTTTTAATTTTTTTTTTTAATTTTTTTTTTTTTTGGTTTGAAATTTCATTTCTTTATTCATTATCGGACTATTTGATATATGTTGATTCAATTACGCAGGAATGCAAAGGATTCGAGATCACCTTGGTTGAATGTCAGGGTCCAGTTGATGAGGAAGGGTTAGGGGCTGAGGTACTGCACAGGGTTGACCAGGGGTAGCCCTGTCCGCTCTGCAGAAGTCGTCATACCAACTTACTGTAGCCTATGCTTCCCAGTGTGCTATGCGAAACCCCCCGCCACACATGTGAACCACCTCACGTTTCCTGGTGCGCCCCCCCTCCAATATCCTCTACACACCCGCCCTCGCAGCCCTTGAAGATGGATGGCGTGATAGAAGCAATACACATCTTTGATGAGAGGAACTCGCCAATCCTGTCACATAGCTACACATCCCGACCAATTTCCGCCGCACACCTCCTACCGCTGTACCTGGCCCATCCTGCGCCGCGGCCAAACGTCCTCCTCGTCCCAAATACCAACCCGCCGACGCTCGTCTTCAGCCTCATCCACGGCAACCTCCTCTTCCTCCTGACCACATCCAGCGAGGTCGAACCTCTCCTCGTTCTCGAGTTCCTCCATCGTGCCATCGATGCCCTCGAAGAATTCCTCGGCGCGCCCCTCATCTCCCACAAGATCGAAGCCGGCTACGATGTGGTCGCCCAGCTCCTCACCGAGATGTGCGACGCCGGCACTGTCGCCACCACCGAGCCCAACGCCCTGCGCGACATGGTCGAGGTGGAGGGCTGGATGGGCAAGCTGCTGGGCTCCATCACCCTCCCCGGCCAGGTCAAGGACCTGAGCGCCCTGGGCCGAGCTCCCAGCCCGGGCATGCCCTCGCTCGCCCAGACAACCGCCCCCGCGCTGCCGTGGAGACGGGCCAACGTTCGACACACCAGCAACGAGCTGTACGCGGACGTGGTCGAGACGCTGAGCGTCACGCTTGCGCCGAGCGGCAGGCCGCTTGCTGCTTTTGCCAATGGCACCATCGCCTTCACGAGCAAGGTGTCGGGCGTGCCGGACATCACCGTGACGCTGAACGGGCCGTCGGGCAAACACAACCTGGGGGGCGTGCTGGAGCTGCCCGTGTTTCACCCGTGCGTGAGGCTGGCGAGGTGGAAGGAGCAGCCTGGGGTGCTGAGCTTTATACCGCCGGATGGGAGGTTCATACTGGCTGGGTATGAGGTGGACCTGCTGCCCTTCACCAAGAGCGGAAACCTGAGCGCGAGCAGCCTCAAGCTGCCTGTCAACATCGAGATGAAGACGGGGCTGGGGCCGACGGGGTCGGACTTTGAGGTCAGGGTCAATCTCAACAAGATCTTCGGCGCCAGCAGCAGCAGCATCAGCAGTTCGAGTTCCACAGGGTTTGGCCGAGGAGGCGCCAGCGCTGGAGGACGAGGCGCGGCACAGTCCTCGCCAATCATGGACGACATGGTGATTTCCGTCCCGCTGCCCGAAGACGTCAGAAACCTGCCTGAGATACGACCATCCAAGGGCGATGCGACGTACAACCCGGGCGACCGAGAGCTGCAGTGGTATATCCACGGCAAGGAGTTGAGCGCGGGTGCGACATACTTTAGCCTCCGATGTACTGTCGTGGGTCAGCCCACAGGAGAGGATGTTGATGACGCGCCGATGAAGAGCGACTATGCTTATGACGAGCCGTATCAGGCAGAGCCTGCGTCGGCCAGACTAGTAGACAAGACCTCGGGGGGCCAGGAGACGGACGAGGACCGGGATGCGAAGAAGATGGCACAGAACAAGATCCTGATGCCCAGCTCGGCATCTGTCAGCTTCACGGTGAAGGGGTGGCTGCCGAGCGGTATCAAGGTGGAGAGCATCCTGCTTGATACCAGGAAGAGCAGAGGGCTCGGGGAAGGGGTGAAGCCCTACAAGGGCGTCAAATACCTCACCGTGTCCAAGGGAGGAGTAGAGATACGGTGTTAAAAAGATGATTTTGAGCGGTAGCGAATGTTGATACCCTCCGATTGGATGCTTGACAAACCTCGAATCGAAATTGGTTCTCTATATTCAGCCCTGCAATATTGCAACGTGTACGAAGAAGTCGTTTTGGTCCGAGAGATGATGGTGATGATGATGATGGAAGCCCAGAAGTTTTCTATATCATATCCAAGGTTGGCCAGCCCTGTGTTCTCTCTTGATTGGCCATCTAATCCCCATTCGTCAACACAAAAGCCTCATATGTCTGCCCAGGCCCCAGTTCCTCCAGCGCTCCCTCATCCCACCTCGCAACCTCAGCCCAGCCTCTGATCAAAGCCCGCCAGTAACACGCCTCCGCCGCAGGGCTCATATACCCTTCCCCCACAAACATCTCCCTCTGCCTCCTGGCGATCCCCTCCGCCACACCAGGGTGCTCCTCCAACCACATGATGGTGTCCTCCAGATCGCTCCAGTCGGGCTTCACAAACACCATGTTTGCCTCTTCGGCGGGATATCTCACAGGCCACGCCCTCGTCACCATCTCGCTCGGCGTCCACCGCCCCTTGAGGCTCTTGCCGCTGCCGCTGCCGCTGCCACTGCCACCGCTGCTGCCGCTAATCTCACCAGCAGGCAGGTCAAACGAAAAGACAGGCCGCACCAGGTGCGTGGTATGCATCATCCACCCGATCGGCGGGCTGAGCACAACGCTCCCGCACATCTGCAGGAAGGGGAACCGCCCGCTGTACGTGACGCCCTCGGTGTACAGGACGTACTTGTACCTGCAAAAGTCCTCGATGCGCAGCGAGTTGCTGGCCGTCCTCTCCCCGTTGGCGTCGGGCGCCGTGTCCCACTTCAGAGCCTCGACGTCCGCCCACGGCTTGTCGCGCGTCGTGGTCATGAGGTTCTGCCGCAGCCGCGGGTTCTGCACGCTGTTGAACCAGGTGGTGCCACGCCACACGGCCCGCGGGATCTTGGAGGCGAAACCACTACTACTACTACTACTACTACTACTACTACTCGAGGCACTCTCGTCGTCGTCGTCGTCGTTCTCCTCCTCGATGGCCGTGATGGCTGCTGCGGCGCGCCGCACGGAGCCGATGAAGGGGAGTTTCCAGGCCCAGAAGGAGAAGTGCGGCATGAGAAAGGTGCGGGCGTCTGGGTTGCCGTCGTCGTAGCCTGGGCGGGAGTGCGGGTCTGCCTGGCGCGAGTAGGCCCAGGCGGTGCCGAAGGGCTGGTCCTGGAAGTTGAGGGCGAAGACGGTGTCTGGGAGGGGTTCCTGTGGTGGTGCGGTGACCAGGGCGCGGTGGATCTGGTGGAGCGAGGCGGTGCGCGAGGCGAGCATCTCGGTCGAGAGGTCGCGCTTGCGCTGGGACTTGAGGATGGTGAGCTGGCCGTTGCGGATGCGGACCAGGACGGGGGCGGTCTTGGTGTTGATGTGGAAGGGGCCCTGGGAGACGACGTCGTCTATGGACCAAGTAAGGTTGGGGAATGAGGCCGAGCACTGTGTGGCTGTGAGAGTGAGGTCGTTGAGAGGAGGAGGAGGAGGAGGAGGAGGAGGAGTATGACGGTGTGGGTTCGAGGTGAGACTGCCATTCCGTGAGCTGCGTGGTGTTCTGCCCGTGAAGAAGAGGTAGTATATCAGACAGAGGAACCCTGTGATGTAGAGCCCAGCTCGCACCCTCCGCCTCTGCCTGGGCCCCATGGATTTATCGACAATCATGGCTGCTGAAGCATCTCACATTGCGAAGTGTCTCCGTATGGATGTTCTCATGAGTCCAGCCCTAGACGATGTGAAATAAACAAGGTATGAGACCTCAAACCTGGCTCATCATCATCATCATCATCTTCTTCATTACCACCATCATCCACTTGTGAATAGAAGAAGGTGAGCTGGCGAGATTCTATCGCTGCTGTGGCGGCGGTGTTGCAGGTGCAGCCCCTGAAATAGAACCACGGCGGATGATGCTCCGGGATAATTGCAGGGGGCCCGTTTCTCCGCTATTGATGACTGAATTTTTGTCGGGAAATACACGGTGTACATGAAAACAAAGTGCTTGTCCCCAGTATTTCTGGTTGGTAGAATTAGTAGGAACACTGTACATTGAGGAAAAATGGTTGACCGTGCTTGGCTTCATCCTGCCTACAGTATACACTCCTGAGGCTGTTGTTGTCAAGCTTTCGTGGTACGGACATCTGGTTTCAACCTTCACCCAGAGAGATCCACCAATCATCTTACACGGCCTATTGAGAACGAGCACAATGCCCGATTCCGCTCCATGGGCTTTGCGTGTGACTGTCAACTTGTCGAATCATGAACTCGTAAAGCATGTTGTTTCTAAGATGCTGAAAAGGTATGTGCAATACGAGAAGATGTGTCAGCGTGCATGCATGGAATATGTGTGAGCAAGTAGGTCCTTTCCTGAAACTTCTGACCTCGCTGGCCTAAGATGCACTCTATTTCGATCATCCGTCATAGCAAATCATTCCTGTGCACCTTTCCTAAGATCATCAACTCTCCACTTTGACAATCCAGCCGGCTCGTCTAGATCCACTGACGGTCCCCAGGCCACATCCCCTGGCCCAACCTTCCCTCCCATCGCATACTGCTTCCCAAGGGGCCTCGTCGGCTCCCTTCCCTCCCAGTGTCTTGCCTCTACGGGGAGCGGCGTCCACCAACTCTCTGGCGGTCCGGGACGTGCATGCCATGACGCGCTGCACATCTCCCAGAGCCGGCTGGCGGCGCGCTTGTATGCAAAACGCTCGTCCTCGCCTGTGAACGCGGCCGTGTTTACAAAGTCGACTTTTTGCCCGACGATGCCAAAATCGGAATCGATCTCGGCGTGAATGGACGAGGTTCGGGTGGAGGACTTGGGAGCGTCTGTGTAGCTGGAAATGTTGGGGCGGAAGGGCGCGGCAGAGTCCTGGAAGACCTCAGACACCGTCTCGGAGTAGGTTGCGTCCTCGTGCTCCCCAGTGCTGTTAGTTGTTGTGGTTCGTGTTGTGGTGCGGGTCACAGTTGTCAGGCCTGGTTTGCCTGGCTGTCGCCGGTTCTGCTCTGGGAAGAAGAGGTTATCCGGGCCAACTTCGGCGCGGATGAGGACCTTACAGCGGGCCTCGTACAGAGCATCGAGCAGCGTGATGAAGCGTCGTGCTTCGTTCTTCATAGCAACTGGCAGCACTGGCACCTTGTCAATGATGAAGGTGTGGAAGTTGGAGGCCAGCGTGATGTAGTCTGCTGGTCCGAAGGCGTGCACGAGCTCGTTGAAGTCCCAGTGGGTCACGCCCTCGTACTGTCGTGGCACATTGATCGCCCGTCCGTATACGACAAGTCTTGTCGGTTTCCATGGGACGGATTGACTAACTGGGTTGTTGATGGTGTCGAGCAGCATTCGATTCCAGACCTCAGGTTCGTCCACCGTTAGACCGTATTTCCGAGGTGTGGTCGAGTCGCCGACGTCATCTTTCAACAACAGCGGCCCTTCAGCCGGAACCTCTGTGCTGTCACCTGTGTGCTCAGTAATATCTGAGGACCGCCCTAGGGCTTCAGCCTGCTCCGTGAGATCTCGCCTACGCCAGTCTTTTGCTCCCTCCATGTGCCAGAAATCACATCTCGCCTTCAGCACCTCGACAAAGGCGGCAAAGTCACTGGTGCTCCCATACAACTCTCCTTGTTGCTTGTTCCTGGTACCTAATAGCTGTTTTACAAGCCCTCCCGTCACAGGTGCCGGATACTGCGCACCCACGGCCTTCTCCAGCTCGTCGGGCATGCGATTTGACGAGGCAATCAGGACCCCTCCGAGCTGGAAGAAAGGGATGAAGAGATTGCTCAAGATCTTGCTCGATGCCCGGTCTGGCAGCTGGAACTCGTCCAGAAATAAAATGGGCGACTGCTCGATCATTTCCTTGGCCAGCCATAACAAGGACCACTCCCGATCGTCGCGGGCGAAGGAGGGATGCGACTTGCGGAACTTCTCCAATCGTGAGATGCTATAGAGCATAAATGTGTTGAAGTGCCACCGTTTCTTCCGGCTCGTGGGTAGACCGTCGGCGAGGAGGTCCAGCAGCATCGATTTTCCGGTGCCCACCTCTCCAGAGAGGAAGAGACCCTTGGGAGAGTCCACATCAAGCGCAGCCTGATGGCTCGTGAGGACGCGTGTCAGGGCTAAGCTGTCACGGGGACCTTCTGAGGATCGGAAAAATCTCGAGAAGAGGGGGTTGCGCCGAATGGGATGGCTCTTGACTGCCAGCTGGTCTGTCTCATTTCCTCTGGCGCCGTCAATAGCCTGCGTGATCTGATGTATCCTGCTGCGGTACTCTGAGAGAGGCTGGTAGTCTTTGAGACGCACATAGAGTTTCTGGAGGTGAAGGGCCAGCCGATGCTGTGCAGGGTCAGGAGAAAATAGGCCGGTGGCTATGAGGGCATTGTATTTGACAAGGGGGTCTGTGATCGTTACCGCCGTTCCCAGGCGATTCATCCTCAACGGAGTCAAGTATATATCGCATGTATGTTCGTATGTGCCACGACGAAAATACAACGATGAGAGCGAGATGGCACAATGAAGAAAAGGAATTTATGAGCGGTTGCAATACATTCTCTTTATGAAAATGATAATAAAAGAAATACAATATGCACAGAATTTCGTGGTAAGCTCACGGAGCCGTCACTGAAACCATTGATATGGTGGTGGCGGCAGCGGCGATGATGATGGTGGTGGTGAGAATGAAAACGTTGGAGATATTGAATGGTGATGATATCAACACTCACCTCTTTTGCCGTTTCATACGCAGCGATTATAGTACGCCATAGCAGTATCTGATGTAATCTACTCCCAAGGTAGGTCCTGTCCTGCTCAATCAAGTACTGTGCATTACATACTGTGTACTCTCAACCACCATAGCTCCTACGATAATAAGTAGGTTCCAGGCTTCTAGTAATATTGTACATACAATATGTATTATCGCTCTTGTTCTTCCGAATATTCTTTGATGGTGATTCATCAAATTCATTGGATGCTTAGACAAGGCCTTGAAAGGATCATTCTTTCATCTCTTCTTGTTACGTGTATGTTTGCGTTCGGGAAACAGAAAGTAGCACTGTAACTACTAAAGACCCTGGGCCCATGGTCCTGGGTCTGCGCTAGCCAGTGACTATTTGAAGCTTAGCGGTGTGGGGAAGAGCTCCTGTGCCCGCCCCCCAGCTGCCCTGCTGCCCTGCCAGCTATAGGCCATTCAGCAATAGGCCACTCAGAGCCAATACCCTGCTGCCTTAGTCCCGTAGCACACTGTACCTGGCCAGGTGGGCACAGACCAACTGAGTGTTGACCTGATCTCTCGGACCTGGAAAAGTTGGGAGACCAATCTTTCTCTCGACGGCTTTTCACCATCAAAACAACAACCTTTTTCAGTGCCTGCCTGGCCTGATCTGACTTGATCTGCTTCTGCTCATCCTCAAGTTGCTCGCCTACAGTCACTGGAGAGGTGCGCGCTCTATCGGTCGACTACGACTTTGCGCATCAGTTCCCAGATATTTCAACGGCACCGCGAACCGTCAACAACACTCCACATCCTCTTTCTTCCACTTGGGTTCGCGTCCGACAACTTACACCTTACCTTGCACGTCACGATCCACTTCTCGAGCATGGAATAGGCGCGCTCTCCCATCGCAATACCTTCGACTTCATCATTCCTGCGGCTTCTGGAGCTCTTCTGTGCTGCTCCTCGTAGCCATCGCCACCCGCGTCGGCAGCTAGGCCATCCATCCGCACCTCACCGCCGCCATGTTCTCTCCATCTCAGAACAGCGCTGGCGGCCCAGCCATGGCAACCCGCAGCCGCCGACGACAGCGCAACCCGAGTGGTGACAACAGCCTGACCCAACAGCCCAAGGCGAAGCGACAGCGCGGCCCCCTGACCGAGTCCACCTTTACCAACCCCGAGGTGAAGAGCTCTCAGCCGGAGATGCTCGAGGTCAAGCACGATAAGATTGCGCGGTTGCCCTCGAAGCCTGACGGCCTGGACAGCGCGGCAGCCGCCACAAAAACATTCCGTCGAGAGGTCACAGTGCGGTCGAAAAAGCCCAAACAGGGCGAGCGCACAAGCAAGAGCGACGGCAGCGTTGAATTGGTGAGTGGTGTCCTAGCCTACATGTAGACTGTCGACCTGTTGCGCTTTATTATATTTCTCTAACTTTAAGGTCTTTCCATAGACAAAAACAAGCGCGTATACCGTGAGCAAGCTGCAAGCACTACCGGATAGGGTTCGCGCAGAAACTGCTGGTGAGTATTGCCAATTAAGATCTGACGAGACCCCTAGAGGGGACTGACACAGGCAACTTAGGCCGTCAACACGGTGTACTCGATGCCTCCAACGGATTCGCCCTCTGCCTGACGCACACGCACGCCTTTGTCTGGCAGTATGCCTCAACAAGTCCCTCGCCCGAGACGTTCACATTCACCCTACCATATCCCTCGAAGCACACGTCCGACCCGCTACCCCTTGGAGCCTTTGTCTCGCCAGGAACTTCGAACGAAGAGCCTGGTCTCGTAGTGGTTATGCCCGTGAGCGGAAAAATCTCGTTCTGGGAACACATATCCAGCGCAGCGACCCTCGACTACTTCACACAGCAGAGAACTGGCGTCGAAGACACGATCCCTGGCCTGTTCGGAGGCGAGCACGTTGTACAGGTGACCAGGGCCGACTCTGCAGGCTTCATACTAGCTCTCAGCAGTGGGCGATTGGCACATCTCAGCGTCCGTGACGGCCAGGGGAAGCCAGCAATATCCATTCAATTCCTCCGGACCACATGGGGCCAATCATCTGGTGTATTAGACAGCTTCTTTGGGGGGATCAAAAACGCCTTGAAGTCAGCCGTCCAGCGTGGCGATCTCGCAGCTGTGAGGGTCGATCCTGCTGTCCGAGCTGGCCCGAGGAATGTTGTGGCAGCGACAAAAGCGGGCAGATTGCACGCCTGGCGGGTACAACGTGGAGGGCTTCACGAGATCATTGCCAGCGTCGATACACGTGACGCCATTCTGTATGGCCTCCACGAGATCCTCCCAGGGCTTACTTCAGGCCTCGACTTCGAGGTTGTCGATTTTACGTACGTGCCAAGAAACATCGAAGAGAAATACACCCAGGCCAGCCGGTTGAGCGACGCCCTTCTCAAGGACGATGACTCTACGCAGCACCTCCTACTCTTGGTTTCTCTGAGCAACAAGCGCCAGTCGCAGTATGCTCTTGTCGAGATCGAGATTCAGGGTGAAGCTTCGCAAGTCGGTATGATCAGGACGATCTCATCATACACCACCCCCGTCAACCCTTCAGCGACCTGCAAGCCACGGCTCTACCTCCCGAGGCCAGCCCTGGTCGCCTTCATCATCTTTGACCGTGCTGTTGTCGTCGCCTCGGTGGCCGCGCCACCAGAGACACCCGATTCGCAGTTACAGGAAGAAAATCACGTCATCCCCGCGACTTTCGAAGATGTCGTAGATCTAAGGAGTGAGGACTCTCTGGAGGTTGTGGGCACGGGACTGGAAGAACCACAGGGTCCAGGTCAAGAACTTGAGACCTCGAGATCTCACCGGCCCAAAACAAAGAACCCGACTGCGTTGCTACTGGTTCGAGGCATCGGGGTCGTCAAGATTGCCCTCCCGGACGTGGACCGCTTCGCCAGCGAGGACCCCCCAGAAGTGACGGCAAAAGACAAGCTGGAACAGGCCGTTTTCTATGGCCTGAAAGACGACAACCCGTTGGCGTTCGAAGGCCGGAGAAATACGCAGTTTTCTGACGACCAAGTGGCAGACGCAGCCGTGGCGCTGTCAGATGAGATCCTCGCGTCCAAGCCGGCCGCTCTATCAGGAGGCTCAGCCTCGACGGACACCAACCTGCGGCAGCGGAGCATCTGGCTTGACAAGCTCATGTCGCATCTCAATGCGCAGAAGGTGGCTCTGAATCGTCGCACCAAATGGTACCTGCTTGCCAATGCCGAGAAGCTGCACTCGGCCCGAGAGGTCTGGAGACTGCATGAGATGTTCTTGAACGAGCGCCCAAGCCACGAGAAGAAGACGATCGTGTCGGAAGCCATCGAATGCATCAACGAGGAGGCAAAGAAGGCCCCCGACCGGTCATCTGGGGAACTTGATCGCGCCCGCACGTGGTTCATCTACGATACGGGCAACCTGGATGTCTTCCTGCCCTGGAATTACCAGGTGATCAAGCAGTTCCGAAAGCACCAGCTCGCCGACGCTGCAGCCATGACGCGGCTGCTCTACGAGGCTGTGACCGTCTTCTACGAGACCCTTCGCGGGGCTCGAGAATACCGTGCACGCAAGCTAGACCTCTACGGCCTCAGCGGCGAGGTCATGCAGCTAGGAATCCTCCTAAGGACCGAAGATTATGAGAGCCTGCCCAAGTTCTGGACATCGACAGAACTCATCTGCGAGTATTTCTACCGCCTCATCGAGCTGTGCGAGCTCTGGCTTGATAACCACCGGCCTGCAGACGCCAGGAATGGAGGACCGACCGCAGACCTACTCGAATCGATCCGAGGCATCTTCCCAAATCTCATAGACCAGCTTTTTCTCACCCTGCACGAGTTCATCCGGTGGTCAGATGGGAATGGAGACGAGGGCATCGATCACAACGGGACGCCCTTCAGCGAAAAGTGCCGATCTGTCATTCTCAGCACCACCGACCTGCTGATGAAGCTCGTTAAGTACGGGCTCACCGATGAAGCCCTCTCTATTGCCGAGAAGTATCACATCAACAAGGCCATGGCACAGTTGGTCGTCACCCAGATGATGGATCTCAGGGCGGAAATCGCCAAGTCGCGCAAACCTGATCAGCTGCGCGTCAGCTTGGACAGCAAGAAACAGCAGCTGATGCAGTACATGGATGAGTACGGTGCCAGCTTTGCCTTTGAGGCCTACAAACTGCTCCTGGAACATGGTGGCCCCCAGGAAATCTTGAACTTCTCGTCCTTGGACAAACAAGGCTTTGCGACCATGTTCCTGCGGAATGATGAGCGGCTTGGCAAGGTCTCGTGGATCAACGACATTGAGCACGAGAAGGATCTCAAGAGGGCGGCCCAGACGCTTGTTGATGTCGGCGAGAGGGAGGAACAGGTCTGGAGCAAGAAGATCGAGCTGAGCCTGGGCAAGCTGACACTGCTGGCCGATGGCGCAGGCGCAGATCCTGAACAAGCAACAGCCGAGGATCGCAGCAAGGCCGCAGAGTTTGACGCCGAGCTCGTCCGGATCGAGAAAGACCTGGAGATCATCCGCATACAAGACAGGCTCTACCAAGTCCTGTCTCCCTCCTTCCAGGATGCGGTGGATGATGTGGCAGCCGTCGAGCTCGCCATGCAGACCTTTGCACCTAAGATTCCTAAGAAGTACAAGGTGCTCCAGGACGACCTCCAGGACGCCATGAGCTCACTTGTCGCGCACAAAGCAATGGCACCGTTGACCCTGATCAACCTTCTTACACTAATTCGGTTGGACGAGATTGGTGGCCAGGAGACGGACCTGTTCTCGGACGCTATTCGCATCGCTGACCTGGCCCTTCATGGCCCCCTGAAGCAGCAGGCCATGCGGCTCGTCTGGCGACGGTGCTATATCCGTGATGACTGGTCCAAGGTGAACCACACAGAGAACATGAACGACGGTGCGGTGCTGCACATCCTGCGGCAGACACAGGCTTACTGCACCATGGTGGCGTGCATCCGATGGCGACTAAGCGATCCCCTGGTTCAGGCGCCCAGTCTGCACGGTCATTCTGCTCTATCTGCTCTCTCAGAAATGAACGGAACCGACAGAGATCACATCTATATCACCTCTCCTGAAGAAGCTCAGGGTGTCTTCACAGAGGCCTCGGAGGAGCGCTTTGGCTCCGAAAATGATGACCCGGCGCTGCTCGAGAAGCGTGCAGAGGCTATGCGCTGGGAGGATACGGCCTTGAAGAAGTTTGCCGAGAAGAACCAGCTGGTGAAGTGGGCTTCAGCTGCGTACGAGGCGGCAGACAGGGCCGTGCGATTCCACAAGGTCGACGCTGTCGCTAATGGCACGAATGGCGCGAACGGCAACCTTGCCAACGGCAATGATGTGGCTAACGGCCACGTAGTAGACAGCATTGAGGAGGACGAGGAGATGGACGAGATCTCTTGATGATGATCGTGGTGGGAAGTGGAGGAAGAGGAACATTTGGTGGATGGAAAAGAGGAATGCCGGGACCTTCGTTCGGGATGGCAAAAGACAACAAAACAAAACTTACTGGCACGCGCTTGCTATGCGGGGGCCTGATTGAATTATGGCCATCTGACCTATCGTACTCAAACAATATGCATCAACACGGGAAGGGGAGGGGAGTGACTACTTGCGGTTTGGGCGGCGTTCACGGCTTGTGTTTGCAGGAAAACATGGCCGCAAAGGAAAGAAAGAGTGTAGCATTGTTTTTTTCCTTCTGTGTTCCGTATAACACCATTCTTTACAGGTTTCAAGGTTCCCCCACCTGTGTGTGAGAGAAGACGAGGAGATTTGTCCATAAGTGTGGACATCGAGCAACAAATGCAACGTAACACAACATAATGGATGATGGCCATAGCAAAAATAGCAGAAAGAATTTCGAAATCGATTGCGATCTGGCATGCATGTCTTATGATGACTTGGCTCGTTATGTTTGTCGTCTGTCACCGCAGCTCGTCCTCAAAACACGACAGACAGTAGCCAAGATAGATGGATGCTATTACCGAACAAGGAGGCCCCATAATCGATCGTAAAGACAGAGGGAAAACTAGGGCCCCGTTTTTAAGCAGCCTTTTCCCCTTCTCCTCACACCACCCCATTCTTTTTCAATGTGCCTCAATCACGAGGACCCGCATAAATCTGACAAAAGAGATCGGTAGATTCTTGTTCCTAGCCAAAGCCCCGCATTTTGGTTTCTATAACGTCTTGGTAATTTCTTCTTCATGTGGTTCCAAGTTACGGTGAACCAAACAAGAAAAGAGTTTTCGGAGGGAAAAAGTCACCGTATAATCCAATTCTTCTACGATGTCTTCATTCAGTGAATAACCACTCACCAATCCTTGCGTTTTTGTCTCTGGCTTCTACTCACCACTCAATCCGGGTCAACATCAACCGAGGTCAAGCATCACACCGTCCCGGCATCGGTCACTGCTTGAGTCACGGGTGTAAACACATTTATTGTATATTTGCTGGAGAGTCATCTTTTGCTACATAGCCTCATCATTCTTGGGTTCGGATAAACAGTAGGAGGAAGAAAAAGGAAGAAAAGGAAAACAAAGAGGGGGGAAAGTGTATACAATACATGTACAACACATGGTGCCATACATTCACATGATTCCTCGCCAACAATAGCATCATAATGAGTTCTCCAGGCAAAAGCAGTCATCATATCCACAACGGGATCGGTCCGCTGCAGCGGCGGCAGCAGCAGCAGCAGCAGCAGCAGCATGGGATCAATGCTGCTCCAGATGAGCAGACGCCCCTGATTGGAGCCAGCGCATCAGTGCATACTGAGAGGCGGCAACAAGAACAGGCCCATGACGATGAGCGGGCCGAGCCCGACGACATTATCGACCCGGACGACTTCGACCTGCTCCTGACCAAATCGACATCCTACACGCCAGGCCCTCTCCTGGGACCCGAGTCGAGCGAAACGCCGCTGCTGAGGGGTGAGCGCAAATACAGCACAAGCCATGGCTCGCACAAGGTGTTGTTTAGCCGACGCACGTCTGTGTGCAGCGGGGACGGGGAAGAGGAGGCTGTGGATGATGACGATGATAGTGATGAGGAGGCTGCTCTGAGCCCCTTTCACGGAGGCATGTCATACGGGCGGTTCTGGTTGATCTTCGGCAACGTCCTGGCGCTCAACTTCGTCTCCAACTTTGACTCGACGCTGATGGCGTCCTCGCACCCTGTCATCACGTCCTATTTCCACAGCTCCAACTCGGCGTCGTGGCTGTCGACGGCGTTCCTCCTGACTTCGACGGCCTTCCAGCCGCTCCTAGGAAGCCTGTCCGACACCATCGGGCGCAAGACGCCATACATCTTCACCATGCTGGTGTTTGCCCTGGCCACGCTGTGGTGTGCCCTCGCCCAGAGCATGGTGAGCTTCATCGCGGCGCGGGCGGTCTGTGGTCTGGGGGCGGGAGGCGTCATGATCCTGGGCAGCATCATCGTGAGCGACCTGGTGCCCATAGAGCATCGTGGTGCCTACCAGAGCTATATCAATGCGGTCTATGGCGTGGGCTCGACCCTCGGTGCCGCGCTGGGGGGGTTCATGGCGGACTATCTGGGCTGGCGCTGGGAATTTGGCATCCAGGTGCCTCCTCTGCTCTTGTGCGTGGGCCTCACCATCTTCACCATCCCGCACGACCTCGGCCTCACTTCTGGTACCCAGAAGGCCACCTTCCTCCAGGCCATGAGGACCTTTGACTTTCAGGGTTCCCTCCTCCTCACCAGCGCCATCACCTTCCTCATCCTGGGCCTCAACCTCGGCGGCAACGTCCTCCCCTGGACCCACCCTTTCGTGCTCGCCTCCCTCGCCATCTTCTGCATCGCCTTCCCGCTCTTCCTCCGCGCCGAGACCAACGCCGTCCGCCCCATCATGCCCCTGTACCTCATCCGCCGCAGCCCGCACGCCAACATGATCTTCAGCAACGCCCTCGCCGCCTTCATGATGAACGCCATCATCTTCAACATGCCCCTCTTCTTCCAGGCCGTCCTCCTCACCTCGGCCACCACCTCGGGCCTCTGCCTCATGATCATCACCGTCGTGTCCAGCACCGCCGGCACAGCCACGGGGTTCCTCGTCAGCTGGACCAGGCGCCTCAAGTGGCCCATGTCTCTGGGCACCTACGGCTTCTTCCTCGGCACCATCGCGCTCTCCTCCATGCAGAGGGGCTGGCCCATGCCCGCCTACCTCCTCTGTCTCGTCCCGCACGCCCTGGGCCAGGGGTTCCAGTTCCCAGGCACCTTCATGGCCATCCTCGCCGCCAGCGAGCAGCGCGAGCAGGCCGCCGTCACGAGCACCCTGATCCTCTGGCGCAGCGTCGGCATGGTGCTTGGCATCGCCGGGTCGAGCCTTGTCGTGCAGAATTCCCTGTGGCGGTATCTGGACCTGTATGTCACGGACGAGGCGGCGCGCGCGGCTGGGTTCGTGGGCCGAGAGGAGGTCGTGGAGAGGGTGAGGGAGAGCGTCGAGGCTGTGGCGAAACTGGGTGGCATGGTGCGGGAGCAGGTTGTGGAGAGTTACGAGGCGGCTGTGCGGACTACGTTCTTGTGCTGTGTGGGGTTTGCGGTGGTGAGCTTTTTGGTATTATTGCCTGTGAAGTTGCCTAGGTTGGGGCAGAGGAAGAAGTGAGGACTGGAAAGGTGGTTTTCGTGTCCATTAGATGATGAACAAAGTCTTATTTGTTGTCCACCTCTCTATCCCCCCCCCCCCCTTCTCTTTCTTTCCTTCTTCTTTTGTATCTTTTCTAGATGGATAAGTAAACAGACCTCATACATGTAGAGTCATAGTCAGTCAGAATGGCCCAAGAATGGAAACAGAACAGGAATTGATTAGCGTCATGACTTTTCCTCCTTTTCTCTACGCGTTTACAATTGGCTACTTTTCATCCAATACGGTTGACTGGAGCCAGTCGGACAATACAAACATGCGAATCACGACAAAGCAGACATTGTTCGACGAACATGACAATGCTTTGGAACTTCTTTTCCAAAGACGAGCTCATAAGGAATTGAAGTGGTGGTAATTAATGGTGATCTTTGTCGTCTTGAGCCTATTTCTGCCAACAAAGCTTCTTTATCCACCTTGTTGACCTTCTACTTGTACCCGTCAACAATGTGATTGTATGTATGGTGAACAAGGGTTCCAAAATCTTATATTATGAGCTGAAGTGGTCACCGGAATCTACTCACTTCCTTGTTTTGAACTACTCCTCCTCTTCCACAGTTGAGGAGACGACGTTGACTACTTGAGTTACCTCCATCATCCTATTATATATACTCAGACACTAACAAGATTCTGTAGTAGAAACCTATTACTATAATCCCACATTGCAATGGGTGCCGAGCAGGATGAGCGTAGCCGCCGTTCCAACGCGCCCTCGCCCGAGCCTCAGCCTCAACCTCGCAGGTGAGAAGCTTATGGATTTACCAGGTGAGTCCTCCCCTTGTTTTCGGACACACTGATAGATACGCATCTTAGATAAGGCTTTGTGTGGCGCAGAAGCATCTGCAGATCCATTTCTCAAATTCCCACCCAGATGATGAGGTTACAAAAGGTATGATATATCACCCCTTCTAGATTGCTAAAGCTACAGCAGGTACAATATTATATTTAGGATTTATTCTATTCTGTTATTCCCTTTCTTCTCCTTCTCCAGGTAAGCCAACCCCAGCACACGTGTCTTCAAGCCTATAATCATACGCAAGCCCTCTCGCCTCTCCGAGTCAAGTGGTCAAACAGATTACTCAAATTTCACCTCCTTCTCATTAGTAGACTGCATATAAGTCATGAAGTATTGACCAATAATCTGAATATCTCTTCTCTCCCCTGTGCCGTCCATTTTCTCTCAATAGCCACCTAACACCCATCCAGCAGCCGACAAACCGTCTCAGGGTCCAAATGCTCAGCCACCAGTTGCACCAACTGGAACCCAAACGCGTCCAGAAACGCATCGCATGGGCCAGCGAGGTCGAGGGCTTGGATAACCCCCCCGTTGCAATAGTTCTTCAGCTCGGCCACGGCCACAGGCTCGCTCACGCCCGCGTCGAGCGAGGCGAGAGCCGTCTCGGCTTGGACTTGGCAGAGAACGCAGTTCACCGTGCCGAAGACTGTGTAAGGGCCGTCTAATCAGTGCCTTGCTGCTTCTAAAAACTTCTTGAGGGAGAGGCGGGAAGAGGGGGGGGGGGGGACTGTACGTTGTCCGGAGACAGGCGTCGTGGAGAACGCCACCATGGCACCGAAGAGTCCCAGCATACGGGCAACACGGGCGGCCATCTTTGTTGTGATTGATTGGGACGATGCAAGACGCAGGTTGGGTGAAGAGAAAGTAGATCTTGTGTTGTTTTGTTCTATCTCTTTCTGGTTTCCAGGGCAGGTATGGTTAGCAGGACCTTTATCCTTTTAATGAAGAAAATGTTTACGTCCTGAACGAGAGAGCGGCACACCCACTCTAGGAATTTTTGGATACGCGAATCCTATCCATTCCAATGCCATCGCGACCTGCGATGCCAAGCTCTCGGTCGCCGAAGCGTCGCAATCCTGTTAGGACTTCCCAATCAGTTTTGTTTACACATTTGAGGCTCAGATCTAAGCACCGGGCGAAAAGATTACTGCACAGTGTTTTACGATATGCCCCCCACGTGTGCTAAGGGCTAGCAAGCTCATCTAGTCGGAACTTTAGTCATTTGTAGGATCCGAAGTCCAGACATTTGGGCTTGAGAAATGTGGGATGCAAGACATGATATGGATGGAATGGAATCCCTACGTAGATAGCATTGTCTAAGAAGGAGGACTATGAATGATTAAGTGCCTACTAGGCTACCACAACGAAAGTGTTCATACCAATAAAATTAGCGTGACGCATGCCACGATGCTTAGATACAATCGACGATCAAATGCCACGTCTTCTTCGGTGTTTTCTTTCCTCCTCTAATTACTATGTTACGAGCAGCAGCCATAGTGGCTGGCAGAGTTTGTCTGCCGTGACCAACTCATGAGACTCTATTGTTTCCGCCGTTTATTATTTCGAACTGCACACTCCTCCTTCTACGCCTCCCCTGAAATCAATATTCGCTATCGTGTAATTCATTAGATGTCTTTGCAACATTAGCAGCACAGTCTGCGACGCCACAACTTCCCAAACGGTCGACATGCCCAAGCTGTTGGAGACTCTTTGGTTTGATTTCCTGGCGGTCCACATGAGTCTCGAATGCGCCGCACAACTTGTGCGAACACATGGTAGCGGTCGGCAACGTGGTCGATCCCCATTTGGGAGTGCAGCTATACGCAGCACCGGCTATCTTCGTTATGCAGGATGTCTGCTCTCTCGAGAAGGCGAAAGGTGACTCCGTATACTGCGATGCTTTTCTTTTTCTTTTTCTCCTTTCTTGCTTTCTTTATAATTGTTGCTGGCAGAGCCATGACCGAGCTGGGCCGCTCTGCCTGAAGAGAGAACCGTTCGTGGGCGAAATTGTTGTTCTTGAACAATACGACTGGCTTTTTCTCCAAGTCTAAAATGTTGCGGGGCCGTGATGGTGAGATGGATTGATTGGGCCCAGCAAAGATTGGGCGGTCTGACAAGGCTCTCGTGGTGCACCTCCGACCGGGGACCGATATTAGTGCTTCTTGTCTCGTGTCATGCTAGTTGACCCTGAGGAGCCCTGCGCAGGCGTCATCGGCCAGGAAGACGAAGAGTCTCCGAATTGTACTGTGGTGCCGTAGGCGGAGGAGGTGTGCGTGGACGGCGGGAAGGATGAGAAGATATGATGTCCGCCTGCTGCAGAAGTCATGCTCGAACCAGCACCAACCGCTCCCTCCTGCAGATTCGACGACATTCTGCTCTGGGTCTCCTCTTCTAGCAGCGTCAGTTGGGCCTCGAAGACCTGAAGGGCGTGTGCGGCGCGTGCTTCGGCTGTAAGGTGGCTGGTCGTGGATCCGGGTCAGTGATTGTTCCTAGCCTGTATTGGTGGTCGGCGAGTGACCGGTGGGACTTCTGTGGGAAATACTTACGGTGCATGCGTATATGTTTGGTGGCTCTGGCCTGCGACTGAGCGATCTGCGGTACGTCCCGAGCGCGAGCTACCATGCTTTCCCGACTTTGGCTTGGTCATTTTGCTTGCTGGAAGGAGTATTTTAAATATGTTCTGTGTGTGTAATGAATTCGCCTCGCCGGCTGTGTATGATTTCGCTGGGTTTCGCCTTGACAAGTGGTGACGAGGCTGGGTTGTTGAAAGACAAGTCGAGACGAGCTGTGAAAACAAAACTCGGATGGCACGGTTCAAGGCCAATAAATACTTAATTGGGAGCTTTTTGTATGACCGCTTGGTGGGTGCAATAAGCACAGATTACAGCACCCGTGGCTGGCGCACGGCGAGGCAGCCGGGTCCTTTTGGCTTGCAGATCAGCTTTGGATGCAAATCAAAAGGGTGGGAATGACAGGCCAAGGCCTCTTGTGGGTGCCCACGAGGGTACTGTCATCTGCACTCCGCACATAGTTATTGGCGCTGAGGACGGTCATGCTTTAATGCCCTCTATGGCAAATATTTTTACCCATGTTATCGGCTCCGAGCTGAGCAGGGGCACCTGCATAGTGGAGTCTCGACAAGAAACGGTCCTTTTGTCGACTAAGTCATACAACGGGAGACTAAAATCCTGCACGTCTCGGACACGCAATTTGATACGGCGCACATATAACCCGATCTTGTCCTGCATGCATGTGTGCGGTTTGTGTGTGTGTGAGCTACTCCATACTTGCATGTAGCGTACATGTTCTCCAACCACGTAGAAAGCCAATAGAATGAGTGTTAGGTTGCAACAAAAGTGATCGATCCACATGGTAGGACAACAAAGTGCATACTATATAAGTTGGATGCATTTCTAGTTTTGGAGACATGGTGTGGATGGATCTGTAGACATGATCACGTCTCTCGTCGCTCGACCCAACACACATTCGTCGACACCTCAGCTTACTTCCCAAAAGATGGCATTTAGTCCCTCTTCACGTCTCCAACGACAGAGTGAGCTCCACCTCCAGGTCCGAACATCTCCCTCAGATCCTGCACCAGGATCTCTGGCTTCTCCCAAGCAGCAAAGTGCCCGCCTGCAGCATGGAACTTATGGAAAGTGATATCGCCTAGGGTCCTGGCTGCGATGACGGGTATCGCGACAATATCTTTGGGGAACTGACTGGTCTGGGACGAATAGAAACAGAAATTAGCACCCGAGGAAACCCAGGATGGTCCACGGCTGTCACTGACTCAGTCCCAGAATTTCCTGTCAGTCGATAAGCCATTCCACGCCCTGGCTGGATTCTCGGCTTCGAAATACGTCCGAACACTGGCAACAGGCCCGGCGCGGGAGAACCAGTAGATGGAGGCCCATGTCAAGACTTCGTCCTCTGTCCACTGGCACTCATCCGTCCAGTGGATCAGCTTCTCATACATCCATCCCAGCAGACCGACCGGCGGATCCTCGAGACAAAATGCAACCGTCTGCGGCCTGGTGGACTGCAATCTGTAATAGTCATTGCCGCCGGATGCGTAGTTTAGCCCTCGGCGTAACCCCGCAATGCTGTCCTTGGATGGCCAGAACGGCGGCCACAGCATGGCGAGCAGGATGAGCCAAGGCTTCTTCAGCAGGTTCAGGAAATCAAACATGGCAAGATTGCCGCGGAGACTTTGGTCGTGGTGCCTACCCATCGTCCGTGTGATGATGGATCCCCAGTCACCGCCTTGAGCGACTTACCGGTTGTAACCCAAACCCAGCATTAGCTTGTTCAGTACAAACCCATAATGGCAAATATTGAAACCTCTCTGGAGTCATGGTAGTTAATCCGACCTGCCCTATTCGTGGAATTATTGCAGTCTTGAACAACAGTCACCTCACCTTCTTCACGCCATCACTAAAGCCATAATTGGGCAAGCTCGGCGCAACGACATGGAATGCTTGCGAGCTGGCATCCTCAGGGCTCGTCAGACCCTTCAACATCTTGGTCACCTCGAGGAAACTGCCAGGCCATCCGTGGACGAACAGCAGTGGTATTGCGTTGGGGTTGTTGCTCCTGGCATGGACAAAGTGGATGTCGAGCGTTCCGAAGCCGTCAGACTCTACGGGCATGGTGAACATTGGAAGCTCGTTGAGCTTGGCTTCGTGCTGGCGCCACTTGGGCAAGTATTCAGTCTTCCAATGATGCAGAAGCCCCTGCATCTGTGGGACAGGGACGCCTTGTTGGATGTCGTAACCTTCGGGTTGGTCGGGCAGTCGAGCCAACTCGAGTTTCTGCCGGAGGATATCCAAGTAATATTTTTCACAATGGAGAAAAGAGTTGTTGAAATCTTACAGAGGCTGAAAGAGAGATGACAGGTTTACATACCGACTGACATAAACATTTTGGGTCTAACTATGTGCCAGCTGCCAGGCGAGTAAAAGCAAATACTCATACCGTGACCATCTATGGGAAATGAACTGTATTGGACTGCGCTTAGGGAAGGAAAAGGAAGGAAAAGAAAGGAAGGAAAAAAAAAGCTGGCTAACTGGGGCTATAGATAGGTTGGCTGGCGATAGTGGGGCCAGTGACCCACCTGGCCTCGCACACCATCTCTTCTTGCCATTGTGGGGTGTTAATGAAATCTTGCTCTACTATTAATGAAAACCAGGCTTATCCTGGCCGCTGAGGCTGAGCAATAATCTCGAAGTCTTCAATTTCTCTCTAGACTGGTTATAGATTCTTCCTCAAGGTAGATATTGTTGCTTCCAGCTCTTGACGGATGAAGCACCTAAAGCCAGAATGCGCTGTCGAATATACAGACGGACACAGTAATTAAAAGATCCCTCATCATTATGTTGTCGAGATAGAAATTCATTTGATACTCTTCGCTAATAAGTTTGTTTGAATGTGCTGATTATTATTTTTGTCCTATAACTCTCCAACTGTTGATTCACCAGAGCAGCCAATGTCCGCGCCTTGTATATGCACTAGTCTTTGTATTAGCACCCTAACCCTCAGCATCCACACTATGAATGACCATGACTCTTTTCTTGCATTCGAACTTCTCGGTCCATCAAAAGTCTGCCATCACACAACCTCTCCTCCTCATCTTCCACCATCCACACCTAGATCTTCCTTCACAGACGCCATGAATACTGATGAAGAAGAATCCTCTAGCGCGCCTGGAATGGCTGCCGATATTATTGCGCGAAGCCATAATTTGCTACGAGAAATGGAGCAACTACGCCAACAACTTTTCACTACCAAGGGCCGAAATGCACATTTCAAGGGCCTGCGTAGCCTCATGGACAATATGAGATCTGACGTCGAGGCTGCAGAATCGTATCTTGCCTCGTTGGCAAACCCTGCTATCAAGTGGAAGCCTGGAAAGGGAAGCCCTCTTTCTGCAGCGGCGCGCTTCCGTAGCAGCAATGTGCATGCAGTCGAGTTGCACTGGAATATAGTAAAACGATGCCGCCACCTGGTGTCTGTCAACCAGCAGCTCCCAAAGGCTGCAGGCCAGGCTGTGTCCACGGCCAAAACTAGCCGCACATCCGGCAAGGCGGAGACTGTCAAGGGGTTGATATGCGTCCATGCCGTTGTGGATGGAGGCGCAGAATGGATCCGTATCATTACCAAGGACCAGAAACGGCTGTTGATCGAGATGGCTGAGGGTGGCTGGGATTGGGGTTCCGATGGAGAAGCGAACGACAATGACGACGACAATGACAGCGCACTGTATGAGGATGTCGCAACCCTTCGACAAACCAAGGAGATAATCGACGTGGCCCGCAGTAAATGGCACAACTACCGGCATCCAAGGATACGAATCATCCTGACGAGGGTAAAAGAAGGCCAGAATGAGGAGATCGATAGGCTCATCGGGAAATTGCGTGGTATTGGTGGCAGCGATATCAACGTCAAAGTCTATTGCGCAGAGTCCAATTGGGTCACCAACAAGCCTCCCGTACCTGTCGACACGGCGATTTCCAACCTTTTGCCTCAGGAGGAAGATGTGGGTGAGACCATTCTGCTTGACACAAGTGTTCTGATCGCTTTGGTGTCGGACATTTGTCACACAAAGGTTGCCAAAATGCCCTGGATGGAGCGAGATCTGCAAACCCATATCGAAGACGAAAACAAGGGGAATAATTTCATCCCGTCTCTTGCCGCCTCACGGCTGCGGGGAAAGAAGCTCATCTGCACAAAACAAGCCATCGCCCATTTCACCGACATCACTAGGACGATAGGGAGTCCGACAGAGGTGGAAAGGGCCCGAGTGCTTCTCGAGGGCGTGTCGGCTAATCTCCAGAAGCTCTCCATCCACCACATCTCCGACGACCTGATGTTACCTCTGCATGTGCTTCCTGGCGAGGAGACGGCATTGTGTGCCGAATCGCTCGTCCGCGATGGTGTCCTTCCCGAGGTAGCCTTGGAGGTGGACAAGCATCTCGAGAGTGTCGCCGGCAACAGAGCCACGCACCTGTACGGTTGGGCTTCGGGCCTGACGGTCGTCACGAGCAATAGAGCTCTCACGAGCAAGATCGTGCGGACCGTGGAGGCTAGCCTGGCGGAAGACTACGAGGGCGGGCCTCGTATATGTGCGCTGCCGTACAATCGGGCCCTGGTGACCTGTGGACCTAGCCCCGACAGAGCACGGGAGCTTCAGCGGAGAGGAATCTGGGCTCCAGGCCAGACGTCAAACAATGAGACTGACCATGTTTCTCCATCTTGAGGGATCATGTGGGTATCGGCCAGCTGAAAAAAGCTTGACATTTATCTTTGAGAGAATAATCCATCGCCCGTTGCTATTGCAACCGCAAGCTGCTATCAGGCCGTGAAACCTGGGATTTAACCTCTATTTGTCGTCAATGTTATAGAGACAATTTGTATATATAGGTCACATCATTTACAGCTTGCACTTGGGATGGCCATGCTCATAGTCTTAGCATAATTACTGCTGCTGTAGAGGCCTTTCACAATTCATTGACTACTGGGCCAAGCCTGAATTAAGATCTTAAGATTATCTTAGATTCGTAAGAGTTTTGTGACGCCAGACTGAATAGCTGATGAACTAATATACATCAAGGCATTCAAGGGCCTTGTCATAGTCTAATCTGTCCAGCGTCAAAGAGGTCAAAGTAGAAAGAAAGACAAACACGGCTGTCTGCCAAACGAAGACTCAGAGTCCGCAAGTCGCGGCCAGAAAGCCTGCACGATCAGCTCCTATGAGCTTACTCTTCATGTCGAAATAAACTCCTACTCCAAGGTAGGGTAATATACACACGCAGCTCTTTACTCGACGCCCCAAACCTGGGACGGGCTCGTGGTGAAAGAAATTCCAGACCCCCAAGGCACGGTCGCAAATGCAGTCCAGTTGAACTCCACACCCCACCTAGAATTCCCAATGCGGTCAACTAGGAGATTCTCTTGCTGGAAGAGGGGGGGGGGGGGAGTCGGGAGGGACAAAAACTTACTGGCCCTCGATCGTGGAGTACTGGTAGCTCACAGCCAGGTGGGCAGATGTGGTGTCGTTGGAAGCCTGCAGGTAGGCATTGACGAGGGCTGCACTGGTGTTGGTGATGGCAGTGCCGGTACAGGGCCAGGGACCGGTGGCGATGCCGCTGCCTGTGCAGGATGCGGTGCTGTGGGATTGGACCTAAGTGTCAGCTGCTATTGCTGTGGAGGGGAGCGCTTCTGGACGAGTATCTCGACAGGGTTTGTTTGTCTCCATGAGCACATACCAGAGCTGTCTAGTCAGACAGCTCATGTAACTCTGGATCTGTCGATATCTTCTGGCGGGAGACTTGTATCATATAAATCAACAGCAAAACTTACAAGGCTGGTATGGCAAGGCCACTCTCAGTCGTAGGAGGAGCACTGACGTCGAAACCTATCCCCTGAGTATCAGTGTCTTATTCTTTCTGTCTCTCTGTCTCTCCCCCCTCCTCTCTTGGGAGGAGGAGGAGGGGCAGGGGGCTGCTTCAGACAGTCAGACTTACTGTACGAGCTGTTCGAACCGCCGGCGGCGTTGAAGTCCGTGAGAGTCCATGTGTAGTTTGACGCCGCGGCTTCGAGGACCTTAGCCTTGTGACTGAACGATTTCGCAGGGAGAGCGCCGGCGGACGCGACGAGGGAGAGAGCGGCTACAATCGAGAACTGCATCTTGTCGAAGAGTTTTTGTTCCTTTATATGAAGAAAATAGAAAGAATGTAAATCCGATCCTGGGACTGAAGCGAGAGAGAGAGAGTGACTGGCACACACACACACACACACACACACACAAACACACAACGAAAAACGAAAGGAGGTCTGGGAGGAAGGACGAAGAGATCAACAATGCACACCGTCAAGACGAGAAAAGGACATTCAGGACAGCGATAAATGATCTACATATCTGGGATTATATAACCGACCTCGAGCTTTATTCATGCTCAGTGACCAAGCCCACCCCTGAATACGAACCCAACTTCAGTGCAGACGGGATCTCAAAAAGCGGGTCGCCCAGGGCATTTGGGAGGGGGGGCGGCCCCAGTGGTGAGATTCCGGCTACACAGATCGACACTCATCAAATCTCGTCCCTAGTCGAGTCGGGGGGCCGACATCCTCCCAGTCGCGCTACATTGCCCCAGCCAGTCGAAATGGCTCAAGGCACATACTCACACCATTGGAGATTTGGTAGGATCTACCATAGTACAGTAGGTACTTAAGCGCTGCAACCCTGAATCCTCAACCGGAAGAGCCCTTTGGCTCGAAACGGCACAGCCCAGGCCTAAAAATTGTTTCAAATGTTTCAACCAGGGGTCGAGCCGCCCGCCAGGGGAGGATTGGGAATTTCAACAACGATCTGCAGAACAAGGTTATCGGGAGCTTTGCTGTCACACAAGGTTGCAAAGGCCTTGTCTCCCATCCCTGATCAGGATCATTCCATGAGGACAAGGGCGCTCTATCTGTACATATGATTGTCACCCAATCTTGTACGGGGCGTCGGAAGGCTCGAAAGGTCTGACCAAGATCAGGCCAGGCCCCTGTTTGTTTTGTTGGCTGGAGCAAGCTTGTTCTATGAGACTTCCTAGTGAGTTCGATCCTCTTCTTGAGCCTTGAGGAACATGCAATACAATCCTCCCAGAGATCGCTCTTTTCACAGCAGGAATATATCATAACATGTGTGACCTGGTAGGCTCAGGCAACCGCAAATCTCCCAGTTCCTTTTCAGAGAGAAACACCTAGAAAGCGAACACTATTGACAACTCGCCTCAATGTAGTGCTTGAAATTCCCGAAAATAGATCCGCGCCAACCTCGTACGGACCAACCCCCCTTATACCACAGAATGCCTGCAGATTAGCAGAATAGAAACATGTTCCAAGTAACGATGGGCCATGCATGCCACAGCAGTTATGTCGTCCGTGCTCACTCACTTGTCGTCAAGATTTCGCTGAGACCTCAAGCAAGGGACTTTTGCCTTGCCTCGAAGATCCTCGCTGATTGCGCGATCACACACGACGACGAACGCCCTCCGCTTGGCCGGCGTCTGGTCGCCGCTGGGTAGCTTCCACGGTCTGGGTGTGTCCCCAATACTGGTCAATGACCTTATTCTAGGCCCCCAGGGTTTCTTGGGAGCCCCGTCTTGTCTACGTCTTTCGCCTCGTCATCTGGGCGGCACTGTTCCACTGCGTCCGAGAAGAGAAAGCAATGGAGAACCTGCTGTTCCGCTGGCTGTATTTGGGGCAGCTGCGGGAGGAGAGCGGTGCGTTGAAGCTTGGGATGCTGAACAACTGCTGTCGTCGCCGGTCTTGCGCTTCTTGGTGGAAGGCTTGTTCGGCACGGCGAGGCTCTTTTTCGTGCCCTTGCCCATCTGCTCAACAACTTCTGATTTCATGCTAGTAGCATCCTTTTCATCATGTCTATCTTGGCCTCGAGTGTGACCTTGTCGGCTTGTCGTGATGATATGGCATGGCAAAGGACCTGAACAATGCAATGGCGGTGCGATTCCCTCGGCCAGAACCATGACATGGGCAAATGAAAAGGATTGGGGTGAGGTGACATTGGGATCTGTAGACATCTTGACGCTATAGGCCCAGCGTTTGGGAATGATGACGCCTTCCCCGATGAGGCACCAGGCGTATCCTACTTCCTAGCTTCTTCAGCCCTGAGGAGAGCGAGCCATTGTGCTTCGGAAATTGTTGGCTGCCAGGCATGCTTGAACCATGCGACACAGTCCAATTGATGCTCTTGGTTGAAGCATGAATCATTGTTGGGGGAAGGTTCACCTAGTTCATCTGGTATATCGTCGACGAGGCAAAGAGAAAAGTGGCAGTAGTCGAGACCAAGAAACGTCGCGCATGCCGAGTAGGCAGGTCAAGAAGCAGATCTCAGTTGGCCAGAAATGCTATGTTCGCCAATCCTCGATGGCGTATGGCTTCCATCGAAACATGCTGCCGCAGACCAGTTTCTGTCCAGATGGAGAGGGGGGTTCTCCCCCTCTTGTCGACATATCTCCACTGACGGCGTCAATTGGAACGAGCAGTGGTGTTCTTGAGTCGTCTATTTTGTTCTCTTTCTTGTAATCAATAGGCCGATGACATACAAAGTGCAAAGCCAAGGACATTCGCAATTGCGGCCCATATCTTCCATGCTCTAGTTGCTCCTCGCACCGTCCTTGGCCGCCCTCAACTCGTCCATCTTGGCCACCCGCTTCTTGAATTCGACATATTGGCACTTCTCGTATGTGTGTCTCTCTTGCTGTAAGTAACAATCGTCCAATGTCAGCACTTGTCCGTCGGTCAAGAAATGTTTGACGTAACGTGTCCTAGCTGAAGGGCCGCAGAATCGTAACGTGCGGCTTGTCCTCTCTCTCTCTCTCTCTCTCTCGCCTCTGGGCAGGGGGTGCTGGTAGGGCTTCTTCCAATCGTACCTCGCACTTCCACGGCAGATAGTATGTCTCGAATCGACACCGGTTGAGGGGGATCAGGAGGCTGGCGCAGCTGTCTCGGTATGCCATGGGGAGTTTGGCGTCGCGCATCTCCTCGCGGGTCGCCTCTACAACTCGAGGTCAGTGAGGCGTGACTTGGTGGGCCGTAGGTAGAAAAGGGAGGGGGGGTTGCCTTACTCTGTGGCATCTCGAATGAATCGTCGTGTCCACCCATCTTGACGGGGCAATTGGTGGTGATCTTGCGCCTTGGGGTTGCTTGTTTGGGGTTGATGCACAGAGGTCTGTCGGATGCACTTGACAAACCGCAAGGGCGGGATTGGTCTCGACGTCGTCAGGGTGGTCTGTGCGCTGAGCTCTGGATGAGGGTTAGGGGCTGATCGCAGACAAAACTAGTGGTCCGTGACTGGTGAAAGGGAGCATATCTACAATACTACGAGGAAGAGATGAAGTTAACACAAAAGTCTTTTTATAAATTTGAGAGGACAGTAAAGGGAATTGTTCCTCATTAATCATAGAGGCATCCAAGAATGAAATGGAGCATGCTCACAAACATTGGAGTTATAAACCCCACGATTAAGACGGCTCCCAATCAAATTGGTCTGCTGGCCCAATGGCAAGGCGTCTGACTACGAATCAGGAGATTACAGGTTCGACCCCTGTGCAGATCATCTTTTTCAGTTCTCCCTCCACAATACTTTTTGGATCATTGTTTTGTATTTGTGAAACCCGTTCAAAAGCAGTAGTTTTCTGTTTGATTGCTCGTTGAGTGTTTATGTGGTGGAGATGTCGAGCCTAAACAGGTGCTTCTTTTTGCATCCCCCATTTTCCCCTCTGGGAAGTTACCAATTGCTGCTTGTCCCTGATACTTGAATATCACTCTGTTCCGGTCGCACTCTTCCTAGTCAAATTCGCCATAATATGATATCAGTTGGGATCTACGACTTTCTCCTTCAAGATATGATCAGGTTTGCCTGCTGAGCAAAGACTGGGAACACTGGTGGCCCAGATATTCTTACACAAGGAACCCTAACCCTCTTTGCGAATCCTGAATGCTCACATTTCTACTCACTAAGTACTTACCACCTGCTGCCTGTTGTCCACCCAGGCCGTGCTGCTGGACTGCTGAGCTTGACCTCATGACAACGACTCAACACACCATTACCAACCATGTCACCGCCACTCTCTCATCTCGAGCGCGGGGATCCACCACCGCGCCGTAAGTCTTGCTCGGACTGTGTCAAGGCCAAGAGAAGGTGCAGCCAGACCTTCCCAACATGTCTCCGTTGCGCGCAGCGGAAGTTGCTTTGCCGATATCCTTCTCAGGCGCGCATGTCCCGCCGAGCCCAGGAGGCTCGGCCCATGCTGGATGCAACCACGCCCACGTCCACCATGTTCGTGGAGCAGCCGGGGCAGCCGCCTGTGCAGAGTCAACTAGTCCCGGCTGAGACAGCCGGCCAAGAACTTTGGATGGATACGCATGCGAGCACGCTTGTTCTGGATGCGTCCTGGCCGGGAGACGAGCACTTTGATACTGATCTTACCGTGGATTCTTTTGGGACCATTCAAGATCCGGCACTGTCGTCGGTACCATCATGGACGGACTCAACTACAGCTCTTTTCGAGAATGAGAGCGGAGAGGCAGGGTTGATTTCCACAACGACAGATATGTACAAACCAGTGTATCCCACGAGGGGCGTCTCACCTAGATCTTCTCTGCAAGTCGCCCCTCCGAGACACTTCAATCTCGAAGCCATCAACCAAGAGGTCCAGAACAGGCTGCTGTATGCCATGGACCAGATCAAATCTGCGCCCAAGACAATGCTAGCTGAGCTCCAGACCCCATGGTGTCACCCTGCACTTTATAGAGACGAGGTGCCCCAGGTCATGCAAGGTGGGTGATTCATTGCTCAAGAGTACCCGTGCACCCCGACGATCAAGGCTTGGTAGTTGATAACGTATTTCATGACTTCCCTGTATTACTTTAGGGGCTATAGCAGCATGTGCCCTATACACATCCAAGAATGCCATCAACGGCCCCGTCATCATGCGCTGCATCGACACCAAAGTAAACGGCCTTCTCAACTCAGAGACACCAAGAGACCTCCTCCACGCCCTAGCTCGCACTCACGCCATGATGCTTTACCAGATCACCAGATTCTTCGACGGTGACATCGTCGCCCGCTGCTCTGCAGACGCCATGTTCACCGAACTGCAGTCCTCCGCCCTCGCCCTGGCAAGCTACACCCACTGGGATGCGCACGCTACCACCGGCCCTCCAGGCTCCTGCGAAACAGTTCACCTCGGCGGCGACGGCGGAGTTGATGCCTCCTCACTCCTGAGCCTGCAGGCCTTACGGCAGTTCTGGAGGGACTGGGTGCTGCACGAGTCCGCGCGGCGGACGCATCTCATCGCGTGTTTCTTTATGAAGGTGTGGAAGCTGCTCACGGGGCGCCAGGTCGCCGAGTGTGGGGAGGATGTTCGTGCGAACCTCGTGGGGCGGAACTGGACGCTCTCTGCGCATTTATGGCATGCGCGGGATCCGTACGAATTTGCGATTGCGTGGCGGGATAAGAAGCATTATGTGGTCAAGAGGCGAAGCATCTTGAGCACGATGGCTGATGCCAAGGGAGATGATGTTGAGTCGTTTGGGAAGATGTTGCTCACCGTCGGTACGTATCTGCCTTGCCTGCGGTCAGGATTCAACAGAGCATAGCTTGGAGATTGGGGAAGCGTTCCAATGAAGAAATATACCCAGATTTCCTTTTCGGGCGGTACCAGATTATGCGCTGACTAGCATATTAGCAATGGGTATCGACGAGGCCAAGGCTTGGCTGGCTCTGAAAGGTTGTTCTTTGTAATTCATGTGCAAACTTGAGATCAATATCTTGTTGCATGAAACGCACAGCATCACCGCCACCGCCGCCGATTTTGAATGAAATCATCCAGTGTCTAAATCTTGGGAATTGACCGACTTCTTTGGCTGGTTCTGGCTGAAGAAACACAGCATGTCTATGCAGCTTGCAAAAGACTGAGTAGTTGTCCTGCTGCTGCGGTCTTACAATTTATCTGTGCATCGGCTAAAGCTGGGTATGTAAAGATCATTTTTCTGCTGAAGAAATCAAGGGGAAAGGTGCTGTTTCAAGCATGCAAAGGTTTTACTAACCATCTTTTCTCTTCCGTAACAGGATGCTCGGGTAACGATCCGGCCGACATCAATGTCTATTTTATGGGAATCATCGAGGATATGAAGTGCAAGTTGTGAATGAATCGGGGTCAGATGGCGACACAGGAGTTATTGAGCTTGGACTAGACAGACGCCTTAGACGGCAGACTGCACAAGAAATCTACCGTGGCAAAGCAATCGTAGTTAAACGTTCCCCTCAAGTTTCTTGAACCTAAACCAATCTTGAGGACGAATGTAGCGCAGCGAGTACGACTCGAGCTGTTTGTGTCGACTGGACCACTGGTATGGACACGTTTGACCTTGGAAACGACTGCTGCGAAGGACAAATCTGTAGTCTGAGGTATCGAGCCTACCGGTGTCCACGTTCGTCACAGCCGCAACAAAGATTTGAAATTCTGGCACCACTAACTGCATGAGCGTATTGCTGAAGTAGACCTAGCTTTGTTGGCGGTAGATAATCCGTACGGCCTCTTTTCTCCTGATAGCCTTGTGAAGCCCAGGATTGGCATGAATGATGTACCCTGAATCGCAATATCAATCCACGATGACCTTATTAACAGAAGCTCGGCTGAGACCTCTCAGCACTGGGAACAGGAACGATTCATGAGCAGGAGAAATTCCGAGATAGTCATCTCAGCTCGGAATAGAGTCAAGCCACGCGGCACAAAGGGGTCTGCGTGCGGCTCTCAGTAGATCAGTGCGGAATCACAATAGACCAAGACGCCCTGCCCTTCCTTCGAAGACCGCGCCAAGGGGAAAAAGAAGCACACGTGGCTGAAAGTTGTTTCGTAGCGAGGGGATTTGACGAGGTCCATTCTACCAAGACTAACAGTCTGGATACATGTCTATCTAGGATACCGAAGGATAACAACACCATGTGACCATCAAGAAATGGCAGGTTAAGATTACGGAACAGGTAGCCTAGGTGTAGAAGGGGTCGAAACCTGGGAAAATACCACGGCTAGTGTTCACTCGTATACGGCCTAGAAGCATCTGGAGCCTCCCCATGAGGACCCGCGACGAATGGAGGCGTCATGCGTTGGAGGGATATGATTAAAGCTTAGGGTCGTGGGGGTAATCCGGGGAGATGGGGTGCTCAGTCCCTTACAACACCAAAATGCATACTGTCATCCATCCATCCACCTTAGCATCTGCAAAGTTGAGCTGCTTGTAGTTCCAATCCACCTTCCTCCTAGATGACTACGCGATAGACTAACGATCTCCCCCCCCCCCCCCCCAAAAAAAAAGGTCGCTCTTTGTGCTGCTTAAGTTGGTTATGGCACATACCCCAATCCATCTGTCGAAATGTCTGCATGAGAAGATCTGCTGTCCATCATCCATATCTTATATCAAGGTTTTCGCCTTCCTGTTCTGCAACACCCTTCGGGACATTGGAGATATGCTCCCTCCCCATGTCCTGACCACCCCATCTAGATAAACTACAATATTTCAGTTTAGCATAGCGGCTGAGCAGCAAGCCTGGCAGTAAGTACGTCTCAACCCGAGGTTAGCGGCTATGCAATAGCCGCATTGAGCTCCCGAACTGTTGGTATCTGGGATTTCCTCGAGCGTGGCGTCTAAGCCTTTCATTGCTGGCTGGCTCCCGGGCAAAAGAACTGCCGCGCTCCCATCCTGCCGGGTCAGGGAGCATTTTAAGTTCTCCGCCCATGGGCCTTTTTGGAGAATAGACCCCTAATCCTCGTTCTGGCCAATGAACTAGCCTTATTACCCCCCCCCCCCCCAAATCTCTTAAAGGGGGGAAGAGGAAAAGCTGGGGAAAGAAGGTTGTTCATGCTGTACTAGACGTGCCAGGTCAGCCCCGGGCCCAGCGTAATGATCTTGTTTGATCGCTCGCCTGGAGGTTGACAAGGTCTGGTCTGGGTGTGAGAAGAGGGTAACACAGAATGATTTGTTGCTGACTGTATTGGTCGCAAACAAGCGTGTTGTGACGAGGCTCGCTGTATAAATCCAACCTGGTCGTCCACGTGCGTTGGAGTCCTACCTGACCTCGTCGTGTTTATCTAAGTCTCACGTAATGGAACTGCATCCTTAGCAACTTGGGACATATCGACCTTCTTAAGTCGCTGAAATCCCTTTTGAAGATCCCTCGTGCATTTTGATTGGGAAACAAGCATCAAGCTCAACTCCAGTCAACCTATTTACCGATCAGCAGCGCCGTTGGACTTCTGCCTAATCGATCTCCTTCCACGCCCATCATGGACGAAAACCTCGACGAGAGCACGATCCACGAGATCGAGGGGGTTCTGGGCACCAAGATCTACCCAGGGACGGAGATCATGAAGGACGTAGGATCTCACCACTTCGTCAAGGGCGCAAATCACCGCAGCGTGCTCGTCCCGCAGCCTTCGGACGATCCGCGCGATCCCCTCAACTGGAGCCCCTTTTGGAAATCTACCAGTATGGCCAGTCTGCCCTGAACATTGTGTCTGATAATGTTGAAAAGAAGAAGAAGAAAGGAATGCAGACACAAAAGACAGTAAATGCTGACCGTTTTCTCCTTTCTTCTCCCCACCCAATAGCCATCTTCGCAGCAACCGCAGTATCATTTTCCCTCAACCTAGGCCCGCTCGCCCTCGCTCCCATGTTCGACTACTACATCGAGGCCTATAAATGCTCCCTCGCCGACGTGGTCCAGTTCACAGGCGTGGCGATTCTCGTCCTGGGCTTCAGCAACTTCATCTGGGTGCCCATGTCGACCTGCTTCGGCCGCCGCCCCGTCGCCATCCTCTCCTCGCTGATCTGCGCCTTCTCCTCGGTCTGGCGCGCCCGTGCCACCTCTTACGGCTCCTTCATGGGCGCCTGCGTTCTCAACGGGCTGGGCGCGGGACCCTGTGAGACCCTCATGCCACAGGTAATCGCCGATATCATCTTTCTGCACGACCGTGGCAAGTACCAGACGCTCTACTTCAGCCTGTACTTCATCTCGCTCATGGTCGGGCCCGTTATTTCGGGAGCCATGGCCCTCAACACGGGTGTCGAGAGCTTCTGGTGGTTCAACACCGGCATGCTCTTCTTCACCAGCCTGGTCTGCATTTTTCTCTTTCCCGAGACGCGCTACCACCGTCAGGCACCCGGTGCCACGATGGCAACTGGTGTCCCTGCTTCTGCTTCTGCTGGTCCTGCTGATGCCACCGCAACGCCAACAGATCGCGACAGCCAGGAGAAAGGGCACGAAAGCACACTCGAGGACACGAGTACGCACGCCTCCGCCGGCGGCGCAGCAGGAATGAATAGCCTCGCCCACGCCGAGACGCACATAGACCCTTACCTTGGCCGCGGCGGACCTGGCAGGGCTCAGTTTCTCCCAATCCAGCCCTATGCCGGCGGGCTCCTCCGCGAACTGTGGCTGCCGCTATACCTGCACCTGTACCCAGTGGTTGAGTTTGCCGCTTTCGTGGTGTCGTGGTCAGCTTCCGGATTCTTGGTGGTCAACCTATCGCAGGCGCAGGTGTTTGCGGCCCCGCCGTACAACTTTTCCTCGCAGACCATCGGCCTGTTCAACTTGGCCGTGCTGGTGGGCGGGCTCGTCGGCCTGTTTACCTGTGGACCGCTGAGCGACTGGGTTGCGGCGCATTTGACAGCGCGCAACAATGGCGTGCGCGAGCCCGAGATGCGGCTGGTGGCTATGGTTCCTTATATCATCATCATGATTATCGGCAGCGTCATTACGGCAGTGGGTTACGACCGGCACTGGCCGTGGCAGGTCATCGTTATCATTGGGTACAGCTTCCTGGGCATACAGGTCGCTGCACTGCCCAGCATCGCTAGCACGTATGCCATTGATAGTTACAAGCCCATCACGGGATCAGTCTTTGTCATCATCACCATGTAAGTCCCTCTTTACCACCCCCCACACTATCCCTTGTCTGTTTGTCTGTCTATATGCTTGTGTGTGTGTGTGTGTATAGATAGATGTACAGAGTGACCAGATCTTGACTCACTGACACTGGCTCAAATAGCAATAAAAACCTCTGGGGATACGGCGTCAGCAAGTTCATAACGCCATGGTCGATAGCGAACGGGTTCGTGCCACCAATGCTTACCAACATGGCCCTTATCACCTTGTTCAGCTGCAGCGGCATCATTTTCTGGTTCTTTGGCAAGAAGTTCCGGGGTATGACATCCAAGTCATTTGTACACAAGTTGTGAGCGGACTCTTTTGTTGTAAGCCAGCCACTTACCAGCGTATGTGGCGCGACATGGTCCAAGGCCCGAAGTACAGGCGGCGGCTCAGTACATTGTACCACTAGTCTAGAGAATGATTCAGCAATGTCGTTGAAAAGCTGGGAGGTCCTTATTTGTGAACACGGTGCTTCTGCCTGCGATCTGCTCAGTTGCCATCTGTATCTTGTCTGGACTCACAAGCTTGCGCACTGTACCGAGTGAGTCTCGCTCCCAGACCTGGGCCCGCAACATTGCATAGGCACAAGTTACACAAGAACATTCCAGCAGCAGGAAGAAACTGCCAGGTCCATCAATTTAGGATCAGAGTCTTAAGTACAGGATACCTATGTAAAGTAAGCATGATGAACATCCAAAGCCCACCTTGCACTAGTCAGGCTGCACAGCGGCACAGTGAGGACGATCAAACACAGAAGGCTGCGTGGGAGTCATAATTATATATACAGGAATTACCACAGTAATTATTCACCTGCGCCCTGCCGTCGTGGCAGATGAGCTATGAGAGAGTCAGAGTCGACTGCACACAGACCAGATGAGTTTCGACATTGCGTCACTTACAATGTTCTTGCAATCGAAGTCGCAGAAGGTCTGACCCTCGGTCTGAGCATCACAGGAGTGACCAGTTGGCCCATATACAGGGCCGCACTCTACCAGGGAGTCCTCCTCCTCATCCTCTATAGGCTCATCGTTGGATTCGATGTCATAGTCAACGCCGTTATAGTCTGCGTCCTCAGACTCGAAGTCCAGATCACCAGCGCAGAAGACGGCATCTCCTATGGGCCTCTCGTCATCGACCGCGCAGACGCCTGGAGCACATGTCTGCGACAACTGAATCCTCCCATCGTGGCACTCGACCATGTTGGCGCAATGCTCATCACACATGCGCCAGCCCTGCCTGACGAGGGAATGCGCACCACCACACTCTTCGCCGATGATCGACGTGAGACCACAAAAGAGACTTTCGGCTGCTCCACCCACAAAGTCTTCCTGTGGTGTGCTCGTATCGTTGTCCTCTTGACCACAAAAGGCGCCTTCACCAAGGTCGGTTTGTTCCTTGGTCATACATGTGCTCGGCTCGCAAGATTGGTTCGTCTCCATGATTCCTCCACGGCACACGACCTTGGCCAAACAGCAGGTCAGCACGGCAGAACATGTTATGGAGGAGACTGGGCAATGCTCTCTCACAACATTCTTGCATGACTTGTCGCACAGACGGCCACCTTTCTTGAGAATGACAGGGCATTTCTGGCCAGCGTCGACGGCAAAACCACAGCCTGGAGCCTCAGATCCAGCTGCCACGTCTTCCGCGTCGGCGACACCTTGACTGCCAACACAGAACGCAGAGTGAGCGTCATCACTCCACATGCAACGGCCGGGCGAGCAAGGGTTGTTGAGCTGCATAGTACCATCGTGGCAGACAAGCTGTGGAGCAAGACTCGGTCAGTATCGTGATCTCGGGATTCAATGTCTTAGAAAAGGCATCAAAGTCATCCTCTCACAATGTTTTGGCAACTGGGATCATAGACACGGTCGCCATCCCTTATGCCGGCGCCACATTGGTATCCGACAGGGAAGACATTCTGGCCACAGGACTGAGCTGTGACTATGCTTGCAGAGAGGAGAGCCAACAGCCCTGGGACGATCACTGCACTGTGCATCCTGAACGTGGGAATCTCTGGCTGCGAGTTAGGGATCTGGATGGTGCCCCCAAAACCAACAAATAATGCGAAGAAGATAATGTTGCGGCTTAGACGTAACGCTGCTTGACGAAGCACTCTCTTAGTTGATCTCTAAGAGAACAAGAATTTGCGGCTGCAGCTGTCACGTTTACAAATAAACACTCTTGATGCTCAACGGGGCAGGATCGTATTAACGATTAGCACTTGCCCGCTTGACCTCCATAGCTGCTGCAGCGTCATCATCGTTTGTGAAAGAGGCCGTGTTGGCGCTCCTTCCGTGGCCTTACAATAGAGCATGTTGTCTTTGGAGTGATGATGTTTGTGAGTGAAATTGTATTGTCTATAGCTTAGAGTACTTATCTCGCAATGATCACCATCAACAGCCGTCACTGGATCGCAAATTGCTGAAATCTCTCCTCACCATATTAGGTATAGTCATTGATATATCGACTCGGCTCTGAGCTAATATCCCAATCAAACGGCGATCTTTCGTCAACTTGTAGTTTCGTTGTCAATAGAAAGGGGGGGGGGGGGTTTAAAACTTTTGTCCGTGTGACTTTGCATCAAATCATGGCAGCTGTGCAGGAGCAATCACTCCGCTTATGATAGCCCCCCTTGGTGTGAACCTGGTCAGTCCTCCCAGGGGCTTCCCAGCGCGCATCTTTGACAGGGTTGGCAGTCCAAAGTCGCGGCCACTACAAAGCATTTGATAGTAGCAGCTCGCAGCCAGGTACGCCAGATTAGGCGCGTGCCGCGGTTGACCGCAGGTCGACCTTCCCAGATCAGGTGAGGCTGGGGAACACCGCCTGGCGGTTGCACGCCACTAAAAAAAAAAAAAAAATAGTGCCTCGAGCGTCATATTCTGACAGCTGTTGATGCTAAGTTCCAACGTTGCAGCACGAGCCCAGTCAAGTCAGGTATTCTATCTTATCTGCTCCCAAAAACTAGATAAAGGAACAGGGAGAATGCCAAGACGAGAAGAGAGGAAGGGAGGATTCAGGTCTGGAGAAGGTGCCTTAGTACAGTGTGCAGTGGGTGAGTGAGTGGGCTTGGGCATTCTGGAGAATGTGGGGAGAAGAGGGCCTGGCCTCGGTGTGAAGGTACTGTAACGGTGTACATCCGCTGCAAGGTTTCCAAGAAGTACGACAGGCAGCCAGGGAAATGCGCTCACGGCTTTGGGGGGGGGGGGGGGGGGCTCCTGCAAGCTGCCGGGGTGCAAAGCTTGGTTCAGCGGCATGGCACAGCGCCTGCACAGTAGTAGGAGCAAGGCACTGTAGCTCACGCCTGCCGACATTGATAGTACGAGTGGATGAAACCTGCCACCTTTTTTCCCGCCCAGTCAATCCACAGCATCACGACACTACTCCTTCTTACTCACGATACCAACATTGCAGAACAGAATTGCATCTCGAAAGCGGAATACACACTGGCTTCCTCTACTGCACCAATCGCAACGGGATCATGACGCGATTATCAGTCTACGGCACCGCTTTGGCGATATTCATTGCTGGTACGTTCGGTCCCTTTATCGAGTGCCGCTCTCTACTTGTCATGTCGTCATCGTCGACTCGCGCTCCATTCAATCCTCGACTCGTCCCCGCTTGCAACAACAGCAAGAACACACCTGCGAGTGCGAGGCGCTAGGGATGTGCAACAGCAAGAGCTGATTGCCGTTTGGAGCGATCCTCGATGAATGCCAATTTGGTGGAGGGGGTCCAGTCGCGAAACACAAGCCGTCGCTCTCTCCCCTCGGCGGCGTGAATCTCGTGATGTTATTTTTGGCAAGAAGAATCTCGTATTATAGAACTTCCCCATGGCTAACCTGCGACGTGCGCAACCAGCATCGGCAATGACCCTCGCCTCCATTCTGGTCCCTCACTGGGTCAGCATGGACGTTCCAGTCCGTGGCAGCGACAAGACTTACTCGCAACATCTCGGTCTTCACCACTACTGCAACACCGCCCTACCCGATAGCCCGTGTCGGCATTTTCCCGACACAGAACGGGACTGTCATCCCGAAGATCGATATTTCTGCTCCATATGGAGGACGAGCGGCTTTCTCATGAGCTTTGCGACCATTGCTGAACTCGCTACACTGGTGTGCTTCGTTATCACGATTGGAGGTGGCAAGGTCAAGCGCGAGTATGGCTGGAAGGTTCTGAGCGGGCTGCTGTTGACGGTCTCTGTCGCACAATTCGCCGCCATGGGCCTTGTGGTACGTTGTTCTCTGCCATCTTTTGCGCTGCTTGAGACCTTCCGCACTGGACGCAAGACAGCTGTGTCACATATACGAGGCGTCTTTTTCTTTTTCTTTCTTTTTTTCTTTCTTCTTATGTGTGCCCAAGGATTCAAAAGTTGACAATCATCGTTTCTGCAGTCCTTCCTCTTCGACAACGACGAGTATTTCTCTGTGCCTGGCTGGCAGCTCGACACCTCTTGGATCCTTTGCACAGTCAGCGCCAGCGTAGCCGCGCTCCTCGTTGGTATCTTGGGGTTATCTGCCTACTTCCTGCCCCCAGAAGACGACGGCTACAATTTCCTTGAGGACCCCATCGAGCCCTAGACGTGCGGCTATGGATGTCAACAAACTCCCAAGAAGAAGAATTCTCTCTCACTTCTGTCATCGGCGAAATTTGGCAAATCTAGATACGCGCATACATACACATATATACACATACACGGCGGCGTTTTTTGGGCATACAGGTTACGGCATATTGATCGTTAAACGAAAGCCTTTTATTTTTATTTTTATTTTTTTTATACTTATTTTTTCTTTCTTCGATACCTTGTGGGCGAATTTTGGTTTGGAGAACGGCAGAGCATCATATCATCATTTTATGGCGCTTCTACACGAGTATTCTTTTTTATTTTATCTTTTTCAAGAGAGCTTCCACACGATCACACGCATGGATTGGGCCATAGCAGTGGGAGGCCGTCCAAGGCCGGGGCGAACTGAGCAAGAACTCACCTGTTCAAGCACGCCAACCTAACTCTCCCGGACCTACGCATGCGGTGATCAAATAATAGAAAGTGCATTCACAGAAAAGGCCCCTTTCGTCCCATACTGAGGGCTGATTGATCAATCATTATTCCACGCTTAGTTGGTATCATTCCGAAAAAGAAAAAAGCATCGCTTCAAGAACACCGGGTCCAACTCAAAGAAATCATCGGGTCACCACTTCCTAAATATACCCGAACTCGTGCGCCGCACTTGAGAAATCACCCAGCGATATTTTCAGTTCTCTGTCCAAAAAAAAAAAAAGGAGAAGAAAAAGAAAAAGAAGAGACAACACATCCTCCATGGGGGGTATCAAATTGCACGCTCCAACGCTTCCAGATCCCAACCTTTTCAAATATAGCGACGATTCCCGTCCAGCTCTCCGACACCCCTGGCCGAATAGGTAACGTGGCCGACGTGGCTGCCGGCGTCTTGGCCCCCCGCAGAGGTGACGACGCCCCAGAGCACCTTTTTCATCCACACGCCCGCCTCCTCGGGCATGCGATGGCACCGTGCGCTGAGGACAGCTGAGCAGCTCCCGCCCTCAATGGCAAGCGGGTTGCCTGTGGCGCGCCCGTCGGCCATCTGCGACGGTGGGAGGCGCTGGAGCCCTGCTGCGGCTACGGCCAGGAGCAGTATGATGAGCATGGCGAGGAGGACGAGGAGGGCGGTGCCGCTGAGACCCAGGCCGCGGAGGTGGTTCGAGGAGGAAGCATCGCTCTCCTCTACGGAGACGACGAAGCACGATTGGGAGAGCACGAAGCCCATGGCAGCGAACCAGACTGCCAGCGCCCACGACACGGGCCGCGGGAGCGTCAGGTACAGGCTTGTAGCCTGGACCCCAACGGGGTCGGCGCTGACGCGTAAGGAACGGGGTGCGGCACCGTTGCGGCCTGGTCGCTGGGTGTACAGGCTGCTCTCGCGCGAGAGGAAGAAGGCGGTCAGCAGGGCGTTTGTGCTGAAGTAGAGACCCGCGAGTAGGACCTGGGGGGTAGATACGGCGATAGCGAGCGCGGCGGCTGGAATGATGGTAGTTGTGCTGCTGCTCTCGGTAAAGAGATAGGTTGTCCGTGGGGTGGCGATGCCAAAAGGGCTGAGACCGTGAACGTTGCCGGTCTTGTCGGTGACAACGGTGAGGATCAGCGCCGCGGCAGCCAAGGCGGTAGCCACAAGCCACCAGGAGCCTGCGGTGGCCCACTGCGCCAGACTTGGCGCCGACAGCCACAGCGGCGTGCGTGTGGGCGACCAGTATTTGCCCTCGGTGAAGCCCCAGCCGCCGAGCCCCAGACGGAGGTTCTCCCTGGTCACGAGGGCGTTGTCGCGCGTGCTGGGGTCCGGCTCGCGAAGGAAGGAGGCGATGGCATCACCGAGGGTGACGAGGGGGTCGGAGTGCTGGTGCACGAGGAGCGTCGCGCCCATAAGGAGCAGTGTCACCAGGTTCAGCCCGAGGATGGTGGCGAAGACGGCCGGGTTCAGGTTGACGGTGCAGGTGGGCGATGCGGTGCGCTCAGCGAGACAGTAGGACACGGACGAGCCATCGACGAGGATCTCCACGCCGGATGTTGTCGCGGTGGTGGTGATGAGGGTTGACGCAGAAGTGGTGGTGTTGTTGGCGCCGAACCCAGCCTGGGCCGTTGCGACGAGGGAGTTGTCGTCAGAGGTGGACTCGGAAGAGGTTGCAGCAGGAGCGGTGAGGACGAGGATGATATTCGAGTACTCTGCGTTGAAGGTGTCGTCAAAGAGATCGACACAGGCCGTCGTGGTGAGGTTGGTGAGCGCACCACCGCCGCTGGCCAGGAGACTCTGCAGGTCGAGCAGCTGGGCCCGCGAGAGCGCTGCGGCATTGGACGAGGAGCTATTGCTGAACTGGGCGCCGGTGAGAAAGGATGGCTCGACGGCGATGAGGTCGTAGGTCGTGCCGGCTGTGGTGGTGAAGATTAAGGAATTATATCTGCCATGGGGGGTGGTCAGTCTTTTTGTTGGAATGCTACGACGCGCAAGGCGGAAAGTACAAACATTATTTGGGTCATGACGGCCACGGCAAGGAGGACCATGGCGAGAAAAGCCCTTCCTCGCCCGACATACCAAAAGTTTCGGACCGAAGGCACACCAATTTCCAGCCACTTCCTGTTCTCGTGCACCTCAGACACCTCGGTTCTCGTCGGGCTGCTCAGGACCTGGAAGGCATAATTTGCGCCGACGATGACGACCACCACCGCGACGTTGATGAGAGCGTGCAGGCCCCAGTTGAGCGTCGCAGCCGCCGAGCAGGAACCTGTGAACAGGTCCATAGGCCCGGCCAGGGAGGTGATCTTGGTCCCTGCAATGACCAGACAGACGAAGCCGGCAATGAGCATGACAAGGACCAAGACCAGACTCAGCAGCACACCGCTCCGCCAGCCAGTTGTGACCCGCCGCCATCCACCACGGCTTCTCTGTCCGTCGCGCAGGATCTGCTGCAGCTCCGTCGTCGTGCTCGTCGACGTGACGTGGCTTTGCGCGTCGTCCCCGTCCCCACGACGACGGCCACCGCCATCACCAGCCTCCACATCGTCGGCCAGCATCATGAGCGCCATATGCGACCGCTGCGGCCTGTGCTGGTGGGTAATGTCCACGGCGCGCATGCCGCGGTTTCCGCCATTCTGCTTGCGCCGCGCCACGCTTTCAGGGGTCTCGCCACGGATGAAGTTGACCACATAGTCTGGGATCAGCGTGCTGCCCCGCCGAGTGCTGGCCGCGCTGTCCTTGTCGCTGTCGTAGGTTTTGGGGGGCTGCCAGGTCCCGCGGCGGAATAGCTCTGGTGCGGGCGCGGTGAAGATGGAGACGGTGTCGGTTGCTATGCTCTGGAAAGGCCAGTGCATGTTGAAGCCCTTGCGCCCGCGCCTCGAGGGTGGTGGTTGTGGCGCAGTCGCGTCCTGTGGTGATGATGTCTCTCCTCCTCCTCCTCCTCCTCCTCCTCCTCCGGTCTGCCTGCGCAAGGAGGAGAGGGAGGGAAGTGGTGCCTGGGCTGTTGATGAGACCGAAGGGGACTGCTCGACCCTGCAAGACAGACAGTCCATATGTCAGTCAGCGCGTTGGGGGGTTGGGGATTGGGAGTAAGTAGGAGGGCGAAAGGAAGTATCTCTTTTCATATATCACGTACCTCCTAATCGTGGGACTCGCTCCATTCCTTCGATCTTGTTGTCTCGACGAGAAGGATGTTTTCTCGCTGAGCTGCCTGGAGCGGCCTTCCATCTCCCACGCGTCGTGTTGTGATCACTTACGCGAGTGAGGGCATACCACGACGGATTATTAGTATAATATGTTATAAATGAGGTTTTATGTCGAGGTAGAAGATAGAATTGTAGTGGAGAGGAGGAGGCGAAAGGTAAAAGTCTGGCATGAAACAATAAAAGTCGAGAATAATAATGGTGACGCGACTAAGGACGGCCGGATGAGAGAAAGCGAATGAAATGGGGCTACCAGAGAGAGAGAGGAAGAGAAGAAAGAGTATGTGAGTGATGAAGGAGAATTCCGAATGGTTCGAAACCACACGAAGGGGAAAACACAATGTAAAAACTAAAAAGGTGTGGCAAGGAAGAGGAAGAGGAGGAGGGAGAACAAGCAGACTTTGGTCCCTGGTCAACCCCAAGACCAACTCACACCCACGATGGTGACATAGAACCAAAAACTACCGTAGTAGGTTTCCCCTTGCGTGGGAGGAGGAGGCGAGTATGACGAGGTTTAGGGGACTTGGGACAGTCCATGCATACCTTCACTAACATCTCTCTTTCATTGGGCCGGGAGGGTAGGGGAGGGGGAGGGGGAAAAGAGGGTTTCGCATTGTCTGGGCTGGCCTGGCCTATAGTCAGTGAGCAACGATTAATACCGTGTGTAATATTACGGTACTATGGTACATCACTCATCATTTGCACACATACTCTGTGGACTTACAACACAACACAGACAAGCACACAGTCCGCTGCAGCAAGAGAGACGGAATGGATTAGTTAGTTAGGTAGGGTCCAGCCTCATCCCGCCCCCCTGCCTTGGCCTGGCGCGACATCACACTCCCTCGAGGACGACCCCAGCCCCTTGTCTTGCGCCGCTAATACAGTAATAGCAGAGTGAACCCCCCTCCCTCACAACACCCCCCCTCCCCTTTCTTCCCCCAGGCAGGACATACCAGACCCTGGCTGGACAAGAGGCACAGGTTCTTTTGTACACAATTACATGCAAACGAAAGAAGAAGAGGAGGCCCAAAATCACGGGATGAACCTAGAGAGAGAGGAAGATCGGAGCGAAAAAGGAAAAAACGGAAGGGCCTTGTGTGCACGGGTGTGCTGTTGTTCAGGGCTGAATGTGCGGGCGGATCTTGTTTCGAACGAGGGCTACCATAGTATTGTATCATGAACTGGTTCAAGTGGGGAAAGAACAGAGAAAATCGGGCATTGGTGAATGAGTTCGAGACCTTGTAGATCCGTCTGTGATTTTTTTTTGGGCTCTTACACACGCTCTCTTCTCTTTGCGAGGGTGGATTGCTTTTACAAGTGCTCCGAGGGTTTACTTGGATCGATTACATGCATGTATGTATTGGGGAATGGATGCAAATGTCGAGCAGACCAACCCGAGTTTGTATCAACCCCAGCGTGCCTCATAGCCATTTGCATATCGGAGAAAGTGCCGCCATCAATTCACTATTTGACTACTATGGTATTCTGGCAAGCATGCATTTTCCAGGTTCAACGGTCAAGGTGGCTCGATGTCAGGGTAATGAGTCGCGGTGGGTTTATCTTTAGCAATAATCCCGAGAGGTTCCCACTTTCAAAGCAACCATTTCTTTCGGCATCTTCCCTTGGGTACGCTTTAGCAGTACCCCCACCAAGCCGGTACATGTTGATGAAGAATGATCGACGAGGAGGAAAGTATGATATGAAAGCTACCGTAAGAAAAAGAAGAAGAAAGATATTGCTTCTCTAGGATATAGCGCCATGGTATTGGTCAACTGCAGACGTGAATCCAAAATACTCATCGTTACCCTTTTCACATGCGTGCGCAAACACTGGCGGAGCACTTGGGCCAACGACTCAACTCCAGATTCCTAGCAGAGGTCGCGGAAGGGGAGACCAAAAAGGGGGGGGGGGGACATCTATCGATCCGTGCATCATCCCATAGATTGATTTTATTTTCCGCCAGCCATGCTCTCAGGTCCACCTTACCTGGTTGAGTATCCTCCTTCAACATCCTAATTCGTTTCTTATGCCTTGTACTCGAAAGAATTCTCCGGCAGAGAGAGACAGAGAAAAGAGAAAGAGAGAAAAGCGCTCTCTCTCAGCCCCACCCACCCACACACACACACTTTCTGATTTCCCGTCCGGGTCCTCCCCAGGTCGTCGGGTAGGGTTCAAATTCATGCGCACCAGCACCGTCTTACTGCATCGAGATTGGGTCACTGTTTCATAAGGGACCGTACGAAATGCACAGGGGACAAACAGTTAGCGCCCTGACTCGGGGCGTCCACCCGCTGGGATGCTGAAAGTTGGTAGAGGAAAAGTGGTTCTGGTGCTCATGCGCATCAGAGAATAGACTTATTAAGGAGGGGGTCCAGGCATCGCCACGGTGAGCGAACAGGGCAGTGCACACACCTTGTTGCACACTCTCTCCCATCTCTGTTGGTTCACCCGCAGGTTTGCGTCCAGGGATTTTTTTTTCGTTCTGATAATCTGTTGTTGCAATTCTTGGACGGAGGCAGTTGTTTGGTACATTGCCGTGGATTCATGAGCGGGCCCAATAGCACATCCTCTTAAAGGTGGATTCAGTGCTCTCGATCGTCTGATAGTGTAGCCGAGTTTACCGGCAGTAGAAAAGTCTTGGGAGGGAGGGGGGTTTCTGAGGCCACAAATGACAGTATTCTATGGAGTTTTGAGGGAAGGCATGGTATTCGCTATCGTCAAGCTTATATCACGGCTTCGGCACGTCTAAGGTATGATTCTTGCCCAATATCCTCCTGAGGCCGCCAACGTGCATCGGCAGGAGCATCACATAGTTTTATATCACCCTGAGCAATAGACTCATTTTTTAGATTCAGGCGTGTGTACGTTGAATTGCGCACGTTCACCAGTTCTCCGCTGGGTCTCAGACCCGTCACAAGTGAAACCCTGACGTCGAGAAACGTGACGTCGTTCTTTGAAACATGTCGATGACAGCCCTATATTCACCCTTTTTTCCATGATCTCCGACCAAGCAAGGGCTCACAAGTCACTCTTCCCGTGTTCATTACTCCTTGGGAGTAGTAGCGCTTGCAAGTCCAGTGTTGATCTAGCACATCTCGCTCTCCACTAATCCAGGGCACCTGAGCCTGAGGAATTAGATACAAAGCGCGGAGAGGTGGAAGTTCGATTTCATAGGCCTTCAAAAAGTAAGTGACTAAACGCCCAAACTTCACCAGACCGACTGGAGAAAACGCAGCAGAAATCGTTGGCATCTAGAGGACATCATCAGACTACATCGCGCAGTTCAAGAGCCTTCAACACCACCTGCTCCACGCTCTCGGCTTCCACCCCCAGCAAATCCGAGTCTGCCTCTTCCCTCGAAGGTGCCACGACGCAGCGCGCCTGGCCCTCATCAAGAAGCTGCGCGACAACCAGATCCAGCACCCACCCGCGGTCTCCATCCCGGTGCTTCGCACGGCCCCGCTCCATCAGCGCGCTGGTCGTGGACTGCTCAACAGCCCATTTCTTGTCCGTAGCTGCCTCCAGGGCCCGCAGGAGCTCGTTCTGGCAGGTCATGACGGACATGACCTTGACGAATCTGTTGGCTGTCTCATCGGGGTGCTGCAGAACGCCCACGACGCTCTGCCCGATGCCCTGCAGCGTTGTGCCAGTGAAGCGCTCCTCGCCCTGGTCGTAGATGGTTGCCGACGAATTCTTCATGTCAAACCCCATCGTAGGGAATTTTGCCATGGCCTTAGGAAGGACAAGGAGTATCTTAGTATACGTTCATGACTGAGAGAGAAAGGAAGGAAGGGGCCAATGGGAGAGAATCAAGATAGCTGTTATTCGGCTGTTAATAATCCACTCACCCAATCTATAGGATTTCCAATACTGATCCCCGTCCACGTAAAAGATCCGTTCTGCGCGCTCATCTGCATCGCATGCTCCCAGGAAGCCATACGCATGTCATGAACCTCTCGAAACTCAGGTAAGCCTCGGATATTCGCCCCCCAGCCAAAGTCATTGACAATCAGTCGCTTCACGCCCGCAGCCTCCGCGGCATCGGTGATGGTGTCTTGCACGTCCTTGCCGCCGGGGCCTATGACGTTGACCACAGCGTCTTGGCCCTGCAGGGCTGCTGTGAGGCCCTCGAGGGTGTATGCGATCTTCAGCACGGATGTGTTTGGTGGGGAGGTAGAAGGGGACTCGGTGCGCGAGATGATAGTTATGTCGAAGTTGGCCTTGAGGAGCGCCGCGGTGATGGGAGCACCGAAGTTGCCCGAGGCCTATTGGATTGTTAGTTGTGGTCCTGGAAGGGAAGTAGTCAAAGCACTTACACCGAATATGGCGACTTTGTGGATCACGGCCATGCTAACGGTTGTCTTGCGACCAGTTTTCGACAAATTTTTGATAGTTATGCCTGGTACAAACACAACTTTCGGTATCTAAATATGGCTCAACTGAAAAAGGATGAACATTATGAGTGTGTTTTGGATATGCTTGAAGTAAGAACGAGCTATATAAGTGCTCGAGACGTTTGTGGAATTCCACAGTGGGGGTTGTGGAATTCCGCCAGCCTTTGAAGTCCGCAGCGGGATTCACCAAAGTCAACAACGATTTGAAATCCTGGACCTTAGAACTATTGATGACAACATGATACCTGAATTTTCTACTGAGTATCATGCAATTTCCGTAGTGCGCGTCTCTGTTAAGTGGTCACCTGACGAGGAAGAGGCCGAAAAGGGTTCGATATATTGCGGCCCCCTCTACTGAATGTCTTCGCCTTGAATCTCAGTTAATTCTCTCTGACAATTATTCACACAAAGAAGAGATCATGTTGCATTGGGCCAGGTGTGAATTCATGTTATTGATGCATTGATTTTCACATCAGCCAGCCTCAAGTTCGATCAGGAAGTACAGTCGCTTGGAACGAGCAACTACGACACTGCATGATAATAGGGCCAGGACACTGCTCAGGAAACAACTGTTGATACCAGACTATTCTTTTTTCATTTCAGAAAATATTCATCTTAAACGTGATTATTCTTCCCCTATTCTTTGTATGTTTTAAAAAGTTGTTCGAATGGTACTACAACCCGGAGCGAAAACCTAGCTTCCGACTGTCACACCGTTGGACATCTGCAAACCCACTGGGAGCCCCTTAATAAATTTGTCTGTGAAGGGTGTATTCCTTTGCCTCGCCAGACCCTCCTCAATATCCTTGTACATGTCATATCTGAAGTCAAAGTCAGCGGATCTCTTCACAGCGAAACGTGCGTCAAAGATTGGGGGCTTCAGAATTGCACATACGCATTCATCTCTTCAATCGTCAGCTTCTTCGTCTCGTCTTCGACCTTGTAGCCCTTGAAATTGGTATTGCTTGAGAAACCTGAGATGTGTACTTGGTGAGAATCACTGCAAACCCAAAAGAAGCCAAACACAGATCTGTGGCTTACCGATCCGTTCGTTGATATTGTAGGCAGCCTTTGCTGCTGCGGCTTGAACCTTGGTGGCTCGTGGCAACCGCACTTCTTGGTAGACCTTGAGCGTCTCAACAACATTTCCGCCAAAGTAAGGCTTGCTGAACAATATTCCAAGGGCGGCAGCGTCCTCGATGGCCATACAGGCACCTTGGCTCTGGTGAGGGAACATCTAGATACAGACAAGGTCAGTCGGAATTCGCGGAGCCACAGCAGCGGGACAGCGAAGCATGCTTACCGGATGGCCTGCATCGCCCAGCAGACACGTCGTGCGGTTGATGATGTATGGGTATGGTTGACTGCATGCAAATCGTCAGAGTTCAAATATGCGCGAATCAGGAATCTCGGAGTGATTGTAGACTGACTGAACCCATAATCGCCAGGGCTGGATTTCGATACCAATAGCAAGATGATCTTTCACCTGCTTGTCCAGTTCCGGATAAGGAGCCAGGAGCTCTTCAACAGGGCGGTCCTCACCGCCCCAGCTCTGGCTGGTGTAGTCGCCAACCTCGCGTGGGAAGAAGCAGTAGTATGACAGCAGGTCGCCGCCGTTGCACGGGCTCAGCACGATCTTGTCCCACTTGCCCTCCTGGCCACCCCAGTACTCAAGAGCCGCGTCCGCAGAGTAGTCGACAAGGCCCAGGCGCTTGACATCTTCCCTTCGCACGTTGGCGTGCAGGCAGGAAGAGTCTGCGGGTTTCTTCTCAGGCGTGAGACCGATGAGCTTGCGAACCACGGAGCCGATACCGTCGGCGCCTATGATGAGGTCATGCTGCGCTGTGTGGCCGTTGAAAAAGGTGATGGTGCCAGCCTCGAGGTCAATGTTTTCACACTATTAGGTCGGTCAATAAGTTTACGGACACTGGTTGTTTTTACGAGTGTCTACTTGCCTTGTGGTTGACGCAGAGTCTCACGGGCTCTCCCTCGCCGTCCTCTTGCAACGCTGTATCTTTCAACATTGCGTGCATGTATTGGCGGTGAAACATATAATACTCGAACCCCCATCTTCTCTTGTAATCGTCAAGACTATAGACACTCAGAGGTTCCCCAGTCTTCCAGTCTCTGTTGATGAGACTCTTGAGAATGACAGGATCGCCTTTCTCGACGTCGATGTTCCACTCGTGCAACCAGCGGGAACCATTGGCGGCACTATCACACGGTCAGAATAATCGTAAATTTCTGTGTAAGAAGACGACAAACTCAAGATGTCTTAGGGTAAAAGACTTAGAAAGATGGGAGGGTTGTGGTTGATTTCAGCAACCCGAAGGCGCCAAAGTCGTAATGTTAAGATCAGAGCAATGGCACTCGAAATAATAGTAATAAAAATAAATAAAGAGAAAACTGCAATTCCAGAACTTACCAAGATACTGACGCTCCAACCTCGCCTACAAAGTCATTGCGCTCATAAATCGTGACGAGATGTCCAGCTCTGCGGAGGGCAATGGCCACTGCCATACCACCAATTCCGCCACCCACGACGCCCACATCGAGTCTTCGCCAGGAGTTATTTGAATCAGAGTGAGAGCCCATGTTGACTATTGGAAAGAAAAGAAAAAAAAGTTTAGAAAAGTGGCTAGCAGGACTTGTTGGTCTCAGTAAGTTGTGTGTTGGCAGAAACACAATACTTATTAATATCGTGGCATGCTGGCTTTGACGGTTCCTGTGCTTTTACTCCATGCTTTAGAATCGAACGGAGAGCTATGATCTCGTCTCCCCTTTGAACAAAGTAGTTTGCGCCACGGTTCAGCCAGATCGGAACACAGGCCTACAGGCAGCATTCGTATCTTGCGGATGTGCCCACCATAAACATGATCGCAAAGTGATTTAACCGCTCTGGAAAATGGTCCAAGGCTTTGCCTATCACGCAGGGGCAGCGGCTAAAGCACCTATGCTTGAACACAGACGGTACGTCATTGATACCGTAGTAACTAGTACAGTACTATCAATATTATCTTGGCATAGTAACCGCCCGATATCATGTTAGTGTCGGCAATGAGCGTGCTTATCTCTGCTCCCCTCCTTGCGGATAATACTCCCTTTGCTGCTGGCTCATCTTCCCGCCGAGTTCCGGGACTGCTTCGCGATACTATCCGCCTTTGAAAAGAGCCATAGCACGCCGTCCTTCCAATTATATCGAACGAGACGCTGCATTCGGGAGTCTGATCCAGGACTGTGGCTCCGCCTTTCTCTGTCCGCAAGTGGATTCCCGGCTCTGCCTCCGTACCCGCCCTCCCGCAGTGCGTTCCCCTGCGACACAGTCCGTACAGGCTTCCAGCCAGCCACTCAGTCTGTCATGCCACGTCCAAAGGTCAGACCACAAGACCGGCAGCGCTCGGTGAAGGCCTGTGATGCCTGTAAGGCTTCCAAGAAGAGATGTGACGCCAATCAGCCATGTCGACTGTGCCTGAAGAAGGGGACCCAGGACACATGCACTTACACGCCAACGGCAAGGGGCAAGAGAAGTCGATATTCCCACTCCGTCATTCCTCAGCCACCTGCAGTTGCTGTCGTGAACGAGAATGTGTCGACAGACGCCAATGATCCCATACAGCAGCCGCCGCGTGGGCCTGGGTATAGCAGTGGGTCTGAGATATCGCAGCAACCGCAAACCCAGGGGGCGACGGAAGATGCGGATAGTGAGACGGATGACGGGCCAGACCCTAGAAACTCGGTCGAAAGATCCGCACAGCAGAGGCCTCTGATGTTGTCGAGTTCAAGTGGTGCCAAAGGTAGGTGTGTTTGTATGTGCGCGTGGTCGTTTGGACTTGGCATCTTTGCATCGCCTCAATGCTTCGTCGATTGCCATCTGCTTAAGTCTCTGTAGATTTTATTGCTGACCATGAGTGGCTGTTAGTTTTCGTTGGAAATACCGCGGCACTCTCATTCTTGCGCTTCTTACAAAAGACACTGAAACTCTATGTCGGACCTTCTGGCTTTACCGATGGCCAACACAGCCATAGTTGGTTTGAGTTGGCCGGCCCTGAGGCGAGTGGCGAGGATTTTCGCGATGACTTGGGCGAAGTTGAAAAGAATGATCTAGTGCGTTGCTTTTTGGAAGCAGTAAGTCTTACATCTACAATGCTTCTTTTTTCTCGAGCTAAGCATATCCCAGTCAAGTGGATTTCTAGATCTTTACACGCAAGACGAGCTGGCCGGCCTCGTGAAATTATCAGTACGCGAGGCCAACACTGAGACTTCAAGGCCTAAAGGTTTAGTGGACCGGGCAGCTCTCGCCTCGTTATACATCATCATAGCCATCGGGTGCCAGGTCAGGGGGAACTCTCGAGACGAGCTTGTGCGCGCCTCGATATATTTTGCCGCTGGTAGGCAGATGGCTTTTGAGAAAATGCTCGAGAACCCAACCGTGAACCTGGTCAGGGCTTTTATCCTGCTGGCATTTTATATGTGCGGTGCATGTCGTCGCAATTCCGCCTTTATGTATCTGGGAGTGGCCTCTAAATCTGCCGATATCCTTGGACTTCATGCTGCAACACAACACAAGCACATGTCAAAAGAAGAACAAAGCACAAGGTTAGTTAAGGTCATACAGATATCATCAAGCAGGGTGGACGCAGGGCTGACATTCAGTACCCGCAGACTGAGAGTGGCGAAAAGCGTCAGAGTATTCGATATTATCTGCTCCTCAATTCTGGGGCGAAGAAGCAGCGCTCCCTCGTTGCAAACCGCCGACATCACTTCTGGGGACGTCGACCAGAATCTACAGGTCGCCAGTCATCGATCTTTAGCCCTCAGAGCAACGTATGAGTCTTGTTCGATACTCGAGACGGTGATTGGTGAGTTCGCCGACGAGGGTAACCTCAAACCCTCCTCGGCCGAGCACTACTTGCAACTCCTTCGCGAATGGAGTCAGATGCTCCCTGTCGCACTCCGCCAGCGCCCAGGGAAGGCTCACGACCCTAGGCAGGAGGACTACTCGAGCTACCGAGAGAAGATGATTGCCAACATCCACACAGCAGGTTCCTACTATTTTGGAATCATCTGTGCATCGAGGCAATTCCTTATACAACACATCATGCCGCGACTGCGCGGGAATTCCTCTCATTTTAGAAAGAGACGACAGCATGATACTAGCGAGCCGCCCATCAGCTCAACAGAGACTGTAATCGAGCTCTCTCGTGCTTGTATCGGGGCTGCGACTCTCATGGCTCAGATGTGTCAAGAGGCAATCGACGCTGGCGTCTTTCTGGGTAATATGTGCATTATCAAAGGTCTGCAGCCGCTCCATCGTATCCCTATCGCAACTTATGGTTTCTCTCTCTCTCTCTCTTGAGAAACTCCGAGAACAGCCCTTTTTAGGCTCAAGGAATGTATCATGCTAACATATGATAGCATGGGTCTTTGCGGCTGGTCTCGTCCTGGGTTTCGCTCTTCTTGCCGACGACTCAGACACGGATGCCCGAGACGCATTTCACAGTTCACGAAACGTCTTGTCCCATATAGGTCGTCTAAGCCCACAAGCTGACCAGTACCACAAAATTCTCTCGGCATTTTCTGATGCAATAGACAACTACAGGCGACAAATGCGGCAAGAAAGCACAAGGTCGCGGGCTCCCTACGTCGAGCAGATCTTATCCTTCGATGCATCGTCGGATGCAAGGAGAGAACACAGAGGCGAAGGAGGAGCATTACAATTTCTCCCTCACATGGATCGCCAGAGTCGGGCGCAAAGTCATGAGGCGGCAACAGGCGTGGACGCTGCTGCTCAAATCCCGACGCCAGACTTTGACTTTGACGAGTTTACCACAGGCGAGCCTGAAGGATGGAGCGGAAGGGATTCTTTAAGCGCAATGTCAATGTCTGATTTCCTGCCAGGGAACGATCTCATGTTTGGGATTCTTTGGGATGGCTATGCCATGCCATTTGAACCGACGAGGTGATCTGAGCTCTCCATGGTTCTTTTTGGCGTCGTAAGCTTTTGGAGCTCTTTTACTGAAATTGTCATTCCTTGCACTGTTCGAGGTCTCCCTTCACATTTACAAGCGCTTTTCTGTTGATGTACAATAATATATTGGCGTCCAATAGGGCTTTACAAACGGGAATTTTGCAACAAATGAGTAGGCGAGGTCTTTCAGTTTCTTCACAGTCGATTACGTCCAGAAACATAGAGTCAGTAGGTAATTGGACTGTGATGTGCCCATTCATTCCCTTCCTGACACTCTGATGCACCTGCTATCTGTAAGGCTCGCGACGTCGGCTATAAGAACCTGAAGGATGCAAAACCTGGCCGCTCCGACCGAGTCGACCGTCAGGGTCGGGCACCGCACCACACCCTCAACCCCATAGCCCCATAGAGTACCATAGTGTGTGAGCCTCTTCAAAACAACTGCCACTCGGATTTACCCTGCCTGCCTGCATGTCAAAGCTTACTCAGAGTTGATCAGCACAAGTTGCAGAATCACCAGTGAGCTAGTCGCGACGGAGTTACGAACGACCAATCAAGGTGGCCATCACCTTGCAAGCACTTGTTGTCTCTTTGAAGAATGGGACTCCGAGCTCCGGTCGTCCCTCGGTCATCATCACAGTTGACTCGTCCGGGGCAGATTTGCTCCCCCTCACGCCTCGGGTCTCGGTGATAATACGGGCCAATACATGCCGCGTCTCTGCGCTATAGAAGATCAGCCTGATGATTATAACGTTGAAAGATTTGTCACTTTGGGGAGCGAGAGAGTGCGTATGAATATATAAACTTTACACATGTCGTGCGTCTCTGTCCAGCAAGTTCCTTTATCCTCATCTCCCAGAGAGAGTGCTGGCCTGTGTCTTTTAGCAAAGGCACTTTTCATCTTCGCCTAATTCACCTTCTCCATCAAACACTTCTATACCATTTTCACATTACCATTCTCACACAAGCGAAAGGAACTCAAGTCACCATGGCCGAGACTACAGATAACAACGTCTCCGTGCTCACGGCAACCCGAACCATCGACGACGTGGCCGTGCAGAGCCTCATCCGCCCCAATCAGCGGCGCGACGATGCCATCCGCAACACCAGCGCGGCGGGGATGCCCGCGATCAACATCTCGCCTCTGCAGGGCCAGTACCTCGCGATCCAGGCGCAGCTGATCGGGGCCAAAACAGTGCTCGAGATCGGGACGCTCGGGGGCTACAGCACGCTGTGGCTGGCCGAGCAAGCTGGATGCAAGGTGACCAGCATCGAACTCGACCCGAAGCACAGGGACGTGGCCCTCGAGAACGTCAAGGGCATCCCGCGGGGCGAGGTGGAAGTGATTCTGGGGTCGGCGCTGGACGTCATGCCGAGGCTGCTCGAAGAGGGGCGGGTGTTTGATATGATCTTTATCGATGCGGACTGGGAAGAGCAGTGGGAGTACTTTGACCTGGCTGTCAAGCTGACGCGGAAGAAGGGGTGTATCTACGTGGACAATGTGGTCAGGGAGATGCGGGAGAAGATTGATGAAGGCAAGGATCTGGAGAAGGTTGCGATGGCTGTCAAGGTGGGCAAGGACGAGAGGGTGACGGCGACGCTGATCCAGACCGCCTCGAGTCACAAGGACTATTCTGACTTCATTGTGGACGGGTTCATGCTGGCCATCGTGAACTAGTCAGTTGTCAAGAGGGTTGTTCAACTGTTAAGTGCTGACTTCATTATTATGATATTATACGGCAATAAGAAGCCGAGTATAATACGTAAAGCAATTAAGAATGTAGTGCAAATATCCAACCCTAAAAAAACGCTCTGCTGGAAATTGTAACCTTTGCCGGTCCATCGTACGTCATGGGATAATAGTATCAATGCAACTAAGTGCTGTAATTACGTCTTCACCGCCGGCGCGCAGAGAAACTACTCATTGCGCCCCGACGTGCTTTAAGTTACTTTGGGACATGAGTAGGATGATGCCTCCGGGGAAGCAGGCGATGCGTCTTCAAACCCCTGCGAAACCCAATAGAAACAACTTAGCTTGCTGCAGTTACGGATCTCCGGACCCCCTGGGTTTGACGCTTATAGTTAGAATCGTACAACATTTTCCGACAATATGGTGCAATTACACTGCATTTTTTGGCTGTGGGTCTTTGATCATGAGAGTATGCAAGTGTAGAGACTGTGCGTTGTCTTGGGAAGCCCCCACAAAGATGTTGCGGAGGTTTTCCCCTGACGATTTGGCAACTAATAAAAGCATGAATCAGCGAACAGGAAGTCGTTTACAGCTCAGACCACTTTCGTTGAACATATTTACATTGCAAAGTCGGTCCCAAGCAGTGAGCTTTGGGCTAACAAGCATCACACGCCATGGTGAATCTGGACACATCTTTCTATCCATCCGTGGACTTGGCCCTCCAATACGAAAAGGGGTTCAGCAGCAACCAGGGCTTACTCGCCTTCCTGGACTACATAATCCCCCTGCTTCCGCCATGTTCTCAAGTCTTCGATGCGGGCTGTGGCACAGGCAAGCCTGTGGCTCTATCCCTCGCAGCAGCCGGACACAAAGTCACAGGCATCGACGTGTCCAAGGCCATGATCACACTGATCACAAAGGCAGTCCCGAGCGGGAAATTCCACGTCGCAGATATGCGCGCCTTTGAGCCTCCCGACGCCGAGGTGGCGTTCGACGCCGTGTTCAACATCCTGTCGCTGTTTGTGCTCAGCCGGGAGGAGATCGAAGGGCTGATGGCCAAGTGGAGCAGGTGGTTGAAACCGGGCGGGCTTCTCTGCATCTGCACGATGGCCGCGGAGGATCTGGACCCAGAGGGCCGAGGGGGCACGTACGATGCTGATGGACTGTGTGCTCGAGGGATCCGTGAGCGGTTCATGAGCAGGGACAACTACTACACCTTGTTCACGAGGCAGGGATGGGATGCGATGCTCGCAGGACTGGGGTTCGAGGTCAAGTTCACACGGACGGCTAGACATGTACCGCCGCCAGATGCGGATTGTGGGCCGGAAGATCATTATTATATTGTGGCGCAAAAAAGGCTCCCAAATTAGATTCCAATATGCAGAAATTACGTAGACGCTATACAAGTAGCCAACCAGAGAGACAAAGACATACACGGCCAGTTTAGACCTGGCGGGCCTTGAATGCAAACATCTCGTTGGACGGCACCGAGTTGCGATCTCTCATTTTGTCGGCAACCTCACGTCCAGCAACCGGAAGACGAAATTCGATGCTCTTGCCAGCCGTCGTTGTGTCACTTTCGCCTGGCAATGGATACGGGAAAGGGAGGTACTCGGGGAGGAGACCTAGCTGTCGCAGGACACTGCCTTGGTCCCAGCTGATATGCTCGTGGTACAGCCGGTCACCGCGGATATTAACCACGGCCACAAAAGGAACCTCGACCTTCTTGTTTGTAGGAGGGATCCCAGGTAGACTGCATGCGCCATTCATTACATTGATCAGCTCAGCACCATGAGTTTGGTATACACGTTTGACGTTTGAAGAGATGAGGGTCATTGACGTACATCCAGTCAATCACCTGATCATGTGTAAATTTGAAGATGAACTCATCCACGATCCGGTCAATACCCATTGTTCGACTGATGAGCTCAAGCTCAGTGTCGGCAGAATTATTGAAAATGAAGTCATGTTGGTAGAAATGGGATAATTTCTGGCGTCCGATGCCACCAGTCATCTAAAATATATCTCGTCAGCCTTTCCGAGAGTTACTTGTTCGGCCCAGAGCTGTGTGAAATTGTCTTACCGTTGGCACATGGTTCACGTACGGCTCTTGTACCATCGTGCTCTGTTGGATTGTCAGTCAAATCAAGCGCTCCTGGGAAAGGGGGCCAAATGTGGCATCCTCGAAGACGGCTCATTGGATGATCGAGGATCGCCATGGATAAGCAAGTGGCCTACCATGGTGTGCTCCATACTCCGGTCAGCAAACTCATAATAACAGTGCTCCTCCCAGATCGTCTCGAGATCGAAGAAGGGGCCGCCCATCTTCTCCTTCAAGAGTGTCAAGTTACGGGTATGCGAGACATTTTCGGTATTGTAGTGAAACGAATCCTGAAAAGGCGTGGCGAACTTGTAGGAGGCAACGTCGGGGTAAAAATACTCCTTCAGCATGTCCGACCTGGTCGGGGGCGCTGTGCCTTTGCCTGCGAGATGGCGAACCACCGGTATTGAGACCTCGTCAAGAGCCTTTGACGATGACAAAGTCTCGTTGGGAGCGTCTGCATACACGGCAGCGGCGACGATGCAAGAGTGGGCTGAGAGAGTCGGGGCCGTCATGATCCACAGTTCAGGCTCATATACTTATTGTCACACATGTCAACATTTGATGCTGTCTCGATGGCCTTTGTGTGTGTGCAAATAACTCACCAACCAGCCCGACCTTGTCCTTGGGCTCACACTTGTCGCAGTCCTTCAGGGTCTCCACAGCAGATCTGATGAGCTCGCCCTTGTCCGCAGTCAAGAAGGCGCTGGCCTGGATCCCAAGGACGGTGTATCCTTCCTCTGCCCATTTCACCATAGGAGAGGGGACGCCTTCAATGATAGCAAGAGGATCATCATGGTCGGACGTGAGGACTATCATGCCAGGGCCTTTGCCACGGCGACTCAGAGGCCTGAGGAGTGACACGCCAGGTACGACCTCGGTGAGAACGGGGCTCGGCAGCGGAGGCGGGGGTTTGGTGATGTCGTTAAACATGGCGGAACGATTGTGGAGTGAGCGAGGGGTAATGCTGCCGTAAATTCTGTAAATGTGATACTGTAAGATGAAAATCGTGCTGATGTTCTAGAGACAGTAATATAAATGTTGACCTCCAGCCGCAACTGTTCGAGTCTACTATTGCACTTCCCTACAACACAAGGGCTTTTTCTCTTGGTGTGCTAAAGACCAACTGACTGGCTGACTTGACAAATCACTTACTGGCCTCCGCCTCTTGTGACGTGATAGAAAGGACTGTACATTGCCGCTATCTCCCCTCGCTAAGTATTTTGGTGCAGCGATGCAGCTTATCGGAACGTCATGAACGGTGCGGAGATGGTCTCGGCCCCGCCCCGTTGGCGGCAGAGACCAAAGAGGGCTATTGCGCACTACATTCGCCAAGAGAGTTTGATAGCAAAACGTGTAAGTAAGAGCGATTTTTCAGTGAAATGCCTCTGTAACTAGGTGTCTTAGCCGCCGTTGAGAGGATCCGCTGCGAGCGCCAGTAAAAGTATCCACTGAGAAGGTAATTATTTTCTCCCACAGCTCTTCCATCGTTCAGGTCTGCCCTTCGCATGACGACAAGCTTCACTTTCCCAACCCAGACTCTTCCTCAGATTTCACTCGTTGATATTTTACATACTATAACTCTCCCTTTCCTTTCCTTTTTCCTCCTTCCAAATATCTGTATGCAAAGATCTCGTCAAGATGGCGGATACCCTAGAAGATGTCCGCCCCATGTTCGAGCTGCGAGGGCAGAACTACGTCGTGACAGGCGGCGCCCAGGGGATCGGCTTTGCCGTGACGAGGGCCATCTGCGAAATGGGCGGGAACGTGGCCGTGCTGGACATCCAGGAGAAGCCCGTGGACGAGAAGGAGTGGGCCAACCTGAGCCAGAAGTTTGGAGCCAAGACAATTTATATACGAACAGATGTGACCAAGCAGGAAAGCCTCAACTCGGCGTTCGCTGCGGCCATCAAGGAGCTTGGATCCCTTGATGGGTTGGTGCCTGCAGCGGGGATTGCCATTGACAAGCCCTTTATCGAACAGACGTGGGAGGAGTTTACGAGGATACAGGAGATCAACGTGAGTTTTCAAATTCACCGATTTCCATTTATCACTGTGAGCGAATGTAATCGCTGAGAAGAAAAACAAACAAACAAACAAACAGGTCAGAGGCACATTCTTCGCCGCCCAACTGGCTGCAAAGCAGATGCTGTCCCAAGGCAGAGGAGGCAGCATCGTTCTCATCGCCTCGCAGTCAAGCCACATCGCCCTTCCGGGCTACCGGATGGCCGCATACAACGCCAGCAAGGGAGGCGTGCTGATGCTGTCCAAGGCGCTGGCCGTCGAGCTCGCCCCGCACAAGATCCGGGTGAACACCATCTCGCCTGGGTTTGTGGACTCAGACATGACGAGGACGGTCCGGGAGATGAAGAGCAAGAGGGAAGGGGATCAGATGTGGCTGGCTCCGCCGATGCAGAGGCTCAGCACGCAGAATGATCTGACAGGGGCTGTGGTGTACCTGCTGAGCGATGCGAGCCGCTTTACTACTGCCGCGGATATTCAGATCACGGGCGGGTTGCATGTCGGTACTATTGATGGAGTCATCAGCTACGAGTAGTGGGCAGAAGAAGTGTGTATGCTGTATGGTTGAAACCAACAGCCTGACCCTAAGTCCCTCCGAGTGGCCGCTGGCGATCGGTTGTTTCCTGTCCTTCTTACTACACCCAATTTCAATTCAGTAGGTCATTGCATAGAGAAGTTTCTCAAAATTCAAGACTCTAAAGATCACGACTTCTTAAGATCATGACCTCCTATGACCACTAATCGACACTCATTTGTGGTTCTCGCGACGTTTTCCCCATGTTCAATAGTGACTGTACCAAACCTTCCTCAGCTTGCAGCAGCCTGTCACACAGCAGCAGCAGCAGCAGTGCAAGGTGCAACAGCCGACACCAGGACCAAAGAAGAAAACAAAAAACACCCGCCACGCATTTTGTCCCCTAATTTCAGCTCGCGCTGTGCCACCTGGGCCGCCTGTGCCACCCCGCAATCCCAAGTCAGTTTAGGCCTCTTCCCCGCCATGAACACGGCCCGGGTTGCCCTGCACACCGGGTCTTGGGGTCTTGGGGGCTGTTAAGTATATAGTGTGAAGAACCCCTTATGAATACTAAACTACACTATAGCAGACTTAACAGGCAAGATAAGACGGACCCAAGCTTATTTGAGAATGGCCACACGGCACATGCACTGAATCTCTTAGCCGTCTCTTGGCCAGCAGCGCTTCATCAACAATTACTTTTAGTCTACATTTTCCTTATATGCCGAGGGGAAAGAGATAACGCGCCGTCGGTTGTGTTCCCTTGCTATCAACAATCCTGTATCTTGCGTTACGAGTGTTCGTCAGCCGCCGCCCGCCCGCCAAGCCCCGATTCGTGTGGCACTTTCAAATGAATCCATAAAGGAGAGAAAGACACACGGGTTCGAAAAGCAAGGAGGAGGACTCTGGAGTTATTATTACTGTATCGATTGCTACATATGACCCTGATCACATAATCGGTTTACTTGATTGTATATCTCTGTGCGTGTCTGTGTGGACAGAATCAGTACTTGCTCACGCGACTTTTCATTTCTATTTTCTGACGACGCCAACCAAAGAGAAGCAAAAGACTTTTCCTTGGCTGCCTGGGCTACGACGAGCAACATGGCAGAGGAAACATATGACATGATCGTGGTCGGGGCTGGTAAGTTGGGCCATGAAGTGAATAAGATCCTTAGATGATATAGACTAATCAATCTCTCTTGCTTCCTCAAGGCTGGTTTGGCCTCGCGGCAGCCAGGGCTTACATCGAGACACATCCACACGAGCGCATCGCCGTGCTGGAATCCGCCGAGAGCTGCGGTGGAACCTGGTCAGAAGCTCGTCTCTACCCAGGGCTCAAGTCCAACAACATGATCGGCTCTTATGAGTATCCGGATTTCCCCATGTCCGAGGACATCTACGGCGTCAAGCAAGGGGGCCACATCCCTGGCGCCGTGCTGCACAGATACCTGACGGACTTTGCGAGGAAATTTGGCGTGCTGGAGAGGACACAATTTCATTCCAAGGTCGACGACGTCAAGGCACTGCGGTCTTCTTCTTCTGATGATACATCTGGCGACATCACAGGCTGGGCACTCACCGTGACCAGCCTCAGCAACATCAATGCACAGCAGAAGCAAAAACAACGCATTCTGACTACCAAGAAGCTCATCCTCGCCACGGGCCTCACCTCGACTCCCAATTTCCCTCAATACGCCGGCGCCGAGACATTTGGTCGGCCTCTCTTCCACGCCAAGGACTTTTGCCGGCGGGCTTCGGAGCTGAAACAAGCAAAGAAGGCCATCGTGGTCGGAGGCGCCAAGTCCGCCTACGACGTGGCCTACGCCCTCGCCCAGGACGGCGCCACCGTCGACCTCGTCATCCGGCCCAACGGCCACGGCCCCGTGTGGATCGCACCACCCTTTGTCACCCCCTTGAAGCGCAGGCTGGACACGATATTCAACGTGCGCCTGCTGACGTGGTTCAGCCCTTGTCCCTGGGGCGGCGAGGACGGCTACGGGCGCATCAGGAACCTTCTGCACGGGACGAGGGTGGGCAGGTTCGTGGTGGATACCTTTTGGAAGGTCCTGCAGGGCGATGTGCTGGATGCCATCCGCTACGACGCCCACCCGGAGCTGGCCAAGCTGAAGCCGTGGAACTCTGCCTTCTGGATCGCGAGCGGGCTGAGCATTCTCAACTACGACACGCCCATCTTCGACCTGGTGAAGGAGGGCCGGATCAGGGTGCATATTGACAATATCGACCATCTGGAGCCGGGCAGGGCTGTCCTGGCTTCTGGAGAGGTCCTCGAGACCGACGGCATCGTGTGCTCGACAGGCTGGAAGAAGGAGTCCATGAAGATCAGCGGTCTGGACGAGGCTGGCCTCGGGCTGGCCTCGGCAGTTGTCGAGGCCAACAGGCTCGCGCTCAACGCCAAGGCCGACAGCGATGTACTGACCATGTTCCCCCGCCTCAAGGACCAGCCGCAGCTGCGCTTCGAGCCCAAGGAGGCCGACCCGCTGAGGAACTACCGCTTCATCGTCCCCTCCACCATGCTGCAGTCGAGAAACCTCGCCTTCTCGGGCATGATATCGACCGTCAACACGGCCGTCTGCGCCACCGTCCAGGCTGTCTGGATCACCGCGTTCCTGGATGGCAAGCTGGACAGGATTGCGCAGACCCCAGACGAGGTTACGCAGGAAGTTATGCTGCACACGCAGTGGGGTAAATGGCGGTTCCCGTGTGGCTATGGTGCCAGCCTGCCGGACTTTGTCTTTGAAGGACTGCCCTATGTGAATATGTTGATGAAGGATATGGGGCTGAGGATCTATCGAAAGCCTTCGTATGTCAAGGAACTGGTGGAGCCGTATACCCCTCCTGACTTTGCTGGTCTGTTGGATGAGTGGAAGCGTCATCACCCGGTGAAGGCATAGATCGTTTCAGTAGGCAGCATTGCAGTTTTTGAATATGCTTTGGTTTGTTTTCAAATTCATTTTCGTGTATATCATCATGTCGTTGCTAGAATAAGCGCTACGGTAAAGTACTCTTGGACGTATAGCAAGCCATTTCTAGAGCAGTTCGCAGCCGAATGAGAATGATCTAATGAGTCTAAATATTGTTACAACGGTCGACCTTACATCAATATTATCTCGAAATAAATTTTCACATCAGCAAATTATTAACTGACGGTGCATTCCTTTTTCATCGATCATGAGATGAGCCCCTCAAGGTATGAGCTACGAGGAGAAAGTAGAGCACTTGATTGGCACGCTGCATGTAGAGTTTTGACAACACTTGTGATGCAGACAACATGAAGTAAATCATCGCTAAGTAGGTTGTGAAAGCAGCAAAAAAGTACATACATCCCGAGTGCAGTGTTATACGGACAGTTTCAACACGCTCCCAACTCATCATTACGACTTTGCTACAGCAAGGCGGATATTATACTCCAGCTCTAGAGAAGCCTTGGGGTTCCCAGTGACAGTCTTGAAGTCAACAACCAGGTCATCCTTGACAGCGAACACCGAGTCGTTCTCCAGATACTGGGTCGTCCTGTCAAATATCTGTGTGACCAAGGGGGTGTACTTGTCATTGCCAGCCTTGACGATGACCGTCAGTTTCAGAATTAGAGGAAGAGAGGAACAGGAGGAAGCATTTACCATGATATGAATGTGAGCCGGTCGGTATGGATGACGGTCCAGCAGCTGCAGCAATTTTCCGGCGGGCCCTGAAAATGCCGGCATCAGTATTCACAATTGATCTTCTCACTCCACTAACAAGGTAACGAAAAATGAATACGACGCACCATCAAAGGGGACCGGGTAAGGCACAGGCCGAATGCAGTACAGGCCATAATATCCATTCTTATCCGTGGTGAAGTTCCCTCTCAGGTTGAACTCGGCCTGGTCCGGGTCCTGTTGCTCGTACAAGCCGTTGGTGGAACACTGCCAGATATCCACCTTGACCCCCTCGATGGGCGCACCCGTGGCAGCATCCGTGACAATCCCGTGCATAAACGTGACCTCGCCGTCCGGCGGCATGGTCTTGATGATGCTGGCGTCGTTCTCGGTAGGCGGGGTGTCCTTCCTGAAAAAGGGCCCCAGGATGGCCGACTTGGTGCTCTCGTAATCGGCCCCGACCAGCAGCTTGTTGGTGATCTCGTCGACCAGCGACTCGAGCCCGATGACGTCGCACAAGAGCTGTGTCTCGTTGCGCCGGTCGTTGGACATCTGCCCGGCCCAGTTGAGCATCTCTACGCCTTGCATCCACTCGGACACGGTGATGTCGTTCTCGCGGGCAAAGTCATGCACGTGACGGATCATCGAAGCCATCACCTGCCGCATGCGCGGGGTTGCCTTGGGTCCAGTGGCTGCGATCACGCTGTCTGTGAAGGTCGGGTCATACTGGGGCTTCTTTGCACCGACGCCTGCGCCGTTTGTGCTGTTGCTGTTCTGTGTGGTGGACATGATGATAGAGATGATGAGGGGTCTCGCGCAAGCTGGGTTCGACGCAAGAGCAAGAGAAAGAGGATGTGGATGTGGATGACAGTGAAATGGTGTGGAATAAGAATAAATGACAATAAAGTTGATGAGTGAATCGGGTCGAGTACCCAGATGAGAGTATTCATATAGCAACGGATGAGGGGCAGTGAAATAAGTTTTGGACCATGCAAGGAGCAGTTACGGTTGGGCAAAGGCAGTGTGTAAGTATCCGTACCCCAAATAACAGTGGCTTACAGGTCGTTCTCGGCATTTCGCACCAGGGGCCAAGATGCCCTTGTCCAAGGCCACCCTTTGTAAATTCGCGGTACGCTATTCGCTACGAAGTGCCGCATTAGTAGTATCGGATGATGTACTTCTTACCGTCTGTCCCCCGAGCGGCCTGAGGCGGATGCCCCCACGATTTCCCCAGATTCTCGTTTAGCCTCTTCGTTGGTGCAGTTTTGCCCATATCCTGGAGACTATTCATTAGCAGCGTGTATAGAGTTGAATAAAGGCTGGCTGGATTGGATGCATCAAGTGGAAATGCCCAACCACTTAAGTAGGCAGGTGAATTTTTGCAGCAGCTCGACAAAGCCTGCTAGATCACTCATGTAACAGACATAAATCACATCTATACTCCCCATAGGCCTGGTCAATTGACAGTTTCTTGTGCTGGCAATTTGCAGCCATGAATACATTGGCGGTATAGAAAGTTGCATGGGCATTGCTTTAGGTGGACTTCAGCATCTCGGGTAAGAACCCGGATGCATGCAGTGGGCATCGGATGTCCCCTAAAGAGGCCAAGTTCACCCAGCCAAAACAGTGCGAACAAACCACTCGACATTGTGTACAATTCAAAGATGGTCTTCTTTGATAATAGAATGTATACCATATCTATATCCCAAAAAGTGAATGTCCTGGATCACTTCTAGACATGAACTTCACTGTCTGCTCCTCGTGGTACTTCAGGGTTAGGGTAGGTCAGTATCAACACTGCTCGAGTAAGTCCAGACCACAACTGTGAATTGTAGAATATATGCACCCATTTTAGAGCGGGAATCAACTCAATTTGGCCCTATAGCTAAGCGGTTATAGCGTGGGATTGCAGATCCCAAGGTCCTTGGTTCGAGTCCGAGTAGAGCCTTTTGCCATCAAAGATTCCTGTGTTCTGTACAACATGTCCACTGATGTTCCCTTTTGTTGCCAATTTACACAGTTTGGCTCTCTGGAGTAGACGCAAGAGTTCATCAAGATTGAAACATGCAAGTGACATGTCAGTCTACTTGCCTACTTTCTTTTGTCTACTTTGTGACATGCTTCGAAGAGTAACGATGTCTCAGCATCCATAGTTTTGGGTCACCTTACAACCCATACTTGACACAATAGTATGCTTCTTTGGTACTGCATCTGAAAGTTCATCTGTTTGTATATAGTAGCTGTGGCGGCTTGTTGTTGTCAAGTATGCAATCCAAAAAAGACGCGGAAAGAACATGAGGAGGAGGGAGCATCACCCAGCACTATACATGATTCTTTCAACAAGATGATCTACTGCAGCCCAGTCTCCAGTGAAGGAACGGATTTATGGAATTAACAAATATGCACCGGGATTACAAGGTCAATCTTCTGCTGGAATGTTCCGAGAAGCGAGCCTAGACGGCGCCGTTCCAAGCATCCAGTCCACTAAGTACCGCCCAGCGGATGTGGGTTCTCTCTGGCTGGGGTGGGCGGGCCGCTCGTTCGATGTGAAGGCGGCTACAGCAATACACATCACCTTTATACTGAGGAAACATGATCACCATCCTAACCAGGCAGTGGCATCCACTTTAACGACTTGAATGCGGGGTGTCGGTTGTTTTTGCGCGAGAAGACAGCGAAGGACTTCCTGACTCCGGAAATGTACAAAGGTGTAATAGTCCTCCGGGTAACAGTCAATATGCATCGGATATTTAAACTCCCATAATCATCAATCTTCAGGCGAAATCTTGATCTCTCAAATCAAAGCCAGGAATAAATACCTGATAGTGCTCCAAGACTTTCAATCTACTTCGTACACTTGCGAAAAAGAACCATCATAACTTGACAATATCGAACACATCATGCTCGGCAAGGTTATTCTTGAAGAGGCTTTTGACCTCCCACGCTTCTCTGAAACCGCCCGCTGGTGGGCGGGCATGTTCAGCACTGAACCGGACAAGCACCTTGAGGAGATCATGGACATCACAGATATCCGCATTAAGCATGCCGAAAAGTACGGAGTTGGCTACACAATCCTCTCCTATACTGCACCCGGTGTTCAAAATATCACAGATCCCAAGGAGGCGCAGGCACTAGCAGTTGAGATCAACGACTATGTCGCGAGCAAGATCAAAGGACACGAGGATCGTTTAGGCAGCTTTGCGTCAGTTATTCTCTTTCTCGCCCCATTCCATGTCTGCCCCGGCAAGAACTCGTACTGACAACAACACAATCCATTAGGTCGCTTTCAATGCACAATCCACAAGAGGCCGCCGATGAGCTGAGGCGCTGTGTCACCAAGTACGGCTTCAAGGGCGCCTTGGTCAATGACACCCAGCGCTGCGGCGAGGACGGCGAGGGCTACATCTTCTACGACCAGCCCGAGTGGGACGTCTTCTGGCAGACATGCACCGAACTCGACGTGCCTCTATACCTGCACCCCCGAAACCCAACGGGCATCGTCCACGAGAAGCTCTGGAAAGATCGCTCGTGGCTGATCGGCCCGCCCCTATCCTTTGCGCAGGGCGTAGGCCTCCACACGCTGGGCATGGTCACCAACGGCGTCTTCGACCGCCACCCTAAGCTCCAGGTCATCCTGGGCCACCTCGGCGAGCACATCCCCTTCGACATGTGGCGCATCAACCACTGGTTCGAGGACGTCAAGAAGCCCCTTGGTCTCAGCTGCAAGAAGACGATCCGGGACTACTTCAACGAGAATATCTGGATCACAACGAGTGGCCATTTCTCGTCTTCCACCCTCAACTTCTGCATGAATGAGGTCGGAGCCGACAGGATCATGTTCTCTGTGGACTACCCGTTTGAGAAATTCGAGCCTGCCTGCACCTGGTTTGATAATACCGAGCTGAATCTCACTGACAAGGCCAAGATTGGGAGGGAGAATGCGAAGAGGCTCTTCAAGCTAAAGTCATACAAGGACTGCGACGCGAAGGTCGAATGAAGCCAGTAGATGTCCAAGCATTGATAATCAGCTGCTGATCACAACAGACTGTATTCAACGCCAGCCGATTGTCTGAGCGTACACGGACTGCTTGCTATATATCTATGTACATATTCCCAATCGCGTACGAATTTTCAGCACTCCTGCGGCAGTACAAATAGATCACAAACACTGAGCATAATAAGCGTTAATTGTTGAGCAAGCGTAAGGAGAGGCACAGCCTGGCGTGCCCGCAAATCCTTGTCCACCACACTAGAAATTGTCAGCGATTGATATGTCTCAAGAACAACATAATTGCATAACAAGAATTACCTGTGAGTAATGGCCATTACCTCCGACACCCGCAGTAGTAGTTGGTGCGGCCGTAGTCGAAGGCGAAGGTGTCGTGACGACTTTTACCAAAGTCAGCATTGTTACACCAAGTGTGGCCGATGAAAAGTCAAAGACTCACGAGTCGTGATTGTAGAAGTAGCAGCTGTGGCCGATGCCGGTGCAGTTGCCGCGGCACTCTTGAGGAAACTTGCGATACTCGTGTAGGCTGGCTTCTTGACTAGGTTGGATGACCACAAATCGGCCTCTCCTTGGCCTGAGAAGGTCGATGGTACCCACGAGTACTATAAATGAAGAACCTCTTATCAATAATACAACTTGGAATATCGAGAAAGCATCTTCAATTCCCCAAACACTTTGTCCACAATGATAGGTAATGCTCGGCTTACCTGGTCATCAAAATCCCATACTGTGACCCCGACGCACTTCGCGACCGAAAGACACGCGCTGACGACGGTCACATAATCTGTTGCTTGTTGCTGCTGGGCCGCTGCACTGGCCGGCACACTGGAGTGCCTGATATCCAGCTCAGTGTACGCCACCTCAACACCAAGGGCCGTGAAACTCTGAAGAGCGCTGACAAGAGTTGATTGGGAAGGGGTCGACCCAACGATGAAGTGGCCTTGCAAGCCCACACCGTCGATACGGCCGCCCGAGGACTGGATGTTCTTGACGATGTTGATGGCGGCCGTGGCTTTGGCGCCGCTGTACTCGATGTTGTAGTCATTGTAGTACAGTTTGGCTGCTGAGTCGGCAGCCGCCGCCGCCTTAAAGGCAAAGGGAATATAGCTTGTCCCGAGGATGTTGTAGAAGACGTCGGTCCGATAGTTCCCAGAGTCGTCCAGGGCCTCGTTCACAACGTCCCAAGCGTAGCATTGCCCCTTGTACTGTGACATGTTATCAGTATTGATTTTCTATGGAACATTATTCGTGTTGGCTAGACTTGCATGAGTGACCTCGTTGGTGATATGCGTTGTAATCACGTCTTCTAGGGACGAGGTGGTCCAAGAGCCACTTGACACTGGAACAGGTATCAGCAAACGAATTGATTGTTTATATTGACGACCGGATTCAAGCAGAACACACCCCAGCTGGGAAGCTGGTTATACCAAACCAAATTATGGCACCTTAGGATCTGCCCAGCCGCGCGAGCTTTGGTGGTGACAGCATCTCCATTTGTGTAGCTGAAGACACCATTGGAGGGCTCGACAGAATCCCACTTCTGGCCATTGGCCGGGGTGATTTGACCAAACTCGCTCGAGTTAAACGCAATTGCCGTGTAAGCAGAGTTGCTCAGGCTTGGATTATCAACGGCCGTGCCGAAATACAGCAAGCCCGCGGATTTGGCGAGACTGTTCAGCTGAGCTGCTGCTGGGCCAGCGGTCACCAACATCGCGGCAAGGAGGACGGCAACCATTGTGATAGTATGTGTTGATGTGCAAGTAGATCCTCGTACGCAGTGATTGTGAGAAGCAAAATGTATACAGCCTGTTATTTTGAGGTTTAGAGAGTCCTTTTTTATATTTGGCCTTCCACAATTTAATCACCATTTCTTGGCTCTGTCTCACTTTCCGCTCAACCGGGAACCTGCACCTTGGCTCTCGCTGACCCTTACCACATAGTACGCCTCTCTGGAATCTGCTTTTCATCCTGAACAGTTCCTCATATTTTTCTTCCGTGCTCAATGCGGATTAGTGCTCCAGACCTCACACAGGACCGAGCTCGTGCCATAAGCTTTTCAGGCAGGCTGGGCGAAAAAAAGGAGGGGTGAGAGATTAAATGCCTGCTTGGCATATGAGCCAGGGCTCAATATACCTTTAGCCTAAAACCATGAAGTCCACGTGAGGATGGTTGCTTCCGTGTAAGAAACTCCTTTACATGAGATATGTCTGCATGTGCTCATCATTGGAAGCCAACCTGACCCAAATCTTGGGCCAGGATGTAAGCCACCTGCATTGAGAGAGAAAACGATTATCAGATAGAATTCCTATGTCCAGGTTGGGCCTTCTGAAATGACATCCCAGACCCATCATGTCATGAACCACTGCGAAATACCAAGATGCCAGAGTACTTTCAAGCTTTATGCTGACAAGAGCGGTGCTAAGTACAGGCCTTGAGTACAGAGACTCAAGAATAATTGCTGTTGTGGTAACCAGGGCTGGTAACCACATGGCATCGGATGCAAGTAGGTCCTACGGTTGCGCGACTATCGGCTGTTCAAGACATCAACGAAACGACTTCTATGTCTGTTGGTAGGCCAAACAACCCCCCCTCCCCCCCCTCAAATATAAAGAACGTAAAACAAACCTAGTGACAAGAATAGGGCAAGGAAAGAGAGAAAAGAAGAACAGATGCGAAAACGAGAAACGAAAAGATAAGACAAGATAGTAAGGGAAAGGGGAAAGGAGCATTATGCAGGCTGATGACGGGACAAACAATTATTCATTGGAATGAATCTGCTCTCAGGGTATGCATGCAATCAAATCAAGTTTGTGAAAATTATCTGAATACGCTTCACCTCCTTTCCACTTCTTTCACCATGCCATCCACTTTCCTTAGCTCTCCAAGCCCTCCTTTTTTCTTTCGTTTTTAGCACTCTGGTAAGACTCTATAGTAATACCTAAGCGGTACACAACCCTGCATCACAAACCCATACCACGTGAATGTTGATGGTCGTTCGCCACGAGGGAAAAATTAAAGAAAGTAATAAGTAGACAGATTAAGAATGAGACCCAAAGAAGATTTGGACCAACCACTTCCCACCTCTACCAGCAAAGTTTTCCGTGGCCACCCATCACCACCATAGTTTGCCCCCACCAAGCCCTTTTCCAGACGACCTTTGTTTTGGGAGGGGGACGGGGGAACCACCCTCCCAGTGAATGAGACCTGACCGATGAGATTACGAGGAGAACATCCTCTTGAACATCCCCTTCAGCCCACCAGACTTCTTCTTCTCCTTCTCCTCCTTGTGGCCTCCCTCCTTCAGCTGGGACCCACGCCTCTCCATCCTTGATCGGCGGTGCTTGTCATCGCGGCTCTTGCCTTCGTCCTTGGCTTCGTGGCTGTTGGAGGTACTAGGAGTTGAAGGCGCGGCCCTCTCCTTCTCCTTGCTTGCTTTAACAGACTCTTCCGCGCGGGCTTTCTCAAGCTTGGCGTGGCTCTGGCTCAGCGAGCGGTGAATTCCCTTCTCTTTGCTGGATGCCGCCGTGGCTGTGCGCTTGAGTGAGGCGTCCTTGGGAGCTGTCTCAGCTTCCAAGGGTCCGCCGAAAGGGGTATTGACGACTGACTGGCCACCCTTGAGGTCAAAGAACTTCTTGCTCGCCGGCGGCGGCGCGGAGCTCTCAGTGCGGGTGGTAGGGTGGCCGGAAGATGCGGCCTCCTTCCGGCTAGAGCTAGTTCGGCGCGAGCTCCTGCGGTCGGCAGCTGGCGAAATGTCGCCGTCTTTGCCCTTGGACTCGGCAGAGGGCGAGTCAATCTTGAGCTTCTCGCGCTCCTCTTCCTTCTTGCGTGCAAGCCGGCGCTCCTCCTTGCGTCTGTCATGCTCGGCTTGCTCTTGAGGCGTGCGCTCCTTTCGGGACCGATGGCTGTGACCGCTCTCTGCTGTGCGCGGTGGCGTCTGGGGATTTCCCTGCTCAGCCTCGCGATCACCCTCGTGGCCGTGGCGGTGTTTGTGAGAAGAGTGGCGATGCAGTGATCGAGGTGTGCCTTCCTTGCCATCACGAGTGCTGGGCCTGCTGGAGCGTGATCCGTGAGTGCCTGACCTGGCGCGCGGTGGATACGCCTTATCCTCCTTAGAAGTCCTATCAACAACACCTGTGAGCCTGTTAGCAGAGGTACGAAGTCTGCTGTTAGCATCCCCCGTAGTCCTCCTCCTGTCTCTGGCGTTCGGTGGAGTGTCAGCGGTTCCATGTTGCTGCTCTAAATCCTTGACCACGTCTGCTACGCGCTCGCTGGTGTCGCCTAGGGCGTCGGCAGCCGCGCGGATAATGCCAGCTGCAGCAACGACTTCTTCAGCTTGATTGGCACTCCGCGTGCTTGCACTTCTCGAGAGTCCGTCTTGGGCCACACTCTGCGGCGCTGCGTTATTTGCGTCGGGCACTGAGGTGCCGTCTCGAGGAAGGGGAGTCTTTGGTCGCCAGAGCTCGTCAGTCTGCGTGGAAGAGTCACGACGACTGGGACGAGGCTTGGAGGTCTGGTTGAGGGCCACGCTTACGTCTGGCTGGACCATTGTAGGCCCCTCGCTTTCAGGAGCAGACGGTGGCAATGCTTCTTCCGAGACGGCCACCTCAAGGTCCTTCTGCTCGGCAGATGGCGGAGCTTCCACTGCCTCAACCTCTTCGTCAGCTGTGTGAGGCGCATCAGCTTCTTCTGAGGACTCCAGTAAGGCGCCTGAAGCCGGTTTTGGTGCCTCGTCCGCTGCTGCTGCGGCAACAACAGTAGCAGCCGCAGCTGTGGCAAGGGCAGCATCTTTGAGATCTTCCTCAGCACCCTGATCAGAGCTTGGCTCAGTTACTGCCGTATCTTCTGTTGGCTGACTGGAGTCACTCTGATCTTGACCACTGACTGCCTCTGGCTTGGCTTGTCCTTGCTCCTCAGGCTCAATGATGGCGTCCAGCTTGTCACTGGAGCCCTCTTCCAACAGGGTGTCACCGGGCGTCTCTTTTTCGTCAGGTAGCCCTTGTGATGGCTCTTGGTCGCCACCGCTGACGCTTGTCTGCTCGTCGATGGTCGGCTTTTGAACTAGTTGTTCATCCGATGCCGGGCCTTCAAGAACAGTTGAGGGCTCCTGATTAGCCTCTCCATCCTTGGGCTGCTCATCTTGTTGAACAGTAGACGCATTAGCATCCTTCGCTGAGGAACCATCGTCCGTATCATGTGGTGCATCCGACTCCGCCGTGGGTTGCTCAACCACAGGCAGCTGGTCGAGCTCTCCTAGTGGCGCAAGACTTTCTTGAGAAGTGTTTTCGGCAGGGGCAACTGTCTTTTCGCTCTCAGAAACTTGTTCTGTGGGCTGCTCAGTGTCTTCCAATTGTGGTGTCAAAGCATTGCCATCGTTGCCAACGTTGAGGTTCACACCAGAGTCGTCTTCTCGATCGCCAGCTGCTGTATCGATGTCTGGCTGATTGCTGAGTTCATGAGTAAGCTCTTCTTGCGTGATCTCAGTGTCTGCACGATCATTCGCCATTGTGGCAGGCTCCTCCTTTGAGGGATCGTCTTGGGCACCCTGTTGCGAGACACCATCCTCTGGTACCTTTTCCCCTATGGTGCTTTCCACTGTGGTCTCTTGCGGCAAGTCGCTTGGCGATTCCTGGCTGTCGGATGGGTTCTCTGGCTGCGTTTCTGGCTCGTCCTCCGGCGGTTGAACACCATCCTCCAGCTCTTTGGTGGGTGGTGGGTCGCTAGGTGCATCGGATTCGTTTTTGGCGGGTGAGTCCTCTTCCATGGTCGATTCTGCAACATCGTCTTGCGTAGTGTTGACCTCGCCGTCAGTTTCTTGCGAGACCGTGGAAGTGTCAGGCTGATCGTGCGAAGTAGTCTCGAGCGGTGGTGGTGTGGTTTGGATGCCTTCTTGTATATCTTCTTCAGGTATTGATGGCTTCTCAGTCTGTCCGTCTTCTCCCTCGGTCTGCAGATTGCCATCGCAAAGTTGCTCCGCATCCCCAGCCTCAGAAGAATGAGTGGTGATTTCCTTTTCATCAGCAGTCTCTCCCACAGCAGCGGCATTAGCGTCATGATCATCTCCCTTCTCTGTATCTCCGTCCCCCGACCTGAGATTGTGCTCGCCCTCATCTCGCGCGACGACTGGGTCGCAGTCGTCGGCGGCGGTGGCAGAGCTCAATGCTTGCTCAGATGAGGTCGGCTCAAGGATACCTTGAGCCCCACGCACCATTAGCGAGTTTGAACACGGCGTAGACACCGAGAGCAACTGATGCCAGGATGGTAAGCTTGCCTGATGTAGTAGATGCAGCGGCAGCAAATGCATGCCCGCCCACCTCATCCTTCACCACAACGTCCTTGAGAGACCTGGCTGAAGACTCGGTGGCTCCACTAGCACGCTCGCGCTCGTCCCCTCCGGAGAGAGTCTGCGCTTCTTGTTGTTCTGTACTGAATGTGCCGTACTGTGACCCGGCAGATGGAAGCGTCTTGGCAGGTTCGACAGTGGTAGCAGTATCGGGGGTAGGGGATAGGGATGAAGGCAGGAGATCATGAGCTGATGGCTCCGTGGGATTACCGTCTGAGATGTCTCGGGACACGACATCCTCTGGTGTTGGTTCGGGCTCCTTGCCGACCTCGTGACTTGCAGCCGACACCACAGGAGTCATCAAGAGAGACCCGGCAGCCATTGCGCCTACTGCGCCGCCCAGGTCGTCTGCCTTGTCGCTGTTCTGACTAGGCTTCTCCTCAGCTTTCGTGCTG